TTTTTGTAACATGTTGTAGATATTTTATAATAAATAAAATATTTGTAGGGTTGATTAGCAATGTTTCTTTTCATTATTTTATTGTTGTTATAGTTTTGAACAATGCCACACGCTCAAAAAATGTAAAAGTGTTGAATTTGACAAAAAATCAATATTTCGGTATTTTTTACAAAAAAAATCCCCAGTTTATCGGAATGCTTAGATTTTCATAAAATCATCTCTACATAGTGACATAACCATTATGTGAAACTTTCATCGAATTCTGCTGGCTAATTACGAAAGGGTGGAGCCTCCTTAATTATTTCACGTTACTCGTTAGCGCTTTACCAATTTACATCCGGTTGAGTGGTCGTCATAGGTAACGATAAGGTGGATGTCATCCGGTCCTTCATTGGACAAGCTCGCGCCATTCAACCAATGAAATAGCTCGCTACATATACCATGTTTGTCTTGTTTAGATAGCAACCAACTGATGGTAACCCAAGTGAACGACCACAGGTAAAAAGGCAAAGCGAACATCAATAAAGCTTTGCTTAAGGTAAGTTTCTATTTTCCTATACGATTTTTTGTTGTAAATAAGAAACATGACTTGTCATTAAATGAAATAGCGGAGTATCTATCCATAATTTCGCGATGTGAAGCGACGATACTGTCCATTTTTTGGTAGACCTTGACTGTCTGCAACTTAGTCATGTGTTTACTTTTAAGCACCTTGTACACAGTGGTAACACTTTAACATATTACTGCCCGAAGTAACAAGATCCATTACCATAATGATGAACCGCCTTCCTATATATGTATACTTGGTCGTTAGCTAGGAAGTTATATATATCATATCATATCAAAGAATATTCGTGTATATTTTTTAATTGATTTTGTTTCAATTTTGTGAATTTCTGAGTACGGTAAAGTTATATGACAATCCATAAAAGAAAATTAAACGTTTATGTACGGCCGGTGCTATATGGTTCTAAGACTTTACATTGAAACATTTTTTTCCACACGTTTTTATGTTTCAACACCTTTTCTCAACATGTAATTGTGAAGTTTCTTATAACATTGATCTAGGATAATGTTATTCACTGGAAATTCGAATGTATTTACGAAAGGGACCCCAAATCGGAACACTTTTAATAGAAAAACATCAATATTTCCTATCTAGTTTCTGCAACACCAGTTTTGTTTACTATAATATGAAGTACACTGTAAGTGTAATAGGACAGGTGCCTTTAGCTTTGTTTTTATCTATTTCTTAGGCATCACAAGCACATGTTTCTATTGGTTCAACTCATCTTGTAAGGTACCCAACCCAAAATAGAACACCTCATAATTTAATTCAGTCTATGAAAAGAAAATTGACAGCATAAGCCATTTCAAATATTTTTCAAGAGAGTTCCGACACTTTCTGATAAATTTTAGTTATTAAATTTGAATAAAAAAATCTATGATTAGAAATGTGATAGGATATATCGATGTTGTTGCTCCATACCTTTTCCTGGAATCTTTTTTAATTCATTTTATTTCATTTTTCAATTGAGTTTATTAGCAAAATACAAGTAGTTAGGCAGACAAAACCTGCTCCAATTGCTCAAAACTATATGAATTTTGATTAAGACTACATAATACCATTCATTTTTATTGCTAAATAAATATGCTGCATCATCTATATTAAAAGTGTCCCATTTTGGATACCCTTCCATTTATGGATCTGAAGTCTGTCATTCAAACATTTATATAGTTTTTCTTCTTATTATTCAGGTCGAATCATGGCAACTCAACTAAGACCGATTGCCCGGCACCAGGTTCCAGACTGGTTTACAAATAGCCACACAATTTCCACAAATGCGGAAAGACAAAGAGATGCTTCTCACCAGGTTCGACAAGAAAGTCGGTTTTTACGAAATGAAACTGACAACCAAACAAAGTGGGATCAGCATGCAAACAACACCCGGTTAGGTGACCGTATCGATGATATCAGGAAATGGAAGGAGATTTTAGAAAGGACACTAGCTGAATTAGATAAAGAAATTGGAGATCTGTCAGATGCTAAAGAAATGACAGAGCATGCACTTGAAGCTAAGAACCTTCCCTCAGATGTAGCTATTGAATGTCTTACTCTCAGAGAGGGAAGACAGGGCATTGATGTTGTTCAAGACGAGGCTGAAAATCAACTCCATAAGGTGAGTCACGAACATAATTTGTAATGAGATCAATATATCACAAAAAAACACAACAGAAGATAAGAGGATTTGAAATATAATGAAATTATTTTTGGAATAGGTTACCTGATAATGTATTTAACTTCCTACCGTTCCCTCAATCAAAACAGTGTCCTATAGGGTATTAGGATTTTAGCTGCAAATTTATAAGTACCAACCATGCATATTGCCATGAATATATAGTCTTTGAGATTTTTTGCTGCAATAAATATGACTAAAGGTATTTCATTCACAAATTCATTTGTCTTCTAAATATTTATTTCAGTGTGGTATGATATACATATCCTTAAAAAAAATTTTTTTTTTTACTAAGATTGGTTGACAAAAAAATGTACTTGTTTTCACTGTAAAATTTTACATCCATGCATGAACTGTTGAAAAAAGGACACATTATTACAATAAATATTTTTGAATTTCAGGAAGTTGAAGTCATTGATGGTATCAAGAAGGCTCTCCAACAGAAAGTTGGTGAAGGGTTTGAACAACTATGTCTGCTCCAGGAAGCTAGACAACAGATTCAGGCAGATCTTCAGGACAAAAACCTCGCCCTTGGAATTGATGTTGATCAATACAACCTTACGGATAGGTCACCAAACATCAGCTTCAAACCTGATTCCCTCCGTGTGCCAAAGGGGTAAGATATTTCAGACAATTAGCACAGTTACTGAGATAGATGTTTTTCTCGGCAGTGTAATAGGACTTTCCTTTTGTACATACAAGTTACATAAGTGTAAAAGTTTATTAAAAAAAAGTTTTCCTGAAATTAGATGACGAGTTCATGTGTAAAGTCATTAATACCGATAGCTAGTCTGTATAAATCAATTCCCAATCTTCTGACCTACGATTCTCTACTGAAACAATAATTTAAACATTCAGTTTCCTAGCTAGTCTGTCTAGCAGTTTCTGTATATACATAAGTCGTTTGTTATTTTAAATACATTTTGTTTTGTATTGGGCTTTGTTTTTTCAAGCAAACACCCTTTTTGCATATAGTTAAACAGATATCAAGTTATCTGCTAAAGTGTTTTAGAGATGATCAGAAATATCAGAAATGAAAAATAAAATTTGTGTTTTTCACTTTTGACCAGGAGTACCACACCACAACAGTGGGAGGACTTTAGTCGCTACAACAAAGACCGCGCCGACGCCGAGATGAAGGCATCTACAAGACTAAGGGAGGCAATCCACCACACCCTGCAGCAGTGCGACAATGACCTTGAGGCCCAGAGACTCGCCACAGAGTATGCCTACAGGAAGCGTATCCACGAGTTTCAGAGGGCCAAGGATGAGCTGGAGTGGCAGAAGAAGAATGTAAGTTGATTAGACGTGCTTGTCCAGGGTACTGTGTGATTTATTGTGAAGTCAGGACAGGCATAGTTACTGGCTGCTAGGGACTAGATTTTTAAACTAAAGCTTATATCTCATAAAATAATATTTAAAGACCTCTTGCATAATCTGACCTTAGATGCATCATCCACATACAACCTACCCTCTTAACCACATAAAAAACAACCAATTTTGTGCATATAAATGTAATAATTAACGATAGCAATTCGCATTTCTCCTAAATAATACATATTTATTTTGACACCTTAAAAGATCATTTACTTTTGTTGTGACTGATATAACTGGTACTGAAGAAGATTTGTAAATGACTTTGCCAATTATCTAATCCATTTGTATACATATGTGTATAAGAAAATTTGTTGAAATGAACAATGACCAGAAAGAAGGTGGCATCATTAGGTCAGCCTCATATGTGTATACATGGAAAATGACACTAAATATTTGTGTGATAACAATTTACCCCTTGATTACTTTACCTTTCAAAATTTTTGAGTATCTCTTTAACTATTTGAAGTTCAATTTTGTAAAAGTTGATTGTTTTATCTGTTATTAGACTGAAGAGGAGATTGCCGAGCTCGAGAACGACATCCGTGGTATTGAGGAGAAGATCCGTGAGAAGAGGAACCCAATGAAGCTGGCTCAGACTCGTCTGGAAAACAGGACGTACCGCCCCAATGTTGAGCTGTGTCGCGATGCTCCTCAATACGGACTTACTGATGAGGTGAAACAGCTGGAAGCAACAAAACGTGCCCTGGAGGAGAAACTCAAACAGGCCAAGTAAGTACTGTTACACTATGTAGCTGTTGATTCTATATAAACATTACCAAAGTACATATATTTATTTATTGTTGCTGTCCATAGTTACCAAATAATTAAAATAATTTTCAAACTGTTTTATTTTGCTTTTATATCAAATACAACCAAAGGAAATAATGTACATACACAAATGTCAATACATTGATTTTTCAGAATATTTCATGTCTTACTATGGTAGTCAATGTGATTAGAAAAGTGCCGGTGTCGACCATTTATTATTTCTCTGGTATGATAGGCAACAGGCAAATTTATTTCCTATTATGAAGCTCGAAATATACATCTGATAAACCAGGAGGCTGCGGTGGCCAATTGGTTAAGGCGTCTGACATTCTGCTACCACTCTGCCCTCCACCACTGGGTCATCTGTTCGAGACCTACGTGGGGCAGTCGCCAGGTACTGGCCATAGGTCGGTGGTTTTTCTCTGGGAACTCAGAACCTGGCACGTCCTTAAATGACCATAGCTGTTAATAGGACTTAAAACACAAACAAATAAACGGTCAAACCAAACTGTTAAACCAATGACATAGAACTAGCAACACTAATATACAGATCTTGTGATAAACTGATCAATATACAAATTTCTAATTATTTTTACAGACACGCTCTTGATGGTCTAGAAAACAACCTACACAGAATTAATGATGACCTTGCTCAGAAGATCAACTCTTTGAACCTTGATAACAGATGTATGGACGTGCGCAAGAAGCTTATGACCCGCCCTCCAACCGCCCTCGAGAGGAATTTGACGCTGACTGGAATCCAGCGAGAGAGATCACAGGTCCTTGCATAAGAACTCAGTGCTCTATTTGAACTCATCAGTATTTGAACATTTCAAGAGGGGGAAATATTTTCGAAGATTTATACAAATTTGTTAACATTGTTATACATTTCTGGAAATGAAAACCAATGATGTCTTTCCTTAGGTTAAGCCTACTGTGATTTTATTTAAAGCTGAAGAATATACAAAAATCTAGCTGTTGCTACAAACACTTTGGAATTTTTATGATTTTTTTTTCTTTCTATATTTGATTTTAATTCTGCTGTATATTATTGTTTTTATCGGACGATGTATCATTTTTGGTATTCTGTGCCAGTTTTATCCTGTTTACATGGATAGAGGCAAACAACTTTGCCTTCGTGTCACACCTGTGCACCGAAATTCTGCTGTCAGATACAGTGGGTGTTGTCCTAGTTGTTCACCTGCTAGCTGTTGTGCTAAATGTTTTATTTGAAATACATATATTTAAATTACTTATACATCAATATTTCAGATTTATTTCATTTGTCGGATCATACACCAGTATAGATGTAATGCATATACCTTGTTCAGTGTATTCTCTGTACGGTATTATATGAATAAAATGAAACTGAAGTTGGAGTTCTGCTTGAGATATGATTTTTTTCCACTTTGTCGCACATCACGAAGTGTTAATTTCACAAATTAAATGTAATGGGTCTCATGTTCTGATGAGGCAAATAAGAAAAGAATGATCTATAATAATGATGTTAACCAGTACAAAAAAAAATATTAAAAAGAGAAATGCATTTTCAGTATAACACAAGTAATATATTGAATTAAAAATGTCAACCGATGCTCGAGTCCTTAGGTTTGGCTAAATTGTATGAATGTGTAATTGTTTCTGTGGATGCTTGTTGTATGTGTTAACTTACGAGAGTTGGGCGAGGAACACATTTGTTTTGTCCTGTTTTTCGTGATCATGCCAGCCCGATCTGCCAGGCTAATGTAACTGTTGCTACAATGTATCTCACGTTTGTGATCAATCTCACGGTCAATGTTACCATGCACTAGACTATTTATCTGCACCAATCCACACCTATACCAAGCTTTTGTATTGTATCATACCTTGCACTAAAATTCATATTCATTTCAGTCTCATTCAATGTTTGAACGAATACTTTTTCTAAAACATAAAAAAAAGGAAGAGGAAAACATTTTTTGCTTTAAGGAAAAACGTTACTTGACTTTTCAATTTTTCTTCACATGTCAGTAAAAAAAATGCTTGTAAATCTATAGATCATTGACACGTTTAACAGCAAGCTATTGTCAGCAATACACTAAGTGCATTCTGCATAATACATTGGTATTCTAAGTTCTCCAAATTCTGCAATATTTAGGGTGTTATGGTTGAGGAGGTAGGGGTAGTATTGTTGGGATAATTCACCATTTACTGTATATTAAAGTTGTTAGTTTTTTATATATATCATCAATAAGACAATTCTGTTGACTTGGTTGCTTATCAATAAATATATGTGTGATTCTGTCAAATGTTGTTAGAAATTGTGATTTTTGTTGGAAAACAGGATTTTTGTTTAACAGTAAATTTACTAACATTGTTGCACAATGCATAAATATTAACAGTACCGGTACTTAATTTTCTTCGGGTGCAAAAACAGACTGTATGCTATAGTTCTGCTTCTCATATAAATTACTTCTAGTTCATGTGTGGCAGATTTTAATTGTAAATAGGATAAGTCCCCTTCTAGCTTGGTACTAGAGGGAATTTCCCTTTAGCGCAGTGGTAGAGCGTCCCGATGTCTGGGGTCACAGGTTCGATCCCCGGTGTAAGCACACTACTCTCTTAACTGTTACAAATGGTGTCAATGGCCCTCCCTGTGGTGACTGGGAGTTTGAACCCAGGTTGTTGTGGTACTTGCAGGCAAACACATTTAAAAAGGGGGGAGTAGTGTGGCAGATTTTAATTATACATAGGATTAAGGTCGCACTAGAGGATATTTCACTTTAGCTCAGTGGTAGAGCGTCCCAATAGGAAGTCTGAGGTCGCAACCGTAATCATATGTACAATTAAAATCTGCCACAGTATAGATATTTCATTTTACTTCCTGAAAAAAATATTTTAATAAACGAAAGATGAAATAAATCTTGAGGCATACTTAATGTCATTACATAGATGTCTTATGATCTTTGCTCATCAAAGTAAAGTTGATTTGAGCAGTAAATCAATGTAGATATCCAACTCCAGCTAATTTGCCCCGACACTGATCTATCAACCATGACACTCCTGCACTGACCTGCCATAAAAGTTCAAAAAAGAAAAACCTAACCAATATATTTTGGTATTTTTATTCATATTTTGATGATAGTTTTCATGAAAAATGATAGCATGATTTGTACACATCCATAACCTCAACTGACCTTACCAACCAAACTCACCTCATCCCTCACAATGTACGTGTAAAATGGAAACAAGTTCATTACACTCTGAATGACCTTATCAAAACAAAATTATGAATATCCCCATAACACGAGTTTTCTACATGTCCTCTTTGTTTTCCAGTAGTAAAGATGGAAATACGGTTCACTTCCAAAAGTGCCAACAAATACAGAAAACGATTCAATATCTCTTCAAACTCGTGATTTCCGACAATGAACAACATCACTGGACAAAACACTTCTAAATTATCCACTTATTACCAATGAATTTACAACAGTAATAAAGTAATTAAAAAGAAAGCAATTTATCCTCGATAGAGAGAATTGTAGCACTACTATTAACGCGTTTTCAATAATTTAGTGCAAAATCATTATTATACCAAACACAACAGTTCAGCATCCATTTAAAAGCACTACTGTAAGTTGACGTACTGTTACAACAAATTAATTCCGATGTCGGGGTATATTTTCGAGTTGCATCAAGCCTATTTAACGTGTATATTGTTCACTTAAACGTGCCACCAGATTACATAAACACACTTCACCTAGAAGTCCTGTCACAAGTCTTCATTCACATCGTTCATTCACAATACCCAATCATCATATCAAAAACTGTTGTTTTTTTTACATCAGAAGTTTGTGGGTTTACACATTCTCATCCTGATCCATGAAAGTCATGTCTGCTTGCATTAAGTCCCTTTGTGTAAGCCGACACTTCAGTACATCGGAGGCCTATAGCTGCCTCCCCTGCCACCCCTCATGATGCGCGTGCCACGTGGTGTTGGTGCCCGAGGCCTGTTGTAACCTCTGTGTCCGCGGGGATGCTGCATAATTCCCCTCGTCTGTCCTGCCCCCCGTACACTGCCCCGCCCCCTAAGGTGCTGTACTGGCTGGGAGAGGGACACTGTGGTCTGGATCGGCATTCCCGTCTGCTCCCATATAATCGGCTGAATCTTTTTCGCTTTCCCTGTTACAAACAAAATTTTGCAAGTCAACGCCATCATAGAACTCCACAGTTTTCTCCAAAACCACTTTTCATACTTCCAATGAAAATTCACATTTAATAATTTGATTTAGTACTACATTTCGTACTTTTTTAAGACTGAATGAGGCTGGCTAACATTAAAATGTTCACTTAGTTTGAGATCGACACATACAAGCTCAACTCCTGAAATTGTCATACATACATTTTTTTACTGAAGGAGTAACAGTATCTTTTTTAAACAAAGTCAAAACCCATGATTTTTCAATCATAAGAAACACCTATAACCCTATTAAATGTTTCCTTATAATATCTATATTTTATTTCAATCTTCGTTGGATTTATCTAGACATGAATGTTACTTTTAAAACTTGTTAAAAAAATAACCAACCACCTTTCCCTTTAACCCAAGAAGTATTCAAATGACGTATCTATCTTTGAACTTGACTTGGTAAACAGGGACCAAAACTTGGCCACAGCTCATTCAGAACAAGAACACACTGTTCCCCATGAATTTTGGGTTATATTTTATTTTTCAAAATTCTGCACCCATAGGAACCTAGTTAATAGGACAGTCCTTGAAAAATGGGGCACAACTAATTTGGGAGTAAAAACAAATACTCAGTTGTAGGTTTTGGAGAACATTGAAGGACATTAACTTAATTGGGACACCTGTTGTTGTGTGGAAAGCCTTAAACAGCACAGCATTAAATTGAGGTATATTTCAGATTGAGGTTGATGGTACTAATAAAGCCTGTGAGCTACAATTGATCTCCACAGAATTGTAACTTCAGCAACTGACTTTCATGGATGACTGCTTATGATCATGAGACCTTTAAGCGTGAATCTGCTTGAACATTCTTCATGTTCACATACCTGCATCAGATTTGTCTGCAGCTTGTCCGAAGGAGGATGACAGTGGGTCACTGCCCGCAGCTGAAGATCCAGCTGTCCCAGACTCGCCCTCCTGTCCCCCGCTTGCCTCCGATTGCTCTGGTTTACCTAAAGAACAAGGGGAACAATCAGAGATTTTATAGAACAAGATTTTACACTGCCAGCGAATAACATTATCTGAGGTTAACAAAATGATGGTTTAGTTAGTTTCAATTCAGGATATGTTCTAGGATTTAACTTGAAGATCACATTAGTAACTGAAAGATCATTTACATGCACCTACAACATCGTTGGTTAATNCGGACGACGGACGACGACGGACGAAAAGCGATTGGAATAGGTCACTTGAGCAAAGCTCAGGTGACCTAAAAAAATATCTTATTAACTCTACAAATTTGAATTGGAACAATGGCTATTAAAGAATACACAGAGGAGAGCAGTGAGGCCATTTTTCGTGACCCTCATTAGTCACAATTATTTTTTCCTGTGTGCAATATACAAATGTAAAGAATTATTTTAATCCCCGCAATCCATATATTATAAGTACCTCTCTGCCATCCCCGCCCAGACCTTACTAAATAACATGTACTGTATAGTAAATCAGCTTTTGGAAATTTTATCCAGGCACTACTTCAGTTAAGTGATAATAACTAATCCATCAGTTTGATATCCTACTACTCACAGACACAAAGCTGTAGACACAAAATAACTGTGGCAGTTTTAATTGTACATAGGATAACAGTCGCCTTCCAGCTTCAAGCTAGAGGGAATTTCCCTTAAGCTCAGTGGGAGAGTGTCTGACTAGGAGTCTGAGATCGTGGGTTCGATCCCCGGTGGAATCACACAACTCTCTTTCCTGTAACAAACGGTGTCCGTGGCCCTCCCTGTAGTGACAGGGAGTTAGAACCTGGGCTGTGGTGTTCCAGGGCCAACACATTTAAAACAGGGAGAGTAGTGAGGCTGACTTTACTTGTACATAAACTTGTACATAAGATTATGGTCGCCTTTTGGCTTCGTGCTAGCCTAGATGGAATTTCCCTTTAGCTAAGTGGTAGAGTGTCCGCTAGGAAGTCTGGGATCTTGGGCTCGATCTGGAATTACACTACTCTCCTACCTGTTACATAACTAATGTTACCTGTTGATGTTGAAGGATCGTGGCCACTTTCTCCTACTGTGTCAGTTGTAAGGTTCTCCGGGCCACTGCAAAAATAACGAAGTAGTAATAACCACCCCAATGTTTAGGTTTGTGAGATCACTGGGTTAGAGATTATCTCACAGATCTACTGATTGAGACGGGACGGACATGGACAACACTATATGCCCCCCCCCCCCATTTTATTGCTGGGTATAAAAACAGCTTACATTCCAATTAACACGCTTAAGTTGGAAGGTAAACAAATCATGAATTTAAGCGTGCTGCACACAATTTAATCCTTACAAAAAAATTCTGATTGAGACAATTAGCCCTGCCAAATTAAACAGCTATACAGTATATTAGTACTGTTCTTGTAGCAGGTCCTTAGCTACATATACATACCTGTCTGTTGTAAGGGAGTCGTCAACAACACTGACTGACGGAACAGGATCAAACGACTCTCCAGAAGTTGTCGCTAAAAATTAAAGAGTGACTTCTTTTTAACTTAATTTTAGTTAAATCAATGCTGATCATAAAATTCCTGAATTATTACAGTTAGTCTTATTAAAGAGACAGTTTTTAATCAAACATCATATTTTATTCATTTCTACATTACACTGTCAACAATTTTAATGGAAGCAAAATATATAAGGCAAGATAAAAGGTTAGAAATTTTACACATATCCAGTTCATCCTACAGTTTTAGTTTGACACCTATAAGTCAAGCAAGAGTTTTATCAAACAGAGAAAAGATCCCAACTTTTGTTTTTTTTCAAACCTGAATTGGGGAATAAAAAAAGTTATCACCCCGACTGTACATGTGTAGAAAGAGATATGTTAAACTGAAAGTAAAATTGTTAAGGTCCAGAATAAGACTGCCAAGTTCTGAACATCAGAAATATTCTCTTAGAGAGTTAATAGCTCTCCTTAACCCTTTCACCACTGTAGACCAAAATGGACTCATCCAGATCAACGCATGGTAGAGTCTACTAAAGTTACATAGGGGTGAAAGGGTTAACATCACACAGTGTGACTGTGTTTTTTTTTAAATTATTTGTTTTAGTTGTTTTTTTATAATTATTATTGAAACTGATTACCCCAATTTATTCACTACATGTAGGCTAAACAGGCTTTAATACAAAGAGGATTTCAGGCAATATTAGCAGAAATCAGCACTGATGGTGACACCATTTACATTATCAAAGTGGGAACAAATTGTGAGTGAGTTGTGTCTACCTGTAGGAGCCTGGTGAACAGGATTGGTGGGTACACTGTGTCCCTGTTCTTCCTCTAACTGGGACAAATCCATCTGAGTATCATCCATTCCTAGGGCTGAAATAAATAAACACTCACCTTGTAGTGAACAATCCTGAGATAAAATTGATAATGTTGAGACTTTCATTCCATCTCTTGAGAATATTTTTTTACTTTAAAACTGTATTAGAAAACCAGTTTTTATCGTCATGTTGGATACAGGACAATTCTACAGGATAACAAGATAATGTATTACCCAAATTTTATGATTGTAGCCATATGTTGGTCAGGGGTATTCGTTAATTCTCTGAAAAAAGTGCCTCCCCCTCTGTTACGGTTAATTCTGAAACAACCCTCAAGTATATTTGTACTACTAGTACGAGTGTGTTTGTGTACCTTCCTGGGACTCGAGTTGGCCGAGGTCGTGGTGGGCGATGGCCTCTGTGTGACTGGTGAAGGTGAACCTCTGGTGGGGGATCTGGGGAGAACTGTAACACAACAACACGACACTGAAGAGAAGTGGACAATTTAAAGGGTCAGACCGAAATTCAAACCAGGGACCACAAACTCTAGATAGAGCATCTACCTAACTACACTTCCTGCTCTGTTGTCACTTTTCTGCCGTTGCAAAATAAATTGTATACTTTTTTGGGTAGATCATGATAAGTATAATCAATATAATAATTTTCACGAAAAACACAGAAATATCAGAAGAAATTTTTGATTTTGCTATTAACAAACTAAATTTTACTTCTGGGTTCAACTAGAATGGCATATAATAGTTCAAAAGCTAAAAGCCACATGGTTAAAATGAAAGCAATGCAGCAGCTTGTCCAGATTTGCCATACCTGACAGCCTCTGCAAATCCTCCATCACCTCTGTTGGGGACAAACAGTGTTGGAGTACTGGGCACGATACAGTCCTCTCCATCCTCAAACCCTCCGGCTTGTCCCTGCAAAAATAGCACACAACTCTCCACATCACCTCAAATACACAGTAAATCAACCTTCATCACAGCTTAATAATTCTTTTCCGTGAATGTTATTCTGGAATTCTTCAGAAACCAAACTGCAACGATATCCTCTAATAATTATTGTAAAATCTAAGCCTCGTGTTTGTCAACTTAAGAATCTCCCCCCCCTCGGGTTGAGATCCCCCTATCTCACCCCCAAGGGGGTGAAAGATTTTATTAATCTCACACCTCACTCACCCCCAGTACAAATGCTGTCAGATGTTCCTCAGTCAACCATAGACTGGACTGATATAGGTTATTATACATCTCACACCTCACTCACCCCCAGTACCTCACTCAACCCCCAGTACCTCACTCAATCCCAGTACCCTCACTCACCCCCAGTACAAATGCTGTCAGATGGTCCTCAGTCAACCATAGACTGGACTGATATAGGTTATAACACATCTCACACCTCACTCACCCCCAGTACAAATGCTGTCAGATGGTCCTCAGTCAACCATAGACTGGACTGATATAGGTTATTAAACATCTCACACCTCACTCACCCCCAGTACCTCACTCACCCCCAGTACCCTCACTCACCCCCAGTACCTCACTCCCCCCCAGTACCTCACTCACCCCCCAGTACCTCACTCCCCCCCCAGTACCTCACTCACCCCCAGTACAAATGCTGTCAGATGTTCCTCAGTCAACCATATACTGGACTGATATAGGTTATTACACATCTCACACCTCACTCACCCCCCAGTACCTCACCCACCCCCAGTACAAATGCTGTCAGATGTTCCTCAGTCAACCATAGACTGGACTGATATAGGTTATTATACATCTCACACCTCACTCACCCCCAGTACCTCACTCAACCCCAGTACCCTCACTCACCCCCAGTACCTCACTCACCCCCAGTACCCTCACTCACCCCCAGTACCTCACTCACCCCCAGTACCTCACTCACCCCCAGTACCTCACTCACCCCAAGTACCTCACTCACCCCCAGAACCTCACCCACCCCCAGTACCTCACTCACCCCCAGTACAAATGGTGCAAGCTGTGTACGCGTGACAGACATCTGGCGCTCCATGGCATGGAACGGTAGCTGTGAGCGCTGGCTAACTGGCGTCTGTACAGAGGGCGCTACCACTTGTGGCACAGGCTGCACCTCCGGCTCCTGTGGCTCCATCTGGTTGTCATTATCCTCGTCATCTTGAAGTTTGAAGTTAAAAACAGTTTTTTAAGCATCTAGTTAAATAATTGGCTTCACAAAGGAAATAAAATAGATAACAGAAAGAGGTGTTTGTATGAATCAATAAAATGAAAACATAATGGTTTCATTTATCAACACTGCAAGAGGCTTACATACATTGTATTAAACTGTACATGTGATGACCTACAATGTATCAACCCCCTATATATGATAACCTACCATGGTTACTAGATCTTAAACCCAATGTGACAATGCCATTGTCTTCCTCCAGCCCAGCCTCCTGTGTTGACCTATGACCTCTGTAATGACCTATTACCTTGTGATATGACCTACTGACCTACAATGACCACTTCATCGTCTCCCTCATCTCCAGGGCTGTGCATTTCCCCAGGCTGTGTGTCTGTCTGGTACTCATCTTCCCCCTCTTCAGCGTGTCCCTCTGGTAACTAGACAAAAATAATCACAGCTAATTAATAGATGCATTAAAAACATTATTAGACAAAATAAATACAGGTCATCAAAAAAAATATTAACAGATATTTGGAAAAAGGAGGCAAAGCTAATTGAACAAAAAACACCAGCTAATTAGACATAACAAACAGTAGAGTTGCCAATAATGTCTTTTATCGGTGCTACATTTGTTAAACATATTTTGAAAATACCTATACTGCAAAAACATCCATTTCAGATACTTGTGTTAATTTACCAAGGAATAACAATAAAATATTCCAAGATTTGAGTCAAAACCATCTGTGATATGAAATTGGGAGAATTGACCTTCTAAATAGCAAATGATATTGTACAACAGATTTTTAGGTGAGTGTACTTCTTAAACACTCTGTCTACACATACACCCGACACACTGTCTACACATACACACGACACCTTCTCTACACATTCACACAACACACTGTCTACACATACACACGACACCTTGTCTACACATACAAACGACACCTTGTCTACACATACACACAACACACTGCTTACACATACACACAACACACTGTCTACACATACACAGGACACCTTGTCTACACATACACACGACACCTTGTGTACACATACACACAACACACTATCTACACAAACAAACGACACCTTGTCTACACATACACACAACACACTGCTTACACATACACACAACACACTGTCTACACATACACATGACACCTTGTCTACACATTCACACAACCCATGGTCTACACATACACACAACACCTTGTCTACACAAACAAACGACACCTTGTCTACACATACACATGACACACTGTCTACACATACACACGACACCTTGTCTACATATACACACAACACATTGTCTACACATACACACAACCCACTGTCTACACATAAACACAACACACTGTCTACACATACACAGGACACCTTGTCTACACAAACAAACGACACCTTGTCTACATATACACACAACACACTGTCTACACAAACAAACGACACCTTGTCTACACATACACACAACACACTGTCTAAACATACACACAACACATTGTCTACACATACACACAACAACACATTGTACATATACGCACCTCCTCATAGTCATCATCTTGTATTGGTTCATCATCGTCTTCTTCCTCGTCCTCATCGTAATCACCCATTTCTTCATTATATCCTTCATTATCATCATCATCATCGTAATCTTCCGCATCCTCATCATCTTCCTCATCGCTCTCCACAACGATGACTGCATCATCATCATCATCATCTGCCTCCTCCACTTCAGTCTCCTCTTCTATCATTTCCTGTGTCATTTCAAAGAAAAATGAGAGTACAACATGAGAGTACAACAGGTGATGAATTGTCTGTTGGTGAATTATTTAGGGAGAATTCTTGTAAAACTTTTTCTACTTACACATCCCGCCAATTTGTTACGTTATGATTCATTCTTACTTTACATATGAAATCCACTTGACCTTTAATTTTGATTTTGTACTTTATAACAAATCATGTCTTTATACGTTATTTTTCTTCTATCTTTCGAGACAAATTGTCAAATACAAAAATATATATATATATATTCCCCCCCGCCTTGTCCTTGTCTACTATCAACAGAAATCAGATTGTTATCAGATACTCTTCCTTAATACTGGGCACATACCTGAGTATCAAAGCACACGGTGGCCTGACTTTCGTAGGCCTGGTCCAGTGACGACTCAAAAATCTATAAATGAAGGAGACAGAGGTGAAACTTGACATGACGACAATAGGTATGATTTAAATTGTAGGTTGTGAATTCTGAATTTTAAGAAGCAATATTATTGAGTTCCTATTGTGTAGAACTGTCAAGAAATTTGTAGGGAATAGTAAGTGAATATGTCCCCGGGTGTCTTACCTGTGTGGGTAAACTGTCTGACGGAACCTCTGACCCCGTAACCTCGGTATCCTGGGTAGCCGTGCCTCCCTGTTCGGGAATGGGCGTTGTGTTGGCATGCTCATCAGTAACAGTGATAGATGGGAGTGCCTGCTGGTCCTGTAACAGGAGGAGACAACTCTTGATGATTTATATAGTAATCTAAACATGACAACTGACCTCTAGAAGCCTAAATCAGTCAGCAATAGTAGACACATACCAATATTTAGTAGCAATTTTTTATAAGGGCTGTATCAGAAATAACCATGGGTGGGAGGCACTTTATAGGAGACCCCACCACCAATTAAATATTAAACCCCACCGCCAATAAAATATTTAACCCCGCCACCAATTAAATATTAAACCCCATCACCATTTAAATATTAATCCCCACCGCCAATTAAATATTAAACCCCACCGCCAATTAAATATTAAACCCTGCGACCAATTAAATATTAAACCCCACCTTCAATTAAATATTAAACCCAATCACCATTTAAATATTAAAGTAATTTAATATTTGAAATGGTTGGCAGATCTAATTAAACCCACCACCTATAATATATAAACTCAGGTGCCTCCCAGCTCCCCTAGATAAGTAATGATGGAATATTCACAATATATATTGAGAGTACATTGACACACATTCAACCATCAAAGTTAAAACTCAACAGTAAATGTTATTAATATTGTCAACCTCTACTTAACATATTTTTCATGTTTGCTTCTCTTCACACTGTGTTCTACTGTTACCGACTCACTCCCACATCAACCGTGACAACGTCATGTTTGACACATCATTGATACTCGAGGGGTTACGCTCACTTTCGCTCTCCAACTCTGGGAATAAGTCATACCAAAATTGAAGGCTCACGGCTAGCTACTTGATCGGTCTTGGGTAAAAAAAGCTCTGACCAATCACTAGGCTGATCCCTGTTCTTTGAAGATTAGAGAGGAGCGACACACAACTTTAAAGCCAGTCAATTTTACATTTAAGCAACCGACAGATTCTTTTTCATGTACATCAAAGGATCAAACTAGTCTCCTCGTCTCATCCACAGGGTGACGCCCACCAAGCCTTCATTTTTGTTATGACATATTCCCGGGGTGCAGAGAGCGAAAGTGAGCGTAACCCCTCGAGTATTGAGGATGTGTTGGACAGGAAGTATTACTTACAATGGCTATGCATTCAACAACATAACACTGACTAACACCATACTTCACATAATGATACTTTACTCACTTACTTACCAGAATAATGTTCTACATCAAGAGACTTAGTTTACCTTTATATAAGAGATACAAATATCAATAACTCGTCATACTTACAGGAGATACTCTCGTTCTTTTGGCGTCCGTCTCCTCCTCATGTCTGCCAAAAAAGAAGAAATAATCAAAAATTATTAACTAAATAAAAGAATAAGATTTCCAGGACATTCTCGATACAATTATTTCACCAAATAGCATACCTATATATACATGGTAGACATTTGGTTTAAACAATATTTTATTTCATTCATCATATATAATAACTACACAGGTAAATAGGAATAGAATCTGGCAACAAGATTGTAAATCTTATATATATAAAGCCATCTCCCTTGAAATGCAATTGCATAAAAGAAGTTCTTCAACATGTAGTTAATTAATACACATAAATTGTTTAAACCAACAGTTTGAGAAGCACGTGCGGTTTATAGCCGACCAATGAGATTGTTTCGAAAGCGTAAGGCGTGATGGGGTTAGTTTGTTAGGCATTCTAGCTTTTGGTCAGCTCAGGAACGGACCGTTTGAATTCAGCATAATTCATTGTAATATAAGGGAAATAATAGCTTGTAACTCTTGAATGTATGAAGATCGTGTTCATACTCCATGTTTAGAAATACCAGCAAGGTAAACCTGAAGCATTGGGCTGGTACACCTCCTGTAACCCTAAAATGGGTTTTCAGGTTGGGTGGCAGGCTTGGTTTATTTAGATAAACATGGTCTGAGAGGGGGAGATGTCGAGTGTGGGTTACACGTATGATGTATATATGTGCATAAAACAACGATTTGAAATAAACGCCGACTCATTCGTTCCTAAAGGCCGAGCAGCTAATTGCATATAAGGAGTTGTTTTTTTTTTATACGGAGTAGTAAGTATATAGAGGACTTTAACCTTTCAGGGTTCAAATTAATATGTGAAGTTCCTATGGTGTTCATTCTAGCTTGGTCGATATTTAATCTAAGCAGTTTCTTTCAACATGCTACTAAGTCAAAATGTTATAACACTGATATTTGTTTGCTATGGCCGAGTTAGACGATTGACCATTTATTTCAGACATATAAGAGAGTCAGTAATTCAGAGTCATCTATATGTGCGGCATTTCTGTCGCATAGACATTGGAAATTGGGGGCCAAATGTACATTTCTACAGGAATCCCAGAAGGGCACCTCCAAATATAATCACTGTACACCTGATCCTATATTGGAGATTATTTTAGGAGGCAGATAGAGTAGGTTTGACTGTTTCCAAATCTCACCCTTCCATGTCGTCACGTGAACGTTTCAGTTGAGTGCCTGTTGCTTGGGAGTCGCAGGCTGCTGAAGAAGATGGCTGTGGATCTACGGCAGCCATCTCTGTGTGACTACTCACTACCTCTGTCTCCGTGACAACCACTGTTGGTTCTGTAAAAAAAAAGAAAATTATTCATACAGGATTGCTTAGAGTAATTGTGTTGTTTGATTTTGTCAAGACAACTAAGTAACTGTTAACCAATAAAAACGTTAAAGTGTTGACTTGACTAGACCCAGTGATGCTGATCTCAACTTAGGGACACTCGGATGTGCTTAAAGAGACCTTCCCTTACCGGAGCAGTGTCTTTTTTGTTTATCTTTTTCCAAACAGTTTTATTGCTTGGACCTGATTTGTTCATTTAAGAAGTACAACTCACCCAGTGATTTGGTGCCATTTTATGGTGAGCCTTGATTAGATAGAGCCAGGATCATAAACTATATTTTACGAATGCAATTTTTTTTTAAAGATCTTATTTGAATTTAGAAATTGAACATTGGCGTGAAGGGTTTAGCCCACTGAAATAGAAGAAACGGAATATATCCTATCATGTAATACAGCTTTCTAATCAAAGCTCTCTACAACCTTAGAGAGATAGATGCTTACCTGTGCCAGATTCCACCTGGGGAGTGACCCTTTGAACATGCTGGGTGGGGCGGGCCAGGGCAGGAGACAGCTGGGACACTTGGGAGCTCTCTGTAGGAGCACAAACACACAAGAGTATTGTATGATCAGTCAGTATCAGTTAAGAGTATTGTATGATCAGTCAGTAGCAGTTAAGAGTATTGCATGATCAGTTAGTATCAGTTAAGACAATTCTGATAGTGATCAGAACATAATCATATAGAGTAGTAATAGGATTGCTGACATTTAGAGTAGCTGTTGTAATGAAATCATGCATATCTATGGATGGACAATCACTATTATAGGTATAGCCTAGGCTTGACATGGAGCATTGCGGTTGGGGCAGGTGCAACCCCATGTCAGACAAGTTAAATGTCTCCATCAAATTTCAAAAAGATTAGTCATTTGGATTCGAGGTTATCTCTGAAAACAAAAGTTTAGACGGACGGACAGACTTAACCACAAAGAAAGGTCAAAGAAAAATTCCCAACCTACCCTGGTTGTCCTGAACAGATACTGTGGTTGGCATGACAGTAGCCGTCGGTGTGGGGCCACTACTGGGTGCCACTGTTGTTGGGGCAATGGCCATCGGTCGAATACTGGCGGTGGCTTTAGTGGCAGCAGACTGTGGCTGAATCTGAGCAGGCTGGGTCCGCGGTGTTACAGGTACCGGGGACGCCATCGGCCGGATGTTGGCCGTCTTTGGAGCCTCAGAGGTAGGCGCACTTCAGAGAAAAAAGTCAACATTCATATGAATTCAGCTGTTGTCTTATGTCATCTTTTTACTTTACCTTTTAAAATTCATTCATTGTAATCATATAACTTTTAAGATTCATCTGAGCTGTATTAATCGAAGCACAGCCAAATCAACTTGTCCATTGAATGTCATCTTGTGCATTTTTGGCACCTACCTGTAATTGATCATACACTTTACTGGTCATTTGTTTGATGAAGGTGACAGAGTACATATCAAACTATCATCAAAACATCAACCATAAACATTTCACAGGTTGTGCTGTAGGAACTTGAATTTAATATATATAAATATATATACCAACCCGAAGAAAATATTTCGAAACTTCAAAATTTGATCAATAGATTTAAACTGAAAATGTGGTAACAATTGATCCAAAAATCTTGAAATCAAGTAGGATTGAGCAAGGTAAATGAACTGATTAAACAAAAGCTACTGACCGACATGACCACAATAACTTACCTGACACGCTCCACCGTGACAGTGGCAGAGGGTCGAGCCACCTGTGGTTGTGGCGGAACTGACTTGGTCTGCTGGGACTCGATCTGCTTCTGTAACTGTTGTATCTGTTAAACAATATAAAATAAATTCATAAATTCTAAAGAAACTTGAGAATATTTTTTTGTTGAATTGCCATCTCTATTTAATTGAAACTGACTTTCACATTTCAGCTGGTTTGTATACAATAACATAGCAAGTCTGCAACTCCAGCAGATTCTATTTAGAAATCTCCAAAGAAATAAAGAGAAAAGGCATCAAAATTTCATAATAGCACTCTGCAGGGTACTAAATTTCAATTCAATAGTATTTCAATGCTTCTTTTTCTGCTATTGACTATCTCGTTTTGTTTTTCAAGCCAATATACCAACTCCTTTCATAATGACAACACTTTCACGAGAAAGCACCCAGGGGTGGCATATCCCCAGGGAAAAGTCACATTTGTTCTGAAGTTATCATCTGGAAAAGTGTAACCAACCAGGATTCTATTTTTTAGCAACACTGACCTTGCAATTGACTTCTACTGGACCATGCCCAAAATCGATAAGGATCTTTGCATCCACTAGAGCAACGTTAACACAGACACTAAGTTTGAAGATTTTATGATCATTTGTTCTCAAATTATCATCCGAAAAGTGCGATGGACAGCCACCATGCCTGACCAGTCTATTTGTTCAGTGGGAGAGGGGGACTAACCTTGGTCTGTAGCTCGGTGGCGATGGACAGCCCCCCTGCCTGACCAGTCTATTTGGTCAGTGGGAGTGGGGGACTAACCTCTGTAGTTCGGTGGCGATGGACAGCCACCATGCCTGACCAGTCTATTTGTTCAGTGGGAGTGGGGGACTGACCTTGGTCTGTAGCTCGGTGGCGATGGACACCCCCCCTGCCTGACCAGTCTATTTGGTCAGTGGGAGTGGGGGGCTAACCTTGGTCTGTAGCTCGGTGGCGATGGCCCCCCTGCCTGACCAGTCTATTTGTTCAGTGGGGGTGGGGGACTAACCTTGGTCTGTAGGTCGGTGGCGATGGACAGCCCCCCTGCCTGACCAGTCTATTTGGTCAGTGGGAGTGGGGGGCTAACCTTGTTCTGTAGCACGGTGGCGATGGACAGCCACCATGCCTGACCAGTATATTTGTTCAGAGGGAGAGGGGGACTAACCTTGGTCTGTAGTTAGGTGGCGATGGACAGCCACCATGCCTGACCAGTATATTTGTTCAGAGGGAGAGGGGGACTAACCTTGGTCTGTAGTTAGGTGGCGATGGACAGCCACCATGCCTGACCAGTCTATTTGTTCAGTGGGAGTGGGGGACTGACCTTGGTCTGTAGCTCGGTGGCGATGGACAGTCACCCTGCCTGACCAGTCTATTTGGTCAGTGGGAGTGGGGGACTAAACTTGGTCTGTAGCTCGGTGGCGATGGACAGCCCCCCTGCCTGACCAGTGTATTTGGTCAGTGGGAGTGGGGGACTAACCTCTGTAGTTGGGTGGCGATGGACAGCCACCATGCCTGACCAGTATATTTGTTCAGAGGGAGAGGGGGACTAACCTTGGTCTGTAGTTAGGTGGCGATGGACAGCCACCATGCCTGACCAGTATATTTGTTCAGTGGGAGTGGGGGACTAACATTGGTCTGTAGTTCGGTGGCGATGGACAGCCACCATGCCTGACCAGTATATTTGTTCAGTGGGAGGGGGGGACTAACATTGGTCTGTAGTTCGGTGGCGATGGACAGCCGCCCTGCCTGACCAGTCTATTTGGTCAGTGGGGGACTAACCTTGGTCTGTAGCTCGGGGGCGATGGACAGCCACCCTGCCTGACCAGTCTGTTTGGTCAGTGGGAGTGGGGGACTAACCTCTGTAGTTCGGTGGCGGTGGACAGCCACCCTGCCTGACCAGTCTATTTGTTCAGTGGGAGTGGGGGCCTAACCTTGGTCTGTAGCTCGGTGGCGATGGACACCCTGCCTGACCAGTCTATTTGGTCAGTGGGGGACTAACCTTGGTCTGTAGCTCGGTGGCGATGGACAGCCACCCTGCCTGACCAGTGTATTTGGTCAGGGGGAGTGGGGGACTAACCTTGGTCTGTAGTTCGCTGGCGATGGACAGCCAAGCCACCTGACCAGTCTATTTGGTCAGTGGGAGTTGGGGACTAACCTTGGTCTGTAGCTCGGTGGCGATGGACAGCCACCCTGCCTGACCAGTCCATTTGGTCAGTGGGAGTGGGGGACTAACCTTGGTCTGTAGCTCGGTGTTTTCCTCCTGGGCTCTCTGTAACACAGTTTGTACCTCAGACACATTGTTAATGGCAGAATCCTTTGTAGCTCGGGTTTCTGCCAGTTCTTTCTCCATTTTGGACAGTTTCTCTTCCACCTCTGATCGTACTGCCAACACTCTCTGCTCTACATCACCTAAGTGTTTGAAATCAAGGTCTGACATCAGCAGCGGCAAATTTTGCTACAACACAGCTGAACCAGACTAGTGAGACAAGTTTATGACCTGCCAACACCCGTGGTCTCTGTTGATAACTTTGTTTTGTATGATTTCAAAGCTTGAAAAATGGGATACTTAAAACAATCAATTACAAGAATAAGGGATCTAAATCATGTCTTTCACTGAACTTACTTAACTATTTTTTATTTAATAACTTACCATAGAAATCATAAATATATGCAAACAAGTTTTTTCTAATAATCAAAAAGAATGATGATAAAATTTGAAAGCTGCAGCCATAGAGAATGTTTTATGATTGTGATGATTATCTGCGATGACTTCAGACATGAAGATATTTTACGATAATGACACTCTGAAACAGTTGCAGACAAAGACGTTGTATAAAACCTGTACTGTAACAGTAGTTGAAAAAGACAACACACCTTTCATTTTTTCTGACACGGACATCTTCTGTTTTTCAGACATGGACAGTTTCTGTTTCAGATCGTTCATTTCTGTAGTGACTTTTTCAATCTGTTCATTCTGCGAGCCAATCTTTTTCTTTGCAGCTTGTAAGACGTTTCGTGATTGGTTGAGTTTTTTTTCATATTCAGCATTTTCTTCCCTGACCTTGGAACTTTCCTCTTTACTCTGTGTCAGCTCCTGAAATTATAATGCTTAACTGGTTAACAGTGTCAGCTTCTGAAGTTATAATGCTTAACTGGTAAACAGTGTCAGCTCCTGAAAATAATCATTCTTAACTGGTTAACAGTGTCAGCTCCTCGTTAGCTTTACGGTTAAACCTTTCAATTTCCCCCCTCTTCTTTTCTACTCCAGTTCCCCCTCCCCCTCCAACTAGCTACTGATTCTGGCAAACATATTCTCTTTGAACACAATTTCTAAGGCAAACATTTACTCATGTAACATTTGCTTATCTGACAAAGAATTTCCTCATCAGCATCAAACTCATATGTATTTCACATTTGTATATCTGACAAGGAATTTCAAATGACACTGCATTACATTTGATCTTTTCATCATTGATGAATTTGAAGATCTTTTTCAGGAGATGATATACAGACCTGTTGTAGTTTTAAGGACTGTTCCTTGGTAGTGTTGGACTCGGTCGTCGTCTGCTCCAATCTCTGTTTGAGTTCGTCTCTCTCCTTCTCTGCGGCGCTGAGCTTCTCCTGGATGGGAGCCACGGCCTGTTCAATGACCTCTGTGCTTGGTGGAGCAGGTTCTTTACTCTGAGCTGCCTGTTGGGCCTGGAAGTCGTCCAGCTCTTTCCGTACGGCCTCCGCCTGCTCCTTATACTTTCGTCCGATCTTCTTCAGCTGTAAAGGAAATTTTTATCAGATCATTCTTAACTCTACTTTTCATCAGTACATTTTCACATTGCAAATTAAAAGTCACTAGACCTTAACAGAACATAAACAAGTAATTGTTAACATAAGGATCCAGTGATCATGAGTGAGCTGAGCAATGCTAAGAAGCAATATTACAGTGAGAGTAAGAACTACATGGCCCTGGACCAGTTGTGTCCATTTAACCTGACTAGGGAAGGAGACAAACAAACATAGTAAGAACTACGAGGCCCTGGACCAGTTGTGTCCATTTAACCTGACTAGGGAAGGTGACAAAAAACCAAAGTAAGAACTACGAGGCCCTGGTCCAGTTGTGTCCATTAAACCTGACTAGGGAAGGTGACAAACTAAGAACTACGAGGCCATTAAACCTGACTAGGGAAAGAGACACACTAACATCCTGTTATGATTACAGAGAAGTTTCTTACCTGGTTTATTGTTTTTGTCTTTTCTTCACTGTCGTTGTCCTTTGTTACACATTCAGCCACTTTGCCTGCAATTTCCTTCCTGTTTTATGTTTAAATAAAAGTCAAAAATCATGAAACAGGAATATAGTGATGATACCCATTAGAAAGACTTTTTTGAAATCAAATAAGAGTTACTGATTTGAAGAACAAATGTGTTTCCTCAAGCAACGAAACCTCATAAAAAAAGTCATATGAACAAACCACAGGTTACCGATACAAGTTTAATTTTGGCATGGAATATGGACCGATCTATATTTCCACAGTCCCCACGTTACACAGGAGAAATACTTGTTTATATAAAATAACTGGAAACCAACCCTGTGAACTATACATGCATAGGTGATAAAATATTAAACAGCTGTTTTACTCACTGGAATTTTTCTGTTTCCTGCTTGCTTGCATTTAGTTCTCTCCTGTAAAATGAAACATAACACATGTATAGTCTGTCGACATGGTCAGAAGTTGTTGACAACATTTTTCAGAAAGAGAGTTGAACGAGTAAAATCTGATCCCAGTTGTGCATTGCATGCTCAGTCAAATTAACAAGATCATAAACTGTAGTTACGATTTCTTCAGGACATTACGGTCCTTAAGGATCCCTGTCCCACTGCGCTGTATTTTTTGTTTCTTTATACAGTAACTTCCCCTTAACTTCTGTTTAGATGTACATGGAACTAGAGAAAATGTTGGGTCAGGACACTTCCATTGACCTGGTAGCTTTTTATACCCAGCGAGACCCATACTCGTTACCAAGCAAGGACAAACTAAAATGTCGGCACTCCCTAAGAAACGATAGTCAGAATAGATCGGGAAGATCTCAAAACAAGATTTTTTTTTTTTTTAAATCTCAATTGAAAGCTTTTTAACTTGCACTGTCAGCTTTAAGATGTCCTTGTTCACCAAATCTGGTTACTCCAGGTGAAAAAGTATAGAAGATATGCCCGGACAAACATTTTCAAAAGTTAAGGTCAATTCATTGGTCACAGTGAGGTCATAGTGACCTAATTTGAATGCACTCTGCACTCCACGTTCCCAAGATGTCCTTGTACATCAAATCTGGTTACTACAGGTGAGATAGTATAGAAGATATGTCCCTACAAACTTCTCCCACAGAAGTATACATCCTAAGGAAACCTTATGTACAGTTTAAAATATTTCAAATTCTTGTGAAAATCTCTTTATAAAGAAACTTACTGTATTTTTTCTATTTCTTGTTTGCTGGCACCTGATTCTCTCCTGAAGTATAAAACCATGTTCTAATTTTTAACCACATAGAAGTTAAATCATTAAATAAATTATCACTATTTACCTCCTCCAAATCCTGTATTTAACGAACTTACATTTGGATATCTTTGAAATTTAAATTTTACTTACCGTTACATTTTCTTCAATGGGATAATTATATAAGCTCTATCTCAATTCAGATACTTTAATAGAAGATTCAATTTATGTCTATCACAATGACTATGTACAAAGAAAAATCCTGTACTCTACTTTAAAATTTATCAAACCTTTATAATTTTAACTTGGGTGACTTACTGTGCCATAGTCAGACTGTTTGTTAATCGGGAGACTTCAGCTCTACAAGAGAATTCAGTGAAAACATTAAATTCCAATGAAATAGATGTCCCAGTTACTGTGAAATCAGATATTTTCATGGGGCCCAATTTTAGTGGTTTCCCAGTAAAACACCATTTGTGGATTATGAGTACCAACTCATATGAAGGATTGCTTTATGTCAAACTTACATTAATTTGGTGGACCTATGAAATCAATGAAATTACAAACTAACGAAAATTAGTGATTTCAGTCTATATATTTCTAATGCATAGTTCTGACAGAGTAAATGTTGAATATGAATAGTAAATATAAAATATACTGCTGGGTATAATTGTCTTATAATACCCCGTTCACACATAGACGCCTCTTTTACTACAATGGAAAAGGGGTGAAAAGTGTGGCCAATCGTGGCCAACTGTAGTCCAAAATTTCCCAAATTTCTGGATTTTTACAGCGATAATACCCGATTAGAGAAGGTATTAAACACTAAACAATAAGAACATCAGCTGTAAATTATCCCATTTGATAAAAGAAGCCATACAAAGTTATAAATGGGGTCTGTAAGCTCAGCCACTGTGTGTAACACTGTATAGTTTAAAGAATGTGAAGGCCCCGACATCCTCTGAATGTCTAACCTTGTTCTATGATTCTCCTCCGTCAATCTGATCACGTCCTTCCTGATGTTTTCCTTCTCCAAGCTGCAAAAGTGAATACAAACAAGATGTAATAACCAAGATATTAGACTCTTTTCATAAGTATGTTACTTACAGTCTGACAATAATACTATATGGTACATTTTATATGTATTTCACTAAAGGCGACCGTGTCAGAGGGATTGTTAAGTGGAATTCCGAGGAATTCACACAGAGAGGGGCTGACAGAAAGACGTGGTGCAATCCTATATTGCCCTCTGGTTTCACTGTTAGAGAGTAAATCATTTAGTACTTTAGGTTTGACCTAACCTATACATCATACTGGTGATATATAAATACATACATCAATTTCCTGTGCTCCTCGGGATCTGTCCTGTTGGCCTGTTCTATGAGGTGGTTTGTGCGGGACTTCCATCTCTCGACTTCATTCCTCAGGGCATCTCTCTCGGCCCCAATGGCATCACGATGGGATTGAGAGTCTCTCACACTGGACTGTAAGGGGTCGATGCTCTGCTCCAGGGTCGCCACCTGAACAATAGGGCAGTTTTATCACTAATGTAACAGAAAGGACAGTAAATTTATTTACAAGCTAAAACCCCATTATAATGTAACTGAACTGTCACTGTATTAGTAGAAACCCTTTCTCAACAAATCTGGTCATACGTATCCTACAGGATTAGTATAAGATCCTTTATTACAACATGAATGCTGAACTTTTCAACACTGTAGTATTACGGATTGAATTTTTTATTTTTGCTTGCCTAGGTCAATCACCATGGTAATGATAGCATATTCTAACACAAGATGCTTGAGTGACGATAAAGATATGAGTGACCTTGACCTTAACACCATGAAAAACCAACTTCTTTGAGGTACTCTCATACTTCACCTTTGTATATGAAGTTCAATTCAAATCCATTAGTAAAATGAAACTACTAGAGTGATGATATGTTAGTACACAAGTATAAATGGAACACTTTATCTCCCAAACGACTTTTTTTTTTCATCCAGCTGAACCTATAAAGAAAATGACAGGCTCGGATCTGAACCGAGGCTTAACCTCAAGAATATTCAGCACGAGTATATATATCGAGGGGTCCAGACATGCCTGACAGAAATTACATATTCCAAAGACATATTATGCTTGAATTATTGTTATTTATTTGTCACAAACCCTGAAACTGCAATTTTTTTTAGCTCTGTCTACATTTTGTTTCAAGTACATTTGTTTATCGCGGAACATTCTTTGCCACCGGTGCACCTGCACCATTTCAACTCGGATACGCGAATGAGACCCAGTATGTCCTTTCCAGACCAATCTCCTGACCACACCAGTGTTTGCCTCCATTACACCCTACCTTAGCCTCCAGGGTCTGGACCTGCTGCTCCGATTTCGTTTTCTCGTCCCTCAGCAGACGGTTACTGTCTGTGAGGAGGTTCAGATTCTCCACCTTCCTCATCAGCTCAGCGTGCTGGGCTGCTGTCTGTAGATTAGTCTGAAACCAAAAACCTCAGATCTCTGTAAGTGCCAAACATACAATGTTTAGTGTATATAGATATATATAAAACTTACATGATCATATCCATTCTCTTATTAATGTGTTGATATATAAAAAAAAAAATATATAAATGCATGTTAATTCTAAAGAAAATTGTTGATATCAAAAAATACAAATATAAAAAAAAAGCATGTTAGATCTGAAGAAAATTGTTGACATAAAAAAAAGCATTTTAAATTAGAATATTTTTTTATTATTAGTTTGATTTTTCAGTCCTTTAAAAAAAAAAAGGAAAACAAACATACATAACATACTGTAGCTAAAAAATAAGGAACAATTATAAGGTAAACATTTTTTTAGTTTTTGGATTATATCACATAGATGATACATTGATGATTAAAGACTGAAATATGTAACTTCTAGGTACTACATTTATTTCCAGAAAATGTTAGACTGAGATTTCGAAAGGAAGTATGTAGTTAGTACATGTTGCTCCTGCAGCACTCACCTGTGAGTGTTCCCGCTCCTCACGCATTGCATCGTTGGCCTCCTCCAGGGAGCGCTGTACTCGCTCCAGCTGCTGACGCACAGTTTTTGACTCGGACTGTACAATCTCCAGCTTTGTTTCTGCAATCTCTTTCTCACGACGTAAAAATCTGTGAAAAAAGTGACAAACGTTCAAAATAGCAGTTTTATATATCATTTATTTGGAAATAAGTAATTTCAATGGCCAGATTTCTTAATACTTCTTTCTGCAGTATACCATACAGTAATGTGGGAATCAGACGGTGTATTTCAGCACTGTATCTAGTACAGGTTGTAATTTGAGTACTCACTTCACCACTTCGAGGAGTTGTTCCGATGACTTGGCCGTGTCCTCAGGACTTGTTGAAAATGATTCATTACGAGTGACAGCCTGTTGGACAGCCACAACATCCAGACTCATCTGAACAAAAGACAAACAAATATCTAAAACAAGTACCACAATGATGTCAATGTCATATTTAGAGTACTTGCCCTTAGGCAATTTTATAAACATTTCTACAAACCTAACCTATATTTACCTAATTTTTGCTAGTTTTTACACAATATCTACTGGCTAGTAGATCTGTCAAACCCTGGATAATGATCAATAACTATCTCTTAAAGTGATTGACTTTAATGGAATTCTGGTACCCTACTCTGGAGAAAAACTATACATTGTCTTATGGAGTGTGTAATGACACACATACCCTGCCATAATTAGATCCTTAAGATCAAATCTGATGCAAAAGTGATATACTATATGACACTATAAGCTTTTATTCTTTTGATGATTTTGTCAAAACAAAGTTTAACTTTCGCCTTTTTCGTCCTTCATAATGAGGACAAATTTACCACAACATTGAAAATAAGTACACAACATGCTATACATAGGAATAACTTGTTAAGAGAGAAATGAACACTGTGCCAAAATTGGATCTACCACTGAAGGATAAAAACTTGACTGGGCGAAGGTTTCCTGGTATACAGAAAATTGGGCCACGGTGGCCAAGTGGTTAAGGCGTCTGACATTCTGCTACCACTAGCCCTCCACCACTGGGTCGCGGGTCCGAGGCCTACGTGGGACAGTCCCCCAGGTAATAGCCGTAAGTTGGTGTTTTTTCTCCGGAAACTCCGACTTTCCTCCACCACTAACCTGGCCCGTCCTTAAATGAACATACCTGTTAATAGGACGAAGACCACAAACAAACCTAACCACATATCTAAAACATAAAATGCATACCTTCTCTATCTGCTGGTGTAGAAGATTGTTTTGTTGAGAGAAATCTTGGATCCTCTTCTGCAGACGCACACACTCCGTTTTGAGTGTTTTCTCCTGCTCTTGCCAAGACCCCTGTTAATACAAATATTTTTGAACATGATAATAAAGTGGTTTTCTATCAAACCGTCGAAATAAAAACCTGGCCTCTTCTCACTATCCTCAAGTTATTGTCCTCTGAAACATCAATGTTTCTTCTAAACATAATTAAGTGGTTTTCTATCAAACTAGAAAAATAAAAATCTAGCCAGTTCTAGGGCTGTCATTGATGAGAAAATTGTATCATTACCTTGATGGCAAATAATATTGATATATCGATATAATGACCAGCCATCTTTGAGTCATGATTGGAGTCCATGGTTTAATGTTCATTCAAATTAATTGTAAGTATATGCAATCATTTCCATTTTCAATTTTAACAATCTATATTTAAGTACACGAAATTTTCATACAACTTATTTGTCTAAATAGTAATATATTTTTATATATATTCCAAAAAATATGTCATGATAATTTTTTATACAGACCAATATCGATATGCTAAAATTGTATCAATATCATATCAAACTATTTTTTATCGATGTTATAACGATATTTAATCCATCAATGACAGCCCTGGCCTGTTCTCATTATCCTTTAAAGACTATATCAGTATGGTCGTCTAAAACTTCAATGACAGCCCTGGCCTGGTCTCATTATCCTTTAAAGACTATATCAGTATGGTCGCCTAAAACATCAATGACAGCCCTGGCCTGTTCTCATTATACTTTAAAGACTATATCAGTATGGTCGTCTAAAACATCAATGAAAGCCCTAGCCTGTTCTCATTATCCTTTAAAGACTATATCAGTATGGTCGCCTAAAACATCAATGACAGCCCTGGCCTGTTCTCATTATACTTTAACGACAATAACAGTATGGTCGTCTAAAACATCAATGACAGCCCCGGCCTGTTCTCATTATCCTTTAAAGACTATATCATTATGGTCGTCTAAAACATCAATGACAGCCCTGGACTGTTCTCATTATCCTTTAAAGACTATATCAGTATGGTCTTCTAAAACATCAATGACAGCCCTGGCCTGTTCTCATTATACTTTAACGACAATAACAGTATGGTCGTCTAAAACATCAATGACAGCCCTGGCCTGTTCTCATTATACTTTAACGACAATAACAGTATGGTCGTCTAAAACATCAATGACAGCCCCGGCCTGTTCTCATTATCCTTTAAAGACTATATCATTATGGTCGTCTAAAACATCAATGACAGCCCTGGCCTGTTCTCATTATACTTTAACGACAATATCAGTATAGTCGTCTAAAACATCAATGACAGCCCTGGCCTGTTTTCATTATCCTTTAAAGACTATATCAGTATGGTCGTCTAAAACTTCAATGACAGCCCTGGCCTGGTCTCATTATCCTTTAAAGACTATATCAGTATGGTCGTCTAAAACATCAATGACAGCCCTAGCCTGTTCTCATTATCCTTTAAAGACTATATCAGTATGGTCTTCTAAAACATCAATGACAGCCCTGGCCTGTTCTCATTATACTTTAACGACAATATCAGTATAGTCGTCTAAAACATCAATGACAGCCCTGGCCTGTTTTCATTATCCTTTAAAGACTATATCAGTATGGTCGTCTAAAACATCAATGGTTTATTTTATAACATACGCAGCATTACAATCAACATATTTCATGGACCGCAACACGTTGTTACAGATATGTAAATGCATTTGGAACACCCTAGTTATATCTTAAGGATCCCAGTGCCACTGCACTGAGTTTTTTTCCTATATACAGTATCCTCCCCTTAACCTTCGTTTAAATAGAACTGTACTACAGTTGCTCTAGGGTACTTCCATTGACTAGGTAGCTCAATTAGTTAGAGCAATGGTATAACAATCTTTGGTCCAGGGTTCAAACCCCGGGGCTAGCCCTGTATAACACTCTGTGGTCCAGGGTTCAAACCCCGGGGCTAGCCCTGTATAACACTCTGTGGTCCAGGGTTCAAACCCCGGGCCAGCCCTGTAAAACACTCTGTGGTCCAGGGTTCAAACCCCGGGCCAGCCCTGTATACCACTCTGAGGTCCAGGGTTCAAACCCCGGGCCAGCCCTGCTGACATTTTACCCTCAGAACACTGTTGTTGATCATATTTTGTTTATTTCATCTTTATTATTTCTCATAAAAGTTCCGCAAGGTGTGGCTTTCTTTTAAGAAATGATTAATTTAAAGCCATGACCATGCCGAAAAAAACGGTTTCCAGTACTGAGTTACGGTTTCTGGCAGTGGTACAGGGATTCATATGTAACATTGTAATCAAACACCTCTGTAATCAGATACCCATGTAACCTGACACCCATGTAATCAGATACCTCTGTAATCAGATACCTCTGTAATCAGACACCTCTGTAATCATACACCTCTGTAATCAGACACCCATGTAACCAGACACCCATGTAACCAGACACCCATGGTACCAGACACCTCTGTAATCAGATACCATCGTAACTTGACACCTCTGTTATCAGACATTTCTGTATCAGCTATTGTGTGCTTAGCGAGGTACATTTACCTCAAGGACATGGGTATGATATTTATTTTTAAGGTGAACTCTTATTCACTGATGGCTTATAGCTACTCACAAAATAAATCATGCAGTAAACTTTTAAAGCAGTATAAACCAAGCAATTGAAAATACCCAGTCCCAGGCCTAGAGAGGAAGAGCTTTTAAATGTCACAAAGTCAGGATCGATCTATCACCTGATCTTGTTTAAGTCTGTCATTTGTCATACCTTGGATTCCTCGAGTATCTTTTCTGCTTTGATACGGCACTCCTGTTCTGTAGCTAACTTTTCATTATGTTCGTCCATCTGAAAAAATCATATGATCTTAAACACAAAGACAAATACTTCAGTATCTTAGCTACTGACATAAATCAGAATAATACAATCACACACAATCCTATTACTGGGGAATACAATAACACAGCATGTCATACTTCAATTATTACATTGGTGTACGGGCTATTCCATGATTTATCGTATGGGGGAGGTGGGAGGCACCTTTATTAATATATTATATGGGGGAGGTGGGAGGCACCTTTATTAATATATTATATGGGGAGGTGAGAGGAACCTGCACTAATGTATTATGGGTTAAAACCAGATCTGCCTATACTATCATTCTTTATCCTAAATCAATTTTAAGACTTTAAGTATGATGGGGTCTCGGAAAAAGTGCCTCTCACCCCTCCCGTATGGTTAATTCTCAAACAGCCCTAATAACTTTCGTCCCTGTTTTGTAAAGTTTGATTTATATATTAGACCTCTATTGATGATCTTCACTGTGGAGATAATAGTTTGGGTAATCTGTAATATACCAACTGTCTCGATCACCTTACCATTATAGGGACTGTTTTAATAGTTTAGTATCCCTACACATTAGAATTGGATGAATGAGGTGGTCTCCGAAACATCTGGGGCCAGTACTTGGTTTAGGTTGATCTTCTCGAAGGTATTGGAAAGAGATCTTTGTATAAGGGCTGTTAAACTATTAATCATTTGGGAAAAGTTAGTGCTATGTTTCAAATAAAACTTAAGCATGCCCGATTTTCTTGTAAAACTTGAACTCAGTGAATCCAGGAATAGAACCACAACAGATTATGGCAGCTGCAAACACACCTGTTTCTTGATTTTATGGTTAACATGTGTACATGTCCATGAGATTTTGTATTTAATACTTGTCAATTTATATACCAAACCAATGACTGAACAAGACACAAAATATAAAACCTTCCCTACCTGTTTTTTAATGATTGTAAGGGCCTCCACGTCAGCAGCGTGTAGTATCAGTTCTCTCTGGTATTTATCCTGGACCTGGAAATCAACCAATTCTCCCGAGGTTAGGTAGACATGATGATGAACATGATGATTAATATATAATCCTGTATACTTCTCATTACAGACTTTCATTATAAACTATTTGGTTTGGTTTAGTTGGTTTAACGTCCTATCAACAGCTAAGGTCATTAAATGAAGTGTCTCCATGTGTGTTGTGTATGTGTGTATGTGTGTTGTGTATGTGTGTTGTGTATGTGTGTTGGGTATGTGTGTATGTGTATGTGTGTTGTGTATGTGTATTGTGTATGTGTGTTGTGTATGTGTGTATGTATGTTGTGTATGTGTGTATTGTGTATGTGTATGTGTGTTGTGTATTGTGTATATGTGTGTTGTGTATATGTGTTGTGTATGTGTGTTGTGTATGTGTGTATTGTGTATGTGTATGTGTGTTGTGTATTGTGTATATGTGTTTTGTGTATGTGTTGTGTGTATGTGTGTTGTGTATGTGTCTTGTGTATGTGTGTTGTATATGTGTGTTGTATATGTGTGTAGTGTATGTGTGTTGTGTATGTGTGTTGTGTATGTGTGTTGTGTATGTGTGTATGTGTGTGGATATGTGTGTTGTGTATGTGTGTATGTGTTTATGTGTGTTTTGTATGTGTGACGGAGGCAGTGTATGTTGGGAATGGTGTGCTTGCCTCCTTGTAATAGCATGGATCTGATACCGGCCTCATAGTGCTATCTCTCTGAAACACCATACCAAAGGCACCCAGCACAGCATTCCCCCCGGTCACATCATACTGACAACGGGTGAACCAGTTGTTGGCATTACCCCAAATACTGAATGTGAAGCAGGGACTAACAACTACCATTTTTGAGAACTTTGTTATGTCCTGGCCAGAGGACAGAACCCATTGCCTTCCTCACCTGGGCAGACGCTCAACATTAAAACCAGAAGTGAGGTGTTATATCAACTATCAAAGTGCCACAAACTGCTAGATGATTACCAAACTGCTGTGTGAGAAATAACAATCAAATAAACTATGTTGTAAATATGGAAACTCATTGTCCTCCTTCCTTGTCAGGGTCATAATTATATTAAAAACAAAATGTTCATTTCACATTTCTGATAGTAATCAATTTCAACGTAATTTTCATAAACAACCATGGGAAGCATTAACAACCAACCTCCGAGGCCAGGTTTGTTTGTGAGCGGTTTTCCTGGATTGCCTTCGCCTCCTTGGCGATAGCCTCCTCTCGTCGTTGAACAGCTTCCTGTAGCTCGTTTTGTAAGCACGCCAACTGCTTCCTCAAATCGGCATTCTACACAAAAATCAAGTTCACATCAACAATTACCATTTACCCACTTATGACTTTACATGTCAGCTCAACTAGGAACATATCTGGAGAAACCAATTTTATTATCCACCCGTAGTTAAATATATGAACTGAATATACTTTCTGATAATTAAATTATAAAATTAATGTTGTGCACACTAATTACTCTAATTGGGAATTTATGTATAGTTTTCCTTTTTTCACCTCAACTATTAACTGCATTGAGTTGACAGCAGAGGATTTTTGTAAGTCCTACAGTCAGAATAAAAATCTGTGTATCTCTGTATAGAATTTAATACATTGTAATAAGAAATGTTTTAAATGTTTTCCATCTGGACAAAACTACAATCAAAAGGCAAGAGTTTGATATTTTGATATAGTTTGTGAAATGAAATGATCCCACTTTCACAGCCAATCAGAGGAGAATGTGCTCGTAACTCCAGGACAAATAGACAGTTACTTCCTCAGTGTACAGTTACTGACCATCTCCGGTCAATACCAATGACTTCCTTGGGATTATTGTCCAGAGTGCCACTGTCCAGAAAGTCAGTACGACTAAGGATGTGTTCACTACCTGAACATCAAGAAATTAGTACCAATCCTCAAGCTAGACCAGTCTATTCATTTAAAGGTCATCAACCAAAATTTGATAAAATTTACCTCAACTTCGGAAAGAAGTGACCTGTTTTTAATGAGAAACAGTTTATTTTTAGAAAGACTCTTCAAAAGTAATTCTGTATACATGGCCATGGATAGATGAAGATTTCAGTAGACATGCTCATAACCATATTGTCTATTTTTTACTTAGATCCAAGATTACTGATTCCTAAGGAGATGAGTAGTCCGTTTACAACAACTAACCAGTTTGTGGCTCTCCTCTGATACCCTGATGTTCTCGTTGAGTAGATCTTGATGCTCTTTCTCCAAATCTTCTGTCCTTTTCTCTGCATGTTTCTTAGCTGTAATGAGAAAGTAAAGGAAACTCAACAGAATTCCTTGAAGTTGTAGTGGAGTTTTCACACATGAACAGACGTAGCAAAAGCTAAGATAACTGAAGTCCAGCTAAATACTAAGGATAATTTTCAACAAACATTTGACTTGTCTAGTCTTCAATCTCGGCAAAGAAAATAAATTCCGTTTACAACAACACATTTGTGATAGTGACATTACAATATCAATATTGATAATCAGAAAAAATGTTTGTAAAACATACACAGACTCCTGTTTTGATAGGCAAGGAGGAAAACACAAAGTATTACCAAAGATATGGAACTAAATGCAAATTCTAACCGGTCGGTGAAGTGGAAAATACAGATCACACTGACCTATATTTAATAAATTTCTGTAGCACTCTTCATGCTAACCCAAATGATATCCTTTATTAAAGAAGTTTTACAAACCTTCAAGCATTTCTTCAAACTTCTGCTCGAACTGGTTATTTGCCTGGAAAACAATTCAATCAAGCTCATGAATATAAACGCAAGAACAAAGCTTTGTTGGTAAGCTGATGATAAACATGTTACACTCGTGTCAGGCTGGGTAGAATAAACATGTTTAAAATGACATTAAGAAGTCATCAGGTTAACACCATGTGTCGATGAATGCTATAACAACGACCTCGAGTAAGTTTATACAAAGGCTGCTTCAACATGGACCTTGGTTGTCATCGTTAATTATATTTTATTGAACCAATTTGCACAAAACATATTTCAAATATCTAACAATCAATTTGAATCATTATATAGTCGATATGAAGAACAAAGCTAACATCTTTTATTTTATTTTATTTTTCCATTTTTCTTTCTCTTTATAAGATACACGTTCTTCTTTATTTGAACCTTTTCAGGTTCCTTGGTGTTGTTATCACTTTTTGGACAAATAAATAAAAGCCCTGATGACTGAAAATATTTTACCATTGACTGTTCATCCATGGTCTTCTGGAGTCCGTCGGCGATGGCTTTGTAATTTGTCACATGATCCTGGGATTTGCTGAGTTGATCCCGAAGAGCTGAAAAAGATAAAAATACAAACTTCAAATTCATGGAAATCCCCCTAAACATCAAAGGCTGGTTTTCTGTGCAATCAGTTTGACTACATTTTGATACCAGGTTTCTAATAAATTACAAACCTGAAAGATACACAATGAATACATGTAACATCAAATGATTTTCATTTTTTGGCAAATTTGGTGAAAAGGAACATTACGCATATGAATTGATTTCAACATCATCACGATAATTTTAATCAGTATGATACAGTAACATATTGATAAGTGTTTGAAATGTTCCTGTTGAACTAGAAGCAATCTTTAATTTTGTAGTTATGTTAAAAATGTTAAACAGGGAAAATAATACAAAATATCTGGAAAAATCAAGGTTATTTTACCAAGAGAAATCATAAAAATATTCTAGCATGCACAATAAATGAGATACGTACTGCTGACATTATGCTGAGACTGCTCCAGTTGAGATTGGAGGTCCTTCACTTCTTCGTTCACAGCCTCAGCGTTCAAGCTAACAGAGTCTATCAACACAAATATACACCAGTGACATCATGTTTTCATACACTTAACCAAAAGTTTAAGGATGCATCATTTTTTAGTTATCCATAGCTGTCCACCCTCCCTCATTAGGAGGGAGATTCCCTCATTTTGACACAAATTTATCAATCTCCCTCAAAACTCCCTCATTCAAGTCCAAACTCACACAAACTCAAAATCTACATCCTGTGGTCAAATGATCTCTTAGTTAGTGCAGGGTATGTGTGTAATGATCATATCAGGAGTGTCTGAATCATATAAATGCTTTTCGGAGTTATTTCGATTCATTAAAAGGGAAAGCAGTTTCAGTCACATTACACACTTTCTCCCTCATTGTAAATATGGAATGAGGGAGATCTCAGAGGTTGACACCTAATAGTTAACCAATGATATATCCTGAACATAGACAATTCTGAAGTGGCAAATGTTATCATCAAATTCTTCAGAAAGCAGTAACCTTTATTTGGATGCAACTACCCCGGACCAAACTCGGGGATTATAATTTCACGTATGTAATCATTAGGGGAACAAATAGCCTATGTTATTATATACATCTTCAATGAAATTCCACAGTTTGGAATTCTGTCATATCCGAGTGTCTCTTTATACACGATGTACGTATCAAACGTGACCCGATGATCGACTGGTCCCTTTGTTAAGCTCTAGTCATAGCTTGTTAAAGGTACCAGTGCTGAATGCGACGCCTTTAACATGTACATTGTTTGTGTATAAAGTAACACTTTGATAGGAAATTTGTTATTTCTTTATCCGTCTGCTTGGATTACGAAAGAAATTTCCATTAATACATTTTTTTCCCCAATTGTTCAAAGTTTATTCATAGTTTTTCTTGGATTTTATTTTTGCAATTGTGAAAAAGTTCCCATAACAAGTAATATCCAAATTGATTTATTCTTATTTTTCCCCATAATTTTCCAAGGATTGCAGAGCAAAATCTTATCAATATCAAAGCAAGCTGGTATATACTTTCTTTGTGGACTGCAAAGGACCATTGTGCACCATTAATACTATTAATTATAGTGATAGGTGATCCAAAGTATACCAATAATAATTTACGCACTCTTAACCCTTTAACCCTGTAGACCATAATGAACTCATCCAGATTAATACATGGGAGAGTCCACTAAAGTTGCATAGGGGTGAATATACAATCTCACCCGTGACTGTTGTTGACGTGTTGGCGAGTCTCATTTCTGCCGTTGCTAACTTTGCCTCGGCTGCTTCCAACTGTAATATAGATGACACACTTCATTTAAACAGACAACAACAATCATAAATACAACATCTGGCCCTTTGACGTATCCTGTGATAAACAAAGGCACTTTGAACGAAATGTAGGCTAAATGATGCACAGTTTCGAAGTTTTGTTACAAACCAGCTGAACCTAAAAAGAAAACAACAGGCTCAGACCTGCACCGAGGCTCATCTCAGGATAATCGGCACATGTATATCAAGGGGTCCCGACATGCCTGACTGAAACTTAAATACTGACTGTTGGCAGTTTGCATGATTTATTTATAAAACAAGGTTGATTCACTGTGGATATTTTAGGATATGTTATACAATTCAGTGGACTGGTGAAAGAATGTCATATTATTCTTGAACATTCTTATATATTTGTAACAAAACCTACATTTCATTACAAGTGCCTTCGTTTATCACGAAAAATTCCTCCACCACCTGAACAGTTTCAACCGGGATACACGAATGCCACCCTGTTGGAATTTTCTTTCCTTTATCTAAATTTGCTACACATATTCATTTCTCCACTTGGTTTTTATTTTCTGTTACAAGAAAAATATGATATTTTTACCATAATTTGCTCTGAGATATCTATGTCATTACTTCAAACAGCGTTTAAACATTCAAAACACTTTTTTTAACAAACTAGAATATGAATGCTATCAAATTCTCCAGACATCTCTACCACCCAAATGTCCCATTCATCTACTTTTAAATAACTCTTGTATCATTTAGAACAGGTGATGAACGTTTAGACTGACCTTGTTCTTCGAGTCCTCAATTTCTTGCTGTACACCGCGGAGATGTTTTTTGTCCACCTCATGATTTTCCAGCTCTTGTTCCAACTGACTGCGGATTTCCTTGATTTGACTCTGACACAAACAAATAAATTCATTCATGAAAACTGTTCCAGACAAATGTGTACCACTTCATCTTACTAAACAATTGATTTCTCTATTTGTTTTGATTACCAAGGTATACGAAAATTCAAAAGTAACAGGTTGAATTTTAGTTTTCAGTTAAATTATTTCAATCAAAAGCACTTTTTCTTCACTCACCTCAAAGATGGTTGTAATCGTCTTCTGCTCATCCTGGGCTGAGTGGAGTTTCCTGGTCAAGTTATTGTTTTCCATCTCCAGGGCGTCAATCTTGTTGGTGTATCTGTTCCTCGTCTCCGACTCAGAACGTTCTATATTATTCTGCAATGGCAAAGAGCATTATCAAGTATGACCCGGCACTGTGCATTACTTTGATGGCTTTTACTAAGTAAGACTAATCTCTGTGCATTACTTTGATGGCTTTTACTAAGTAAGGCTAAGCTCTGTGTATTACTTTGATGGCTCTTACTAAGCAAGATTAAGCTCTAGATCTGTGCCTTACTTTGATGCCTTTTACTTAGTAAGACTAAGCTCTGTGCATTACTTTGATGGCTTTTACTAAGTAAGACTAATCTCTGTGCATTACTTTGATGATTCTTACTAAGTAAGACTAAGCTCTGTGCATTACTTTGATGCCCTTTACTAAGTAAGACTAAGCTCTGTGTATTACTTTGATGGCTCTTACTAAGCAAGATTAAGCTCTAGATCTGTGCATTACTTTGATGCCTTTTACTTAGTAAGACTAAGCTCTGTGCATTACTTTGATGGCTTTTACTAAGTAAGGCTAAGCTCTGTGTATTACTTTGATGGCTCTTACTAAGTAAGACTAAGCACTGTGCATTACTTTAATGGCTCTTACTAAGTAAGACTAAGCTCTGTGCATGACTTTGATGGCTCTTACCAAGTAAGACTAAGCTCTGTGCATTACTTTGATGCCTTTTACTAAGTAAGACTAAGCTTTGTGTATTACTTTGATGGCTCTTACTAAGTAAGACTAAGCTTTGTGCATTACTTTGATGGCTCTTACTAAGTAAGACTAAGCTTTGTGCATTACTTTGATGGCTCTTACTAAGTAAGACTAAGCTCTGTGCATTATTTTGATGGCTCTTACTAAGTAAGACTAAGCTCTGTACATTACTTTGATGGCTCTTACTAAGTAAGACTAAGCTCTGTGCATTACTTTGATGGCTCCTATTAGGTAAGACTTAGCTCTGTGCCTTACTTTGATGGCTCTTACCAAGTAAGACTAAGCTCTGAGCATTACTTTGATGGTTCTTACTAAGTAAGACTTAGCTCTGTGCATTACTTTGACGGCTCTTACTAAGTAAGACTAAGCTCTGTGCATTACTTTGATGGCTCCTATTAAGTAAGACTTAGCTCTGTGCATTACTTTGATGGCTCTTACTAAGTAAGACTAAGCTCTGTGCATTACTTTGATGGCTCTTACTAAGTAAGACTAAGCTCTGTGCATTACTTTGATGGCTCTTACTAAGTAAGACTAAGCCCGTGCATTACTTTGATGGCTCTTTAAGTCTAGATCTTAAGGATCCCTGTGCCACTGCACTGTGGTATTTCCTATGTGCAGTAATCTCCCCTTCACTTCCATCACTATAGAACAACTGAGCCAAGACACTTCCGTTGGCCCGGTAGCTAAGTCGATTAGGGACATGGTTTAGCAGTCTGAAATTCAGGGTTCAAATCTGGGTCTAGTCCCTTCCTAGTCACCTTAATGGCCTCTAGGTTGGCCATGAGCATGGCTTGAGAGTGTCTCTCCCTCCTCATTGCCTCAACATCTTGTAGGAGGCGTTGTTCAGACTGCTTCGACAGCTCCTTCTCTATGCGTAGATTCTGTGCCTGGGTGTCTGAGCGGGCAAAGTTCTCCTTGGACGACATCAGATCCTAAAATGAAATATTTACCAGACCTTTACTTCATTCAGAAAAGAAGAAAGGAAAAGCCGCATCGTTTCAACTATTATTAGGTCTAAAGAATCACTTTTCCATTTTAGGGATACCGAATAGCGCAGAAATTGTGATGCATAATATCAGAGAGAACTTAAATCATTAGAAAAGATATCAAAGTTTTACTTTTTACACAAACAATGTATGTATTAAACGTGTCGCAACGTTTCAAGACCGACTGGTCCCTTTGTAAAGCTATGACTGAGTGAGTGATTTGTATTTTTTACCTGTACAACGATGTGACGAAATTGTATATTTATCATGTCACTCAACCCGTGACATTGGAAAAGATATTAGAATTTCAGCATAATATAAGTCACTGTAAACACATAAGCTGAATGATTTAATTAAGCTACCTGTCTGAGAATGTTGATGGTTTGTTCGTGTTTGGCGACACTAGTAGAATACTTCTGTACTTTGTCCCTCAGTGCTGCGATCTCCTTTCTGTAGCCTTCGGCATTACCCTGCAACACTTTGTATTTCTCCGCGGAATAGTCCACCTACAAAACAGTACGGCTAGTTAATGTTTTTATTCATCGCATTACCATTGTCTAACAAACGTTACAAAAACAACAAAATTGTTCGCATTAATTCTACAGGGCCTTCATTAGTTCTGCATATTCAAATTTCTAAAAAAAAAAATTCAGTCAGGATCTGTGACAAGTTCACTGGATCTATAAGTTGTCTTTCCTGAATATAAATATTTCATAAACTATCCTTTGAGTGAAAGGTTCTGAAACTTTCCTTCTTTCCTGAATATAAATCTTTAGTAAACTATCCTTTGAGTGAAAGGTTCTTAAACTTCCCTTCTTTCCTGAAAATAAATCTTTCATAAACTACCCTTTGAGTGAAAGTTTCTTAAACTTTCCTTCTTTCCTGAATATAAATCTTTCATAAACTATCCTTTGAGTGAAAGGTTCTTAAAACTTTCCTTCAAGAGCTGCCCCAGTAAATATCATCCCTGGGAAGATCAGTGCTGGAACCTCCTCACAACAATAGCGCCTAGTAAAACCTCATCACAAGCACCATCCAGTAAATATTTCCCATGGGTGAATATTTTTTAAACTTCCCCACATATTTACAGTACATGAACAGAGATAACCCTGGCGCTATGTGTATGTTAATAGTTCTGCTATTGACCTGTGATGACATCTTTGCGTTCTGGACAGTCATAGATGACAGACCATTTCTGTACTTCTCCATCTCTTCGTCCATGATCCTACAAATAAGATTTAATCTCAGTTCATGTACAAGTCAAATATCATGTATTGTATAGCTTGTAGTTCATATCCAGGTATTCAATCTGTTCTACTTTATATTTCACATTTCTGTTTCATATTATATAAGCATCAAGTTTATTTTGAGATTGCTTGAACTCTTCCATGAATTTGTGCAACTAGATTTTTGAATTCTAGAATTCATGATAGAGCCTTCATAATCAGCCTGGCTATCAACATATGTGGTATCTATTAAAGTTAATTCATTAACTTATGATTTACACTGCATTCAAGTTGTAAGATGAAAATAGGCACAAAAAATATTCCAAATCTGTACAATACAGATCTAGCAATGTTTGAGAGTAAAGATACTTTTAATAGTAGTAATTTTAAATTATGAAGTTTCAAACACAAACACGAATGTTTTAGTCTAACAATGGAGAAGTCTAAACTTGTATGTAGGGTAGATTTATCAGTATTATCACCGAATTAGATTAGTACAAGTCTGTATACTAGTCTGTATTTTTATAACTTTAAATGAAGCTTAATTAAACCTTACCTTTAGATTAAAATGCTTTGTCTAGTAAACTGCCCCATTTTTACACACAAAACCCCAGATTTTTTGGTAATGGGCCAAAATGCCCCCATAATCAGCAAGGCAAGAATATAAAAACTGATTCAAAGGTAAGGGTTGTGGAGTTGATTGATTTTACATCCCAATACAATACCGTTATTAAAACAAAATTCTCTCACTTCTCATTTTCCTTCTTTTCCTTCTTGTAGTTGTTGAAGTCCTCCTGTAGTTGTGTTAGGGCAGTTTTCATATCCTGTAAGGCCTTATCTGATGACGGGCTCTGTTTCATCCCGACCGGGGACTTCTTCACAGGAGTGGTCATACTCACATCGCCATCAGTCATAGACTGGGACAACGCCATCTGAAACATATATCAGTTTCAACTTAACCCTTTCACCACCATAGACCGTAATGGACTCATCCCAATAATTGCATGGTAGAGTCCATTAAAGTTACCTAGGGGTGAAAGGGTTAATACTAATATTGAAGTTCTTGTAAAAGTCTGAATTTTAAACTCAAACCAAAAATGTCAGGATTATACGATAATAAACAGCAAACTGTGAGAGCAGTATTTGCAATACCATATCATATAAATAACATCCATCACTAGTAGATATATGATATAAATAACATCCATCACTAGTAGATATATCATATAAATAACACCCATCACTAGTAGATATATCATATAAATAACACCCATCACTAGTAGATATATCATATAAATAACACCCATCACTAGTAGATATATCATATAAATAACACCATTCACTAGTAGATAATTCATATAAATAACATCCATCACTAGTAGATATATCATATAAATAACACCCATCACTAGTAGATATATCATATAAATAATACCCATCACTAGTAGATATATCATATAAATAACACATCACTAGTAGATATATCATATAAATAACACTCATCACTAGTAGATATGTCATCAATTATAAAATCCCACCTGTTATTAATTAATAGGTATTAGTCTCAAGTGTGAATGAAAATCTTTTTTCCCCCAGATTTGTTAAAAGAATTGATTTTCAACTTTTATTTCCTAAATACAACTTCACAGAAGACTAAACAGAGATGATGTACGTACTTGCATGTTAAAATGTACAATCCAGGTAAACATCTATAACCTTATATTTTTCTGTAGTTATAGGTTTGTGTGATGCTCTGGTTGTAACTTACCCCTGACTGGCTCAGCACTTTAAACAGATCCCGCTGTCGCACGATACTCTCCACCTAGAAATGGTTGAACGTATTAAAAGCTATGAATACAATATCTCATTAATGATAAAGTGTAATGATGAACCGTCCTACACAACATTTACAGACAGATACCTGTGCCTATATAGAGCTTCCTTTATGGTAGATGCAGAAAGACTATATTCACAAGAATAGGATTGCAATGACAGGAAAACTAATAGTCAAACTTGAGGATCAAATAGGGCAAAGTATTACAAGCGATCAATAGTCCATCAACTGCAAACAATCTTTGGTATCAAACCTGAACAAAGGGCTATAACTCTGTAAAAAGAGGGATATGTTAGACCAAATTTCAGTACGCAACACTTTGCCGTCCCAATATACTCGCATAGACCATATACTCCAAACAATCTTTGGTATCTAAGTTGAACAAAGGGCCACAACTCTGTAAATAGAGAGACATAAGACCAAACTTCAAGGCCACAACAGCTTGCCGTCACAATAATACTCCCATACAAAACTTGGCAGTTGTAGGAGACAACTCGTATGAGATGTGCCCCAGACATAGAGACAAACACCCATAGACTGACAGATGGAGTACAAATCGCACGAGATGTGCCCCAGACATAGAGACAATCTCCCATAGACTGACAGATGGATGACAAATCTTATGAGATGTGCCCCAGACATAGAGACACACACCCATAGACTGACAGATGGAGTACGTCACAATAATACTCCCATACAAAACTTGGCAGTTGTAGAAGAAACTCGTACGAGATGTGCCCCAGACATAGAGACAAACCCCCATAGACTGACAGATGGAGTACAAATCGCACGAGATGTGCCCCAGACATAGAGACAAACACAGATAGACTGACAGATGGAGTACAAATTGTATGAGCTGTGCCCCAGACATAGAGACAAACACCCATAGACTGACAGATGGAGAACAAATCGTTTGAGATGTGCCCCAGACATAGAGACAAACACAGATAGACTGACAGATGGAGTACAAATTGTATGAGCTGTGCCCCAGACATAGAGACAAACACCCATAGACGGACAGATGGAGTACAAATCGTTTGAGATGTGCCCCAGACATAGAGACAAACACCCATAGACAGACAGAGGGAGTACAAATCGTACGAGATGTGCCCCAGACCTAGAGACAAACACCCATAGACTGACAGATGGAGAACAAATCGTTTGAGATGTGCCCCAGACATAGAGACAAAATCCCATAGACTGACAGATGGAGGACAAATCGTACGAGATGTGCCCCAGACCTAGAGACAAACACCCATAGACTGACAGAAGGAGTACAAATCGTATGAGATGTGCCCCAGACATAGAGACAAACACCGATAGACTGACGGATGAAGTACAAATGTTGCAATGTTATGAATTCTGTACAGTATTAAAATGAATCCAAATGTCTTCCTTTACTACAGATAATGGCTTGAAAGATTTTATCACCCATTATTCAATGCGACCTGGTACCACTCATAAAAGACCTGATTTTGTCATACCATTCTAACTTGCTTGTCCCGACTAGATTTCAACTCCTGGATCTCTGAGTTGGCGATCTGCAGTTGTTCTTTCAACTCCTTTGTTCTGAAATAAATCAAATAATGTTTCAATTAAATGTGACAAGAAAATCAGGACCTGAGAAAAATGCTTCATTCGGTTATTATTACGATTTTTTTTTTTTTTAAAGATTTTCTCAACACATATCTAGATCAAAGCATGACCAAATTCTAAATTTGAGTCGGTACTGCTTCAAAAAGCAAAATGACAAAACAGCATGTATAACTGCCTCCAAATTCTGATCTTCAGCACACATTGTAACTTGCACAGAAATCTAACAACAAGCGGAATCCATTGCAGATATATGACTTAATTTATCTTAAATGATTTACTTTGTGTCGGTAGCCATCTTCTCCTCCTGTTCCTGTTTATCACTGAGTTCACGTATTACTGTCAATAAGCGTATATTCTGAACCTGAAGATCCTCAATGGTCCTGAAAACAAATATATAAAAGGTTACTACAGGTTCATGAGTGCATATACATATGCTGTAATTTTATGTATCGAACACTATGACAACACAGGTATATAAGTCAATTTCATTTTAAATTTCATATGCAAGACTGACCCTTCATCTAGTCAATAATTATTTTAACTTTAATCAGCTTTAAGTGAATGGTGATGTCAGAAGCATCCACAAATCGAAGTGAATAACTAAAACAAATATTTCTTATTTATGGATATTGTTATAACTCACTGACCTCATGACCTTGAATAATTAACTTACCTGAAGGTGACCAGCTTATCACTGATGACCTGGGAGGAACTGCTGACCTCTGTGGACGGCTGTTCTACTTCCCGAACAACACGCCCGCCTCGCAACTCGGCCATCTCTTTCAGGATGTACCGCAGCTATTGTCATGGAAACAGAAAACATGTTAAGATAAATAAGTCTCGGGGATTAACAAAGAAAACAACCTTCACTAGTGCAAATTCTGGTAAACAAATTGTGAAAGAAGACATCGCAGAAAATACAAACACCCTCATGAAATGTGAACTCTTACAAGAGACGATGTTTGTAAACTTTTTTGTGAAGTTTCATGATAATTGGATCGCAGAAAATACAAACAACCTCATGAAATGTGAACTATTACAAGAGATGATGTTTGTAAACATTTTTGTGAAGTTTCATGATAATTGGATAAGAAATTAAGTCAAATTCATAGTAAAAGCAACCTATTTTTTGCCAGTAAAAGGTTGAAACCATACCTCGAATAAGAGGTGATGTTCATGAACATGTTGTGTAAAGTTTCGTGGATGATTGGAAAAGAATTGAAGTGTGTAGAGTGGTGACATCAAAAATTCTATTTAAAGTGACAGTGTCCTCGTTTTTGACTGTAGAAGGTGGAAACGCCGACTAGTACAAGGGGTGATGTTGGTGGACACGCGTGAAGTATCATGACAATCAGATAAGAAACAAGGTCTGTTGAGCGGTGACGCCATTTGGGACACAAAGGTACGGCACATCCCTATATACCATCGACGACCCATCGTGAGGGTACATTGACTGAATGAAATGGTGTTACCTGCTTTGACAGATCGTTTGTCTGAAGCTGGAGCTTCTGATTCTCTCTCTGCATGTGATTGTACTTCCTATTGATGTCATCTGCTTCAAGTCGTAGATTTTGAGATTCCTGAAAGAGAAGGCAAAATAAACAACCCTTTCACAGCTCTACCAATACCATCAATGATCCAACAGAATCTTACAAACAAAACACTTCTTATTTCACACACCCCAAACCTATCCCTGTGTTGTATCCCAACTAACACACCCTTTACCTATCTCATCGTTTCATCTGATACCTTCGCTTATGTTTGGTTGTGTGCAGTCTTATTCAAACCAATTTTGTATTACATTTTCTTAAAAAGAGTGGAAACAAATCCTAATGTTACTGACCAACATGGAAGCATCGAGTTGTCTGGTCAGCTGGTCAATGTTAGCCAGAGAGTTCTCGTAATCCTGCCTCTGTTTCTTCAGTAGCGGGGCTTTCTCCTCAATTTCCTTTAATACAATGGCAACACAGATTAAATATTTACAATCAACAGAGTTTTTGGTCAGGTGATATCTAATGAATCGGGGAATATGATCTTTGCTTTCTTCTTTACTTTATTCCAGGCAGTGTTTGGTGAGCCCCATCATCCGTAATATATGTCTTCCTCCTTCCCCTATAAACCCCACAGTTCATTTGTTTTCCTTTTCATTGTAAATTTGTATACACAGTCACAGAAATTTCTTCAGTACAGATTTACAATCTTCTAGAAATCAGGGGAAAAAACATGTGTCATGTCCCAACTGATTATATTGAGCTGGATAATGATGCCAAATCAATGAAAAACTGAAATTCTATGGCTGATTATTTTCTATTCTGCAGAAATTATGTTCTTAAGATAACCATCTTATCAGTACACACATTAATTAGGCTTGGAAGTATTTATAAACATGTTATGGTTATTTCTGCATAGTCAAGTTTCTACACATGTGATTTACCTGCAGAATTTGTGTCAGGTACTGGTTTAGTCGCTGATTTTCTTCCTTCTCCAGCATAAGTGCATCAGAGGCCTGGACATACTCATTGTAGATCTGTCAAACACAAGTACATACTTATTGTAGATCTGTCAAACATAAGAACATACTCATTGTAGATCTGTAAAACAAAAGTAAATACTAATTGTAGATCTGTCAAACACAAGTACAAACTCATTGTAGATCTGTCAAACACAAGTACATTCTCATTGTAGATCTGTCAAACGCAAGTCCATACTCATTGTAGATCTGTTAAACACAGGTACATACTCATTGTAGATCTTTCAATCACAGGTACATACTCATTGTAGATCTGTAAAACAAAAGTAAATACTAATTGTAGATCTGTCAAACACACGTACATACTTATTGTAGATCTGTCAAACGCAAGTACATACTCATTGTAGATCTTTCAATCACAGGTACATACTCATTGTAGAACTGTCAAACACAGGTACATACTTATTTTAGATCTGTCAAACACAAGTACAAACTCATTGTAGATCTGTCAATCACAGGTACATACTTATTTTAGATCTGTCAAACACAAGTACATGCTCATTGTAGATCTGTCAAACGCAAGTCCATACTCATTGTAGATCTGTTAAACATAAGTACATACTCATTGTAGAGCTGTCAAACATAAGTACATAAGACATGAAGGATAGCTTACTTTCTTGTGTGAAACATTAAGGATGTTTCCCTGTGTGAGACATTAAGGATGTTTACCAGCATGAGACATTAAGGTTGTTTACCTGCATGAGACATTAAGGATGTTTCCCTGCATGAGACATTAAGGATGTTTAAACATCCTGCATGAGACATTAAGGATGTTTCCCTGCATGAGACATTAAGGATGTTTCCCTGCATGAGACATTAAGGATGTTTAAACATCCTGCATGAGACATTAAGGATGTTTCCCTGCATGAGACATTAAGGATGTTTCCCTGCATGAGACATTAAGGATGTTTAAACATCCTGCATGAGACATTAAGGATGTTTAAACATCCTGCATGAGACATTAAGGATGTTTCCCTGCATGAGACATTAAGGATGTTTCCCTGCATGAGACATTAAGGATGTTTACCTGCATGAGACATTAAGGATGTTTAAACATCCTGCATGAGACATTAAGGATGCTTCCCTGTTTGAGACATTAAGGATGCTTACCTGTGTGAGACATTAAGGATGTTTATCTGCGTGAGACATGAAGGATGTTTACCTGTGTGAGCCTACATACTTATTGTAGATCTGCCAAACACAAGTACATACTCATTGTAGCTCTGTCAAACACAAGTACATACTGATTGTAGATCTGTCAAACACAGGGACATACTTATTGTAGATCTGTCAAACGCAAGTACATACTCATTGTAGAACTGTCAAACACAGGTACATACTTATTTTAGATCTGTCAAACACAAGTACATTCTCATTGTAGATCTGTCAAACACAAGGACATACTCATTGTAGATCTGTAAAACAAAAGTAAATACTAATTGTAGATCTGTCAAACACAAGGACATACTCATTGTAGATCTGTTAAACATAAGTACATACTCATTGTAGATCTTTCAATCACAGGTACATACTCATTGTAGATCTGTTAAACACAGGTACATACTCATTGTAGAACTGTCAAACACAGGTACATACTTATTTTAGATCTGTCAAACACAAGTACATTCTCATTGTAGATCTGTCAAACACAAGTACAGACTTATTGTAGATCTGTCAAACACAAGTACATACTCATTGTAGCTCTGTCAAACACAAGTACATACTCATTGTAGCTCTGTCAAACACAAGTACATACTGATTGTAGATCTGTCAAACACAGGAACATACTAATTGTAGATCAGTCAAACACAGGTACATACTCATTGTTAATCTGTCAAACACAGGTACATACTTATTGTAAATCTGTCAAACACAAGTACATACTGATTGTAGATCTGTCAAACACAAGTACAAACTCATTGTAGATCTGTCAAACGCAAGTACATACTCATTGTAGATCTGTCAAACATAAGTACATACACATTGTAAATCTGTCAAACATAAGTACATAAGACATGAAGGATAGCTTACTTACCTGTGTGAAACATTAAGGATGTTTACCTGTGTGAGACATTAAGGATGTTTACCTGCATGAGACATTAAGGATGTTTACCTGCATGAGACATTAAGGATGTTTACCTGTGTGAGACATTAAGGATGCTTACCTGTGTGAGACATTAAGAATGCTTACCTGTGTGAGACATTAAGGATGTTTATCTGCGTGAGATATTAAGGATGTTTACCTGTGAGAGACATTAAGGATGCTTACATGTGTGAGACATTAAAGATGTTTACCTGTGTGAGACATTAATGATGCTTACCTGTGTGAGACATTAAGGATGCTTACCTGTGTGAGACATTAAGGATGTTTATCTGCATGAGACATTAAGGATGGTTACCTGTGTGAGACATTAAGGATGTTTACCAGTGTGAGACATTAAGGATGTTTACCTGCATGAGACATTAAGGATGTTTACCTGCGTGAAACATAAACGATACTTACCTGTGTGAGAGACATGCCAGACTTCAGTACTTTACTGGTCACAGAAGCAGTAGGAAACATACTCTCTACCTGGTCTTCACTGGCAACTGAAACAGACACACAACTTGTAGATGTTAAATACTTTACAATAAATGTATTACAAATCTCATAATGACTAGCCATAACATAGTGTTGAAATGAAAGCATGAAAACAAGGCTATAGTTGAAACGGTTGAACCTGTGAAGAAAACGACAGGCACAGATCTGACCCGAGGCTGACTTCAGGAATATTCTGCTTGTGAAGATTGAGGGGTCGAGACGCACCGAAACTAAAATGCTGACTATTGCTAGTTTGCGTTATTTCTTTCTTAAACAATGTCAAGCCATATGTAGTTTTTAAGATACGTTATGTAATTTAGTGGACGCATGAAAGAAGGCTTTAATATTCTTGATACATTGTTATTTATTCTCCCAAACTGTGCATTTTTAGCTCTGCTTAAAGAATGGTACAAGTGCGGTCGTTTATCGTTGAATATTTCTGCGCCACCTGTAACGCTTCAACTGGGATATGCGAATGTAACCCAACACTGCAGAAAACTGAAACATGTTTTGATGGAAGAGCACTTACTCCTGTTTTTGGTCTGTTCCAGAAGATCATTGGCGCTGACCAGTTCTTGTCTCAGCTTCTCAATTGTCTCCTCTGTAGAGAAAAGTAGCCACAATATACAAACAAAAAGACACAATTTACCAAAGAAAGAGGTCTGCAATAGAATCAAACTTTTTTCAATCAGTTAAATCAATTTCCGTCAATAATCTAATCCCAATATTTTTTTTGTCATTCTATGCAGTATTCCGATCCATAAACATGATATCTTTAGTATGATGTTCCCAATTAACCTCATTTGAATTTCCATTGAAAAACATGCTTCAAATGATAAATATTCCATGGCCATCCCCAAACCCAACAAATCAGTCCATCATAAATCCAAAGTTAGAGGTGCAGATTGAAAAAAACAAGTTTCAAATATTAGTACCTACTATTGCCCAAGTGTTTTACATCTAGATGGGCAATTTTTGTAACTCCATATTATAAAATTGAACAGATTTTACTGCATACCACTAAACCAGGTCTGATATGAAATAGGATCACTCTCAAATGTTTACACAGTTCTGTAAGTTACGACAAAACTGCAATTTCATTGTGAACATTACCTCTGCTTTCTATATCTACTTGGGAGTGTTTCGCTCCCTCCTCCTTCAAATTTTCAAGTTCAGTATGAGCTGTAATATAATTCAGACACAAGATCATTCACTTGAACCCAACAAAATACTTGTCTATATACCACATGTAGTTGTCTATACAGTGGCCAACAACATCAGACATTTTTCAGATAATATCTCTTCCCTGTAGTCTTTAACAATTGACAAATAACTTTTAACTAAATGATTGTTTTAGTCATGACGGTAAATTAATTTGAATTTCACATAAAAGGACATATAATCTGACAAATAATCAGAACTAAAATGATAAACCAAATAATTTAAAATAGTATCTGCTGTTTTGTATCAGTAAACATCAAAATTAATTCAGCATAAGTTTCAAATTCCTAACAAACTAAATTTTTTGTCATCGAAAATGGTCATCTTCATAAAAATAAATATTTCATTAATAGTCATTATATTACTGGTAGACAGAATGAGATAGAGACCAAGCTGATGATACTATTAAACTTGTCAAGGTATATTGGTAACAACTCTATAAATAGCTTGAATCCTGTCATACCATTGGCTGCCTCCTTCAATAGTGTCCTTAGTTCCTCTACAGCGCTAGTCAACTCCTTCACTTTGCTTTCTGCCTCGTCCTTAGATGTCTGTAACAATATTTAACTGATAAATACACAATGAACACCAACAATAACAGTAAACAGAGAAACTCAACACACAGCAGCATCGAAAACAAATTTGAAACAAGCCATTCGGATTGATATGTCTCACCTGTGCCCCACTTTGACCATCAATACACATGTCAAGTTTGGTTGGTGTAGCACTTATAGTTTCAGAGAAACTAATTTAAACACAACAAGAGGCCCATGGGCCTTAACGGTCACCTGAGTCTATAGTATTTATTTTTGTTGTTGAAATATGTACCAATTTGAGTAAAAAATAGTATAATGTTAACTTAACTTTGTCAGGACCATGAGCTGATCATTCCTAGACCAATTTTAAGTGAGATCGGCCTATTAGAACTTAGTAGCAAAATAGCGGCCATGGCAGCCAAATTGTATTTCTGATTGACCCGAAAAATAACAACACTTTGTCAGGACCATGAGGCGATCATTCCTACCAACTTTCAGTTCAATCGGCCCAGCAGAACTTGACTTTAAGTTTGAAATGTAAAATGTTAACGGACTACGGACGACGGACGACGGACGACGGACGACGACGGACGAAAACGGATAGCAATAGGTCACTTGAGCTAAAGCTCAGGTGACCTAAAAACATAATGTTGATGGAGATGCTGACAAAGTCAATGGACGATGACAGGTATAGGCCGCATCCAGCATTTGATACATGGGATGATATATACTACCTCAGATGCATCTATGGACCAAGTTTGGTTGGTCTAGCACTTATACTTTCAGTGAAACTAACTTCAATGCAAAAACTTAAGCATTGGTCTTGCTTCCGCTACTTCGTCACGGCGAGACAAAAATACATGAGAAGAAACACAAAATTGGGCAATTGTAAAAGAACAATATCTTCCATAAGATTCATCAGTTTGGAAATAAGTGATATCAAAGTTTTACTTTATACACACACTACGTACATTATTTGTGTTGTACACTTTTGTATTTGTTTGTGTATAAAGGTAAAATTAAAAAGGACTATTAAAGTAATAACTAACCTTGTAAAGGTCTGGGAGATGACCCTTACCAGACTTTTACAATTACTAACCATGTATGGGTCTATTAAGCGACCACTTGCCAGACTTTTACAATTACCAACCTTGTATGGGTCTATATATAAGGCAACCCCTATAAGTAACACATTTTTAATATTAACTTACCTTGTACAGGTCTATTTGACGACTCTTAGCCAGACTTTTACAACTTACCTTGTACAGGTCTATTAGACGACTCTTAGCCAGACTCTTACCATAACTTACCTTGTACAGGTCTATTAGACGACTCTTAGCCTGCCTGTAACAAAAACTTACCTTGTACAGGTCTATTAGGCGACCCCTAGCCAGACTGTAACAATAACTTACCTTGTACAGGTCTATTAGCCGCCTCTTAGCCTGCCTGTAACAAAAACTTACCTTGTACAGGTCTATTAGACGATTCTTAGCCTGCCTGTAACAATAACTTACCTTGTACAGGGCTATTAGACGACTCTTAGCCTGCCTGTAACAATAGCTTACCTTGTACCGGTCTATTAGACGACTCTTAGCCAGACTGTAACAATAACTTACCTGGTACAGGTCTATTAGACGACTCTTAGCCAGACTTTAACAATAACTGACCTTGTACAGGTCTATTAAGTGACCCCTAGCCAGACTGTAACAGTAACTAACCTTGTACAGGTCTATTAGACGACTCTTAGCCAGACTGTAACAATAACTTACCTGGAAAAGGTCTATTAGACGACTCTTAGCCAGACTTTTACCATATCTTGCCTTGTACAGGTCTATTAGACGCCTCTTAGCCAGACTTTTACCATATCTTGCCTTGTACAGGTCTATTAGACGCCTCTTAGCCAGACTTTTACCATATCTTGCCTTGTACAGGTCTATTAGACGCCTCTTAGCCAGACTGTAACAGTAACTAACCTTGTACAGGTCTATTAGACGACTCTTAGCCAGACTTTTACAACTTACCTTGTACAGGTCTATTAGAGGACTCTTAGCCAGACTTTAACAATAACTTACCTTGTACAGGTCTATTAAGCGACCCCTAGCCAGACTTTTACAATAACTTACCTTGTACAGGTCTATTAGACGACTCTTAGCCAGACTTTTACAATAACTTACCTTGTACAGGTCTATTAGACGACCCTTAGCCAGACTTTTACAATAACTTACCTTGTACAGGTCTATTAGACGACCCCTAGCCAGACTTTTACAATAACTTACCTTGTACAGGTCTATTAGACGACCCCTAGCCAGACTTTTACAATAACTTACCTTGTACAGGTCTATTAGACGACCCCTAGCCAGACTTTTACAATAACTTACCTTGTACAGGTCTATTAGACGACCCCTAGCCAGACTTTTACAATAACTTACCTTGTACAGGTCTATTAGACGACCCCTAGCCAGACTTTTACAATAACTTACCTTGTACAGGTCTATTAGACGACCCCTAGCCAGACTTTTACAATAACTTACCTTGTACAGGTCTATTAGACGACCCCTAGCCAGACTTTTACAATAACTTACCTTGTACAGGTCTATTAGACGACCCCTAGCCAGACTTTTACAATAACTTACCTTGTACAGGTCTATTAGACGACCCCTAGCCAGACTTTTACAATAACTTACCTTGTACAGGTCTATTAGACGACCCCTAGCCAGACTTTTACAATAACTTACCTTGTACAGGTCTATTAGACGACTCCTAGCCAGACTTTTACAATAACTTACCTTGTACAGGTCTATTAGACGACCCCTAGCCAGACTTTTACAATAACTTACCTTGTACAGGTCTATTAGACGACCCCTAGCCAGACTTTTACAATAACTTACCTTGTACAGGTCTATTAGACGACCCCTAGCCAGACTTTTACAATAACTTACCTTGTACAGGTCTATTAGACGACCCCTAGCCAGACTTTTACAATAACTTACCTTGTACAGGTCTATTAGACGACCCCTAGCCAGACTTTTACAATAACTTACCTTGTACAGGTCTATTAGACGACCCCTAGCCAGACTTTTACAATAACTTACCTTGTACAGGTCTATTAGACGACCCCTAGCCAGACTTTTACAATAACTTACCTTGTACAGGTCTATTAGACGACCCCTAGCCAGACTTTTACAATAACTTACCTTGTACAGGTCTATTAGACGACCCCTAGCCAGACTTTTACAATAACTTACCTTGTACAGGTCTATTAGACGACCCCTAGCCAGACTTTTACAATAACTTACCTTGTACAGGTCTATTAGACGACCCCTAGCCAGACTTTTACAATAACTTACCTTGTACAGGTCTATTAGACGACCCCTAGCCAGACTTTTACAATAACTTACCTTGTACAGGTCTATTAGACGACCCCTAGCCAGACTTTTACAATAACTTACCTTGTACAGGTCTATTAGACGACCCCTAGCCAGACTTTTACAATAACTTACCTTGTACAGGTCTATTAGACGACCCCTAGCCAGACTTTTACAATAACTTACCTTGTACAGGTCTATTAGACGACCCCTAGCCAGACTTTTACAATAACTTACCTTGTACAGGTCTATTAGACGACCCCTAGCCAGACTTTTACAATAACTTACCTTGTACAGGTCTATTAGACGACCCCTAGCCAGACTTTTACAATAACTTACCTTGTACAGGTCTATTAGACGACCCCTAGCCAGACTTTTACAATAACTTACCTTGTACAGGTCTATTAGACGACCCCTAGCCAGACTTTTACAATAACTTACCTTGTACAGGTCTATTAGACGACCCCTAGCCAGACTTTTACAATAACTTACCTTGTACAGGTCTATTAGACGACCCCTAGCCAGACTTTTACAATAACTTACCTTGTACAGGTCTATTAGACGACCCCTAGCCAGACTTTTACAATAACTTACCTTGTACAGGTCTATTAGACGACCCCTAGCCAGACTTTTACAATAACTTACCTTGTACAGGTCTATTAGACGACCCCTAGCCAGACTTTTACAATAACTTACCTTGTACAGGTCTATTAGACGACCCCTAGCCAGACTTTTACAATAACTTACCTTGTACAGGTCTATTAGACGACCCCTAGCCAGACTTTTACAATAACTTACCTTGTACAGGTCTATTAGACGACTCTTAGCCAGACTTTTACAATAACTTACCTTGTACAGGTCTATTAGACGACTCTTAGCCAGACTTTTACAATAACTAACCTTGTACAGGTCTATTAGACGACTCTTTGCCTGCAGTTCCTGGTTAAATTGGTCCTCTGACTGAGCCATTCCATTTCTGGCCTGTAAATGTAAGCGGTTTGTTAACTTAGAGTGAAGAAATATTCAATAATGTGGGAAAAAAAATACCATGTTCCATTTTTCAAATGTATTCCGGGATTAAATATTTTTGCTAGCAAGACCTTTGAGATAACCTTAATTTCTACACCTATAAATTTTGTAACCTTGAAATGTCCTCAGTATTGTTATTGATGTATATGACTATAATTATTTTACAGTTTTTCCCACAAGACCATAGTTATTTTACAACCCTTGGCAGGTATGAGATTACAGTCTTCAGCAATCAGATCTAAAGGAAAGATACCATAAAAACTAGAAAGACAGGAAAATTCCTCAATCTACCAGCATAAACATTATTTTCTTCTATTTCAGATATAAATCATTTTGAAACTGAAAACACATCTTTAAAAGAATTCCTCTGAGATTAGGAAGACTCATATTACTGCTTCAGTTTCTGAACAGGATTTTAATCATCCATGCATCCTTCATTTTTTGTTTTGTTTTGGGGTTTTTTTGTGTACGAAATTAAAGTTATCTTACATGTACATCAGAAGTTCTTGTAATAGATTGTAACTGTATTATCTAACATCCTTCTGTACAAAACTAATATATTTTCCTCAGTTTCTGTTTTAGACAAAAATTAATTACCCTGTAATATCACTCTGTATTATTACCCTTTGATATCGTTCTGTATTATTACCCTGTAATATCGTTCTATATTATTACCTGTATTATCGTTCTGTATTATTACCCTGTAATATCGTTCTGTATTATTACCTGTATTATCATTCTGTATTATTACCCTGTAACATCGTTCTATATTATTACCTGTATTATCGATCTGTATTATTACCCTGTAATACTGTTCTGTATTATTACCCTGTAACATCGTTCTATATTATTACCTGTATTATCGATCTGTATTATTACCCTGTAATAATGTTCTGTATTATTTCCCTGTAATATCGTTTTGTATTATTACCCTGTAATATCGTTCTGTACTATTACCCTGTAATATCGTTCTATATTATTACATGTATTATCGTTCTGTATTATCGTTCTGTATTATTACACTGTAATATCGTTCTATATTATTACATGTATTATCGTTCTGTATTATTACACTGTAATATCGTTCTATATTATTACATGTATTATCGTTCTGTATTATTACCTGTATTATCGTTCTGTATTATTACCCTTTAATATCGTTCTGTATTATTACCCTGTAATATTGTTCTGTATTATTACCCTGTAATATCGTTCTGTATTATTACCCTGTAATATCATTCTGTATTATTACCCTGTAATATCGTTCTGTATTATTACCCTGTAATATCGTTCTGTACTATTACCCTGTAATATCGTTTTGTATTATTACCCTGTAATATCGTTTTGTATTATTACCCTGTAATATCGTTCTGTATTATTACCCTGTTCTGTCGTTCTGTATTATTACCCTGTAATATCGTTCTGTATTATTACCCTGTAATAATACAGAACGATATTACCCTGTAATATCGTTCTGTACTATTACCCTGAATTATCGTTTTGTATTATTACCCTGTAATATCGTTCTGTATTATTACCCTGTAATGTCGTTCTGTATTATTACCCTGTATTATCGTTCTGTATTATTACCTGTAATATCGTTCTGTATTATTACCCTGTAATATCGTTCTGTATAAGACTAATTATCTTGCATGCTTTAATTGATGTATGAGATTTTAGTTTACATCCTACAGTGCCTGTATGAGAGTAGGATTACCTTAATTTTACAGTTCCTATACCAAACAATAATATGAATGATCTTACATCCTTCAGTTTCTGTATAAGGCCGTCTATCATGGTGGCTATACCACACACTAATATAAATTATCTTACATCCTTCAGTTTCTGTATAAGGTTGTCTATCATGGTGGCTATACCACACACTAATATAAATTATCTTACATCCTTCAGTTTCTGTATAAGGCCATCTATCTTGTTGGCCTGTTCTCCCTGGGATGATTTCAGAGCCGCAACTGTTTCCTGGAGGAACGTGTTCTCTCCTATCTTTTCCTCCAACTTGCTCTGAGTTTCCAGAAGACTGGCTGTCTGTAATGGATCAAGAGTAAGCTCAACACTTTTAACAAGAAGTTGCAAACAATTTTTTGTTTCAAAAATTCAAATAGGATAGATTTGATGAATTTGATATGTTCAGAAAACTGATCTGATTTTTTTTCATTTCTTGCATACATTTTTGAGATTTTCTTTAATTAGTGAGCATGCAAGTTCTACAGGATGAGATATTTCTTTTTTCAAATCATAGTTATACAAATGCTTCTTTAGGACTGAGTATTCAATAAAACCATCAATATATATATAAATCTGATTAAATCCAAAATATTTATAAAATCTTGTAAAATATTTCAAGTTAAAAAATCATCTGTAATACCTTACAATGCTGTTATATTATCTGTTAACCTGCTATAATACAGTAAGGTTCAATGATATATGTCCATCTTTATGGTTGATGTCAGTCACAGACTATTTTAGTGAAGAAACCTTTTATGACTTACCTGTTCCTTTTTGACGTTTAGGAGCTCATTGGTTTTCTCAAACAGTTGTTTGTCCAGCAGATCTAGCTGTCTCTGTATCTGACTCTTCTCCTGTTCCAGTCGTTTGTTCTGGAACTGTTCAACACAACATCTAACTGATAATCATTTCAGTGTTTGAGTTAGCGTTTTATGTTAATGATTGAAGTTATTTCTCTATGCTGAACATAACAGTTGTACAGTGATCCTTGACAGAAATGTCTAAGCAAAGTTAAGTTTGTCAAAGGCTAGTGATCATGAGAGCTATGTCGGTGTCATTGCCATCCTTGATACTCCATGGGGTTACACTCATTTTTGCTCTCTGCACCCCTGGAATGTGTCATAACAAAATTGAAGGCTCAGTGTGCACCACCGTGTGGATGAGACAAGACTAGTTTGATCCTTTGATGTACATGAAAAGAAACTGTCGGTCGGGTAACGGTAAAATTGATCATTTATTGGCTTTGAAGTCGGGTGTCGCTCCTCTGTAGTCTTCAAAGGACAGATACCAGCCTTAGCGATTGGTCAAGGTTTTCACCCCAAGACCAATCAATTAGCAAGTCGTGTGCCTTCAATTTAGCTATGACATTTCCAGGGGTGCAGAGAGCAAAAGTGAACTTAACCACTGGCGTATAGAGGATGTGTTGTTATGCGATCGGGACTTGTAGTACAAGGAAAGATTCCGTTTGAATTACTGACATTTCAGTCAGATGTAAAACATATAAAAAAAAAAGAATAACTGCCTGAATAGGGGTATAGCAACAAAAGCTCACCAACAATTTCAAACAAAGTATAAGCCATACCTCCAAGGTGACACTCTGGTTCTGTACCTCCGCCAGTTTGGCCTGCGCCTCACATTTCTCTGTGTTGGCTCTCGACACTTTGTCCGTCAACTCCTTCCACTCTTCTGTGATTAAAAAAATAAAATGGGTGTGTTATTCAAGATAATAACACACCGAAATGCCTCACAAGATAACTGCAGCCACTGTCATACAATGATTCAACCTGTAGCAGCAGACATTTTAACAAGTCGAATTTGAAAGCTTAATTGAAGAATACACTTTAACAGCTAAATTATACTGGAACATACAGTATACAAAAACTTACTTATCTCATCAAGTGAAAACAATTTTTGTAGCACATTTTAAATATCCATAGTTGACTGGCACATTGAATATCAAGTTTACCATTTATTCTATCAATTTCTCTGTTCCTCTTCTCAAGTAAGACACTTAAATCTCTCTTGTCCAACTCCAGCTGTTCATTTGATTTACTGAGGCGGAGCTGTTGAAACAAATGGATGGTTTTACAAATTGTCAATTCAAAGACTTAATAGTATCAGAATAAATTATTATTGACAGTTTGTAGGATGTTGTTTCAATCATAAAAACAATTCAATATCAACTTCATTTCATAAACAATAACAAAGTAATGTTTTACCTGTGATCAGAAATCATAAATTTNAGGAAAGAAGTTGTTTAAAGTAAAAAGTTGACGCCGGACGGACGGACACCGCACCATAACATAAGCTCACTTGCCCTTCGGGCAGGTGCGCTAAAAAAAACATTGTCACCGCAGTATTGCCATACTTGTGAAATATACATGGTATAAATTCAACAGGAAACTATTATATCCCCCAATATGTAAAATCCTTTATGTATTGTACAAATTCATGTCAATATGCTTCACTTACATTTGTAGACAAGGAATTGTCCTGAGATTCCTGTAAACTTTTCCTTTTAGAGTCTGCTTCATTGAATTTCTTTTCTGCAAGAGACAAATTTAAGACTGGTCAAAAGTTCAACCAACAACCAACTCTTTAGAAGTGACAATATCTTGAATTAAATGTGCAAATATTGATGTTTGATGAATAGCTGTTTTTCATTAAATATACTGTTTATCGTGCTGTTCACTTATACTGGGCCGTGTGTGATTACTGTGCAATCAAACTTTGTGTTCTTGTACACGAGAGTCTGTTGTCACATTTGTCTTTACCGTGTCCATATAAGTAACGTGTGATTGTTCTATTATATGTGTGACCTTGTTTTGGTCAGTGGTTATTTAGTTCAGTTGTCTTTATTTCATGTTTTGGCGCCGTTCTAGTATTCATTTATATACTGATAGAGCTATATGTATTTATATCCAATATGGTCACCCTATAGGAAATAAATACATAATACATACATCCACCCGGTGGTGCTAACTTTATATATTTATGTGAGTTTGATATAATAGCAGTAATTATGCATTTGGCCTGAATTTGTACTTTTTATTTAAATGTCAAAATCATGATCCCACATACATGTGGATTCAATGAATTCAGAGATAGCTCTTTATTTCAAAAGTGATGCATGTATGATTTAACATGTTAACTGTGATTTGCATGCATCTTTCACAGAGTAGAAATCTAGAGTTTTCCTTTAGGAACAGATACAGATTTTCTGTCAGTGTAAACTCTCGACGATAGTTGGTGTATGTCAGGGGTGTAAAAATCCACTAGCCCTGACAATAGGGGCTACCAGATTTTCAGCTAGGGCTAATGACTTGTTTATGATGTTATATATATAACTGACACAGATGTTTTTGTTCAATTCTGTCATCATGCCGCATTGATGATTCAAAACTGTTGCTTTTCACATGTGTGTGATAAAAGTGCTAGCAGTTATCATTAACAACACAAATAACATTGAAAGTCATAATCACTATCAAATTACCGTCCTTGTTGCAAATCAGTCTCTTTTATTTGATTCTGATACATAAGCATGTGTGGTACGCAAATAGAAAGACAATTCTCACTGAAAGTCGGCAATAAAAATGTAGTCCAGTATGTCTGTCGTGTTTGTTCTGATGCCTCCTAATACTGGAACCGGTTTCTGGGCGGATTTTCAGGAGCAGTCAAATTTGGTTGTTTTTAATTCAAGATTTAATAGTTAGTCAGGTGGGCTTTATAATGTTATAAAATGAAGCTGTATTTGACCAGCTTGTCATCAGTCTGAAATTATCTCCTTTAAATTGTCAGGAAAACTCCTGGTTATCTTACCCAATTCTTCCACTCGCCGTTTGTTTTCTTCGTTAGATGTGGACTCTGTTTCTAATTTGTTGTTGCTGGTGATCAGCTGTTGTTCAATATCAAAATATTTTTGTTCTGAAAAGCAAACATTTGAAACTGTAATATGAAATAACACATATATGATTCAGCAAAGCTCAAACAAAATAAATTGTTATCATTCAGGTACATGTGCAGACTTTATATGTCTAAATGCAACAAAACAACTTTCGAATTAGGATGCAGACGCAAGTGACGCTGACTTTCTTACCTGCATCGACACGAAGCCTCTCATACTTTGTCTTGAACTCGTCGATTGTGGTATCTTTCGACTCGAATAAACTTGTTATTTTTTCTGTTATGTTGTCCGATATGGTCTCGGCTTTTAATATATCCAAAAGCTCGGAGACCGATTGAACGACCGCCATTCTGAAAAAGTGTGCGAATTTATACCGGAAGTAGAATTATACTAAAGCGGGTAACATACAAATTGCGAATTCGCGCATGCAAGTTTTACGAAACGAAAGACATGTGAACAATGACGGCGATGCTCGACATTTGAAAATCATCATCGCCCTTCCCTTCATACATCACCAACTGAAAGATAGTAATGGGACACAGTCAGAGCGGCGGTCCGTATGTAGTTCGGAGGGTCCCGGGTTCGAACAACGGTCTGGCCGTGAATCAAGCATTTGGTGTCACGCTTTGTGAATTAAATTTTGAAAGAGGAGGGAGGAATTTAGCGGAACTGCACTGGGTCGATCGTCGGCGACCAGGTGCTCAACTGGTAGAGCGTCCGTCTAAAGTTCGGAGGGTCTCGGGTTCGAACAACGGTCTGCCGCTGTGCATTTTCAATAATATTATGTCACAAAAAAATAAGGAAAATACACTCAAGGATAAAAAATAAAACAACAACTATAATAAGAATATATTGAAACTAATTTTAAGCGGTATAACAACATGATATAACAACTATCGTTAACTTCAATGAACGGTACCGTAAGTTAAAACTGAACAAACAAATAGTTAAACAAAAGAAGTTAAGAAATAAAACATGAACATTCCTAAGGTATATATGTTTTATATTTGGTGTGGCGCCAATGGAAAGCCATAATTATCAAAATAATGAAATGTCCATGTGAAGTAGGAAAGTATAGAAAAAATAATATCTATTTTTTTCTGCGAATATAAACGGCATTTTTTAAAATTTCATGCTGGTATGGACATTCAAAAATTGCCAATGTGTAAAGCGCTTTAGAGTGGCTTATTCTAGCTAGATGGGGAGCTTTATCAAATGTTGTATATTATTATTAGTATGATATTATTCATGATTATTGGAATTGCTATCTACGTCCGTGCTTAACTCATTCACCACTGAAGACACATTTGAACTCTTCCAATTCAACGGTTGGAATAGTTCATTATGCAATTTCATGGGGTCATTGAGTTAAACAAGGAAAAGCCGTTCAATCCTTATATGAACACAGTTTCTTGTGGTAATTAATACTTATAGATGAACTTGCACTGGAAATGTAAACCTAGCACGTCAGAGAGTTTAGTCTGCCTTATCAGAATTATCTCACTGTCGATATTGTGACGATTTGTTTGTCGTATGTCTTTTACAGCAATACTGCAAAGGGTCGTATAACAGCATCAAATTGCAAGGTGAACTAGTCTGGCGCACAGGGACCTGAAAATTTGTTACAGCTATATATATATTTGGACCTAAACTAAGGTCTGATCGTGGTGTCATTTCTACCGAAAATCGACATAAACATCTAAAAAAATGTAAAATTACTCTGAACACCTTAGTTTAGGTCAAAATATAGCTGTAACAAATTCTCAGGTCCCTGTGGTCTGGCGTTGCTTCCAGAAAGTTCAGGTTAAAAGTGTATATGTCAGGAAACAATGGCTCTCCAGCTCAAGGTCGGTGCCACAACTATTGAGACTGTCCCAGCTGTTAAAAACCTAGGGGTAAATATACTATGATAGTTCACTGAACATGGAGAAACAAGAGGACGCTATTGCCAAATCCTGTTACTACCAGATCAAGCACATCGGCTGTATCTGGCAGTTTATAACTGCAGATGCATGCAAGATTTTGGTGCATTCACTTGTTACCTCTCGATTGAATTATGGTAACGCCCTGCTCTGTGGTAGCAGAAGGTCTAGAACACTGCAGCATGACTGGTTACTCGTACTCGAAAGAGAGAGAGCACACCACACCTGTGTTATATTCATTGCACTGGTTACCTGTACGATACAGGTCGCAGTACAATATTTTGGTGTATATACAAGGCACTGGATGGAACAGCTCCCCAGTACCTACAGGAGCTTATTACCCTGTATCAGCCGTCACGATCACCGCGATCGGAGTCAGAATTATTGTTGTGTGTCCCAAAATCTCGTATTGTGACCTATGGAAACCGGTACTTTAGGAGGGTTTCGGCCACGTTGTGGAATAGCTTACCATCTGCTATTAGAAAGTCAAATACCCTGGCCAAATTCAAGGACATCAAAACTCACCTCTTCACGTCTGCATTTTAGGCTCTTTGCAAAGAAGTCATGTAAATACCACCCTCTATTTGTTCATTTATGTGCACATTGCGATGATTATCTGCTTGCTTAAGTTTTTGTTTCACAATTATTATTAATACTATTATCCATATGCTGTAAAGCGGTTTAGAGTAATTTCACACATTATATAGATACCTGTTGTATGTTATTATTATCATTACACGGTATATTAAACAGAGAATGATTAAATATTGAATATCGACGGCTTAGTTAGCTGCTGTAACAAACTCTCAGGTCCCTGCGGCAGGTTCGTCACTGTTTAAAAAAAAAACGCATTGCTTCAGTTGTAGCTCTATCATAATTCATTTAAACATTTTTATTATGTTCGATTTATCTGCGGACATATATGAACTTTAAACGTTTCAATGGTTTCGCTACATTATCTATTTGTGATCAAGCACACAATGCTTTGTGTACACGATAGATAAGCTGCGACAACGTAGCTTTCTGACGACGATTTTTGTTTACATATTGCGCCGGCCGGTGCAGAGGAGGCCGGGTATTTATATTAGTACTAACGATAGATAAGCTGAATGCAGGCCGGGAACGAGGTCGCCTACAGCCTGACAGTTCACCGCCCCCTCGCGTATACACACAACAATGGCAGCCCCAACAAAAATCACCGGACTGACGATCGAAGATCTGCGGTTTCCTACTTCGTTGCAAAAAGATGGATCAGATGCGATGGTGGGTTAGAACATGTTTGATGACGTTGTAAACATTTGTTAAATTGAAATGTTGACATTGCATGGTTAGAATGATGTTTGTCCTTTAACAGGGCCATGTTCTTACGACGAATGTCCTTGCTTTCTTGTTTTTAACATTTTAACAGGTTGGGTACAACGGCGCATATGGGTAACAGTTACCTGTTTAAGGCAATCTGCAAAGAATAACTTGAAGCATTAACGTACATATGCTGTGAAATAATAAACTATTTTCCATGTAAAAAAAAAAGAAGAAAAAAAGGTGTTTTTTTTGGGCTGACACACCTGTATGTTTCTGTGCTTACACAAGTTTCGGTGCTACAACCGTTTCTGTGACCTAACCTTTTGTGCATAATTGTTGCACGCATATTGCAAGTTACTTGACTTAATTGGGTTTTTAGCTCATCTGGTCCGAAGGGCCATGTGAGCTTATGCCGTACTGCGGCGTCTGTCGTCCGTCCGTCAACTTTTTCTTTTAAACGACTTCTTCTGAAGAACTGGAGGACCTAGGGTCATGCTATTTGGCTAGTAGGTACCTGGGATGAAGTGCTATAAAGTTTCCTCATTAAAATGACCTTGACCTACTTTTAAGGTCACAGGGGTCAAATATGTTCAAAAATTCAAAAAACAATATCTTAAGAACCTTTCGGACTAGAGTCATGATACTTAGCAATGGTATGTAGACCAGTAAAATGACCTTGATTCTAAATTACAGTAATGAGGTCAAAGGTCAACTTTAAGTGCTAGTCGGGGGTCAAATGTCAACATGGGTTAAAAGCTTTAACAATCTTCTTCTCAAGTTCCATATGACCCAGGGTCATGATACTTGGCCAGTAGGTACCAGAATAGAGTGCTATAAAGTTTCCTCATTAAAATGACCTTGACCTACTTTCAAGGTCACAGGAGTCAAAAATGTTAAAAAATTCAAACGACGATATCCTAAGAACCATTTGGTCTAGAGTCATGATACTTGGGTATGTTATGTAGACCAGCAGTGTGAATCTTTTTCTTAATTAATTACAGTAATGAGGCCAAATGTCAACTTTAAATGCTAGGCGGAGTCAAGGGTCAAAGTGGGTAAAAAAGCTTTAAAATTACAATTTCACACTCAAATTTCAAACAACAATATCTTAAGAAGCGTTTAAGAGATGTTAAAATGTCTTGTGTTCTAGTTACCAAATTTGGTCTAAAGTTACCTATATGTCAGTTTCATGTAACAAAAGAAACAGGTGAGCGATACAGGCCCTCTGGGCCTGTTGTTTGGGTAGTGCTCGAGAGTACACACTTAGAAAATAAAATGAAACGAAAATAAGTAAATTTTAATGAAACTTTACAGATATTAATAGCTACCCCCTGATGTTGTGCATCCAGATATTATTTTTTCATTCCGGCCCTCTTTTACAGAGTTACGTCCCTTTTGTTAAAAATCCTTGTACAGACAACTCCTCCTAATCTAGTGGGCCAATTTCAATGAAAGTTTACAGATATGGTAAATACCCCCTGAAGTTGTTCATCCAAGTAGTATATTTTCATTCCAACAGATTGCCTTCATATTGATGTGGCACCCTGATAGATTTGTTGATTTATTTTAATTCTTTATATTCCTAAAGATTCACTAAAATATATTGAGTCCAATTAGTATTACTTTGTATAATGTTGTGTCGTTGATTTTAATCCGTAATCCGCGCTCCCCATCCACAGTCACCTAGTCTCGTGTGTTACTTTCGTTTTGAATGGAATGTATGTGAGTGTAACGTAATTGTGAACGTGATTGTATACCTGTTTGACCAGTGACAAACTGACCTCTGGAGTTTAACTAAATTTGACTGGAAGCATCCCTAGGTGGTGGGGATTCAAAATTGTACAAATGGTGTGGCTGACCCCCCAGGGGCTGAAGGGTGGGGCAAAAAGTGGGCAATTCGGCTATATTGCTACAAACAACTTCCTCTGCAGAACTATGCAGCCATATCAGCCATATTTGACTGGAAGCATCCTTAGGTGGTTGGGACTCAAAATTGTACAAATGGTGGGGCTGACCCCCCCCCCCCCCCTCAAAAAACGTTTATTACTTGGAAATGCTTGAGATCCCCACCATATAACCATATATGCAATTGCTGAGTATTAAGAGAAGAATGCACATTTTCTTCCAGGATGGCCAGCCCTAGGGTCTGGCCCCACCCTTGGAGACATAGTCCCTCGTTCATAACTTTGAAACGGTTAAGATCCCCACCCCAAAACTATATATAAAAATGATGGGCATAAAGATACGAATGCAGTCATGATATTAGAATTGATCCCAGGGTCTGCCCCACCCTTGCAGACTTAACCCCCGGGTCATAACTTTGAAACGGTTGGGATCCCCACCCCAAAACGATATATACAAACGCTGGGCAAATAGAGACAAATGCAGTCATGATATTAGAATTGATCCTGGGGTCTGGCCACAACCCTAGGGACCCTGTTTCTGAGTCACAGCTTGGAAACAGTTGAGATCCCCACCCCATAACCATACATAAAATTGCTGGGCATGAAAAATCAAATACAGATATGCTACATGGATTGGCCTTGGGGTCTGGCATATTCCCTTGGGTCTCATTTGGAGGATATTTTGCCATGATTGCTTAGATATCCAGGTGATCAATACAGGCCCTCTGGGCCTCTTATTTTTAAATTACATTGAATGGCTGTCTGTCAGTTAGTCGGCCACTGTGGAAGGAAGTGTGTGACGATGAATATGGATGTGCATGTCTGGAATACTGGTTGCTGAATATTTTATGACATATTTATTGTTCAGCTGTCACCATTTGTAAATGTAAATAGAAATAGATTGCCTAATACACTATTAATTTGTAACGTTTCATTGTTGTCTAGAACAGCATTATCATGACTTTGTATATAAACATTGACAATATTGTGTATTGATGGAACCTGGGATATTTTTACTGTGAGAACGTGTACGTTATTTACAGCACAAGGCCCCCGATTATTCCTGTCCTTACGTCATTTTATCTACGGACACTGATCTACGGGGATGTGGTACGACCTTCACCCTGGGCAAGGGCAATGCTATAGGTACAGATGACAACCAACTCTACTGTATATATCCTTATAAGGGCCCTCTTTAGTGATGACACACCACTAATATAACTTTTTTTTTATTAATAATTTTACGGATATATAAATTTATGCTTTGAAATAGTCTGAAATAGCTTGGGACATCAAAAATTGTTTAAATGAGATAGTCAGTTATTTCAGACTAGTTTTGGAAGAGTAATAGAAGTGAAAATTTCCATAGGGGCATTATAAGGATATATACGGTACACATGTATTATATAATCTACTATATACCTGTACACTGGGCACCTGCATGTCGTGGAAACCTGTCTATAATGATGATCATGTTATAATGAACATGCAAGCTGTAAAACTGAAAGTCACTGAAGAAAGAGACAGAATTTCCTTATGACCTGGTTCCACTGTATAGGTGATCACTATAGACAAGCTCTTCTGTACACAATATCATTATAGACAGGTTCCACTGTACAGGTGATCTTAATAGACAAGTTCTGCTGTACACAATATCACTATAGACAGGCTCCACTTACTAGAACTTTTTTTTCAAGCCAAGGATTGATGAGGAAAGGAGTCCAGGGATAACGTACCTATTGGTATAGAATTTTAAATCCTGATCACTGATGCTTAGTGTGTCTGTCTTTGCAGCACAAAGCGCCAGATTACGCCGCTCCGTATATCATACTTGAGACTGATGGAGCTTTACAAGGGTGTGGCTCAAGCTTCACGGCTGGGCGTGGTAATCAGCTAGGTATAGGATTTATTCATCAACACATTTTCTGCTTCTTTTAAACAAACCTGTAATTCCTGATGTTACCCTGTGTTTTGCTTTGTATATATATCTACAGTATATAGTTGGCTTCAGTAAATATTTTGTTCTTTGGCCCTGACAAATATCTCATCCGGGCCAGGTGAGCTTATGCCATGGTGCGGCATCCGTCATTCGTCCTTCCGTCCGGCGTCCGGCGTCAATATTTTACTTTAAACAACTTCTTCTCAATAACCAAAAGGCCCAGGGTACTGATATTGGGCCTGTAGCATGCTGGGATGAGGGGCTTCCCAGTTTGTTCAAATGAATGACCTTGACCCACTTTCAAGGTTTCATGGGTCAAATGTCTTAAAATCTTCAAACAACTTCTTCTCAATAACCAAAAGGCTCAGGGTACTGAAATTGGGCCTGTAGCATGCTGGGATGAAGGACTACCAAGTTTGTTCAAATGAATGACCTTGACCCACTTTCAACCTAATGTCCTTGTTCGACATTCACAGGCGTCATATGTTTAAATCTTTTAATAGTTTCTTATAAATCAAACACTGATATTCTGCCTGTAGCTGTATTTTAGTCCACTTTTAAGATTACAAGTGTGAGATTAATACCAGGTGAGCAATACAGGCCCATTGGGCCTCTTGTTTGGCTGACAAGTATTGTATTTTCATAACATGGCAAATATCTGGTTTTCTTACGCTGACAAATATTTTGCTTTCCTTCCCAGGAGAATATTTGGTGTACTTGCTACCCTAACAAATATCTGCCTTTCCTTCTCTGATAAATATTTGGTGTCCTGGCTTCCCTGACAAATATCCAGTTCTTCTACCCAGCCAAATATCTAGTGCTCCTGCCGAGACAAATATCTGGTTCTCTCGCCGAGACAAATACACTGTATCTGGATCTCCTACCCTGACAATCTTTGGCTTGTTTTTGTGCCTTGTTCGTACATTACATCATATATAAATGAGTGGTTTCTGTATTGTTTTAACTTTTTAGTGTCATAGGCCAGATAAAAATAACAGAAACAGAAACAATTTTATTGCATTGATTAGCTAGATTATACATCATAATCTAGTCACAATTGTAAATATCCTGTACACGTCATTCTCAGACTTTTTATGATTTCTTTTTCTTCAGTTTGTATGGCCATTGACAATTTCAAGAGCTTAGTTGTCGGACAGAATCTGCAGGATATCTTCAATGATTTCAGTGGATTCTGGCGCTCGTTAGCGAGTGAGGATCAAATAAGATGGGTAATGAAAATTATTATTTCAAATCGAAAAAAAAGTATAATTTATGTGTACATCTTGGCAGAAATGTATGAAAACCAACAGTAGATGATGTATAGATAAATTATCTTGATAATAGAATGTTGTGTTTGTATTATTTAACTTTTCTGAATACATTTAACTTCCTGTCCCCATCTTTTAGTTGTAAATCAAGTTATTGATCAGATAGTTTTGAAGAAAAGGATATATGCACATCAAAGTGTTTAAATAGTAAAGCAAATGATTAAAATAATGCATTTCTCTTTGCATTGATTATTTTGACGACGTTAATAGTATATTCTCACTGAATGACCTGTATAATAACCTCTTTGAACTGTTACATCACAATCATGACCCCTGATTGACATCATACATCATTATGGTGACCTTCAACTGACCTGGCATCACTATGGTGATCTCTTGTTAACCTTTAATTACCATGGTGACTTCTGATTGACCTGACATCACTATGGTTAACTCTGATTGACCTGACATTACTATGGTACCCTCTGATTGACCTGCCATTACCATGGTGACCTCTGATTGACCTCACATCACCATGGTAACCTCTTATTGACCTGACATCACTATGGTTAACTCTGATTGCCCTGACATTACTATGGTACCCTCTGATTGCCCTGCCATTACCATGGTGACTTCTGATTGACCTGACATCACTATGGTTAACTCTGATTGCCCTGACATTACTATGGTACCCTCTGATTGCCCTGCCATTACCATGGTGACCTCTGATTGACCTGACATCACCATGGTAACCTCTTATTGACCTGACATCACCATGGTAATCTCTGATTGACCTGACATTACTATGGTGATCTCTGATTGACCTGAAATCACCAGTGACCTGCGATTGACCTGACATCATTGTGGTGACCTCAGATTGACCTGACATCACTATGGTGACCTCTGATTTATCTGACATCACTATTGTGACCTCTGCTTGACTTGATATCATCATGGTAACCTCAGATTGACCTGACATTACTATGGTGATCTCTGATCGACCTGACATCATCATGGTGACCTCTGATTGACATGACATTACTATGGTAACCTCTGATTGACCTGACATTACCATGGTTACCTCTGATTGACCTGACATCGCCATGGTAACCTCTGATTGACCTGACATTACTATGGTGGTCTTTGATTGACCTGACATCTTCATGGTGACCTGTGGTTGATCTGACATCATCATGGTGACCTCAGATTGACCTGACATTACTATGGTGTTCTCTGATTGACCTGGCATTACCATTGTGACCTCTGATTGACCTGACATCACCATAGTGACCTGTGATTGACCTGACATCATTGTTGTGACCTCAGATTAACCTGACATCACTATGGTGACCTCTGATAGACCAGACATCACCGTGATGACCTCTGATTGATCTGACATCACTATTGTGACATCTGATTGACTTGATATCATCATAGTGTCCTCCAATTTACCTGACATTACCATGGTGACCTGTGATTGACCTGACATCATTGTGGTGACCTCTGATTGACCTGACATTACAATGATGACCTCTGATTGACCTTAACATTTTGGTGCATAGCTGGGACCAGAGAAAGGTGTAACTCATCTTGCCATTGCTGCTATCATCAACGCTGTCTGGGACTTGTGGGCCAAAATGGAGGGCAAGGTGAGGGAAGGTTTTTCTTTTTGTTTACTACTTATATCGCAATCATTTACATATATTTGTATCTATCTTGCATAAATTTACTGTATGTCATTTATGTTCAGTATATTTCAATGAAATAAAGGTTTTTGTTGTAAACGTGACACACTATATTATATATTTAAGGTAGAAATATTGGAGTTTATTGGTAAACATTGGTCACTTTATTTGCCTGGTAGTTTCTGTGTAGGTTTTCAGGTTCAGTTTATAGCATAATGCAAAAACAAAATGTTAACTCCAGTTAAAATAACTTTTATTTCAACTAATGTTTAAGAAATCTGTTAGGCAACACCAGGTGGTGCAGATGTAAATAGATATCCTCATTAACAAGTAATTGTTTCATTGTTTCAGCCCCTATGGAAGTTGTTGGCCGATATGGTTAGTATATTATTTCCATTGATACAAGAAGATTTATTCGAAGTCAAATATTTGAGAAGATTAAAAGTTGTGATATTAGTACCATTGTTTCCTGTAATTTTCCTGACCAATTGTGATAACATGTATTATAATTGCTTCAGTCTGAGATGGCCGCCATGGTCTTGAATTAGTGGAAACACTTTTAGATCACCTGGACCAAAGGGCCAATTGAGCTAGTGCCATAGCACAGCATCTGTCCATATATCGATTTTTCCTTTAAATACTACCACTGTAGAACAGCTGAGCAGATTTTGACAAACGTTACCCTAGAAGATCCTTTTTCGAATTGGACTCAACTTTGTAGAATTGGAGAATGAAATTCCCCTCGTCCCTTGGCAGAAGGGCATGGTCTAATAGGGGCAATGAAGGTAAATCTTCAAAATCCTAATTTTTTAGTGTGGATTTTTACTTAATTTGGAGTGGAGCATCCTGGGGACAGAACCTACTTTTACTGTAAATAGTTAATCATGATTTCTTAAATAACCAAGTGAGTGATTCAGTCAAGCCTCTTAAGCCTCTTGTTGTTTTCTATAGTGTCTTGTCTAATTCAGATAAAAAAACATTTGACAGATACAGGCCCGCTAGTCCTTTTGTTTTTTTATTTTTCTGGTTTTGAACTTGATTGGTTGATGATTTAATCTCTGTGTTTGTTATTTTCAGTCCCCAGAAATGTTGGTGTCCACCATCGACTTCAGACACATGTAAGGACAGTCATCCCATGTTCAGTTTTATAACTTGACTTTGCAAAGTGACATATTGAAATGTAAAGTGAAATCTTGGAATAGATTTGTTACTAAAAATAGTCCAAATTTAAATGACAAAATTCCATACAAACGAAAAACAATTACAGTGAACACAATCAAACAAACTTGTGCTTTAAGCCATGTTTGTGTACCCTGTTTGAGAATACCTGTACATGTACTTTAGTTAACGTTGTATATCCCTGGTTGTATGAAACTCCTTAATGCATTTTGGCTATAACAAACTTTACAAATAGGATTTGTTAGGTCTAATTATAAGGTTTATTATAAATTAGGATTGATTGTATTTACTGTATCACTGCAGAATACTTTGATAATTATAAACGTACAAGTACAGGTGAATTACCGTATCTGATGTACATTGTTGTAGGGGTGATACTCTCACAAAGAAGGAGGCTCTGGGTGAGTGAAATATGAAATCAATTATCTTAGTAATAACAGTGTTTATACCTTTAATGCTAATTGATTTTTTTTTACGGTAAAATTTGTCAAGGATAACAGAAAATTAAAAAAAAAATGAGTTCATCAGGATTTTCTTTTAAAATCATAGCTTTTGGTCTAATAACCGGTATTTTGGAAAGTTGTTTATATATCTTTCTTCTAATATTTCGTTTACACTGATGTATTTATTAAAAAAAATGTTAAATATAGTATTATTGTTATTATATAGTAAATGTGTTAAATGTATGTTAATTCATTTACGTCCATCCTGGGCTCTCTATAATTTAATTCATATTTACACAAAAATTAAACTTACTTTTGTTGTTTTTTTTCTCCTAGAAATAACGGAAACCAGAATGGAAAACTGAATCTCCTGAAATAATTATTAAATATTGTATGGATTATAAATATTTTATTTTTTCACAGAAATATTGAAGAAAGGTCAAGTTGGAAAAGCAGAGAGAGGTTTGTATTAAGTTGTTATTAAGTACACATTGAGGAAGTTGATTCATAATGTCACAGAAATGTTTGTATTCTGTATAGGTTGTAAATACATGTATTCGTAGTAGGTTTAAGACGTTTGAGATGGTATACAGCTCTGATGATTAGTATTCTAGTCCTGAAGACATTGTATATAGCTCAGGGTGACAATATCTTCTTAAGTAAAATTTTAGTGGCTGAATAGTTGGACAACTGCAATATTACATGTGTTTATGCTAAATAAGTTTAGTTATGGTGGCTGGTTTTCTCTATCAATACCTGAATTCTTGGTGTCATAAAGAGTACCATGTCATAAACACGAACATGGAAACATTGATAACTAAAGTTTTCCATAACTTGATGAAAGACAAGTGCAGTTAGAATGTTAATATCTATTTATATGTTACAGAGGCTGAGGTGGTTGCTAACGGTTACCCAGCATACACCACTTCCTGTGGCTGGCTAGGATATTCTGATGAGAAAATCAAAAGGGTGAGTTCAGAGAATATGTTTACCATGTTAGGAAAGAGGGCAGTTCTCGATTATACATCATTCATGCTTAAAATTGGTTTATCTCTTAAATATCTGGAATTAAGACTGGGTTGATGTGTTTAGGGTGACATGTTTCTTGTTATTGACATATTAATCTGTTTAAATTGCCTGACACGATTCAGTAATTGTTTGCTAAAATACTGCATACTGTCATAGACAAATCAAATTATCTAATAGTGTGGTGGAAACTAAACAGATGAGAATATTAATGACATTGAATAGAATTATGAAAGATTGTTTCAATTAATTTTAGAAACATTGTATTCTTTTTGCTCTAAAGTGGCCTCTTGTGGCAAGAATACCATATTGTGCTAATGTTTGCTTTATGTGACTTTAACTAAATATTTGTATTGTAATTGTATATTTATCCCGTAAATTTATTTTTCAGTTGGCAACAGAAGCCCTAAGCCAGGGGATGTGTCGGTAGGTACTTGAAACAGGAAGATAGGAGGGAGGGGGCCGGGGGATTGGCATAGTTTCCAGGTCCATGATTTAAATTTCAAATAAAACAGGATATTCAACTATTTTCCAAAACCGAAGGTTCAGTATGGCTGGTTGGATTGTGAGATTAACAGGCAATAATTTTCTGTTTTGGACATTTTTGCTGACATCGCTGTCACATTGAATTCTCAATGTATAAAAAATCAACCTATTCATACTTATGATAATTTGAGCAAAACAAAAATCATCTTATTCATAGATATAATGTGTATAGTAAGAACTCTTTGTACTGATAACACTGAGTTTAAGATACTGAGGTATCACAATATATGTCCTGTAAGAAGTACAGTCATTATTTTTCAATTTTGACGCAGATTCAAGATGAAGGTTGGAGGAGATGTCAAGGACGATGCTAGGAGAGCGAAAATGTTCCGTGAAATTATAGGATATGACCGACCTCTGGTATGTTGAGGTCAAAGTTCATTTTCCAATGCTTTAGTAGATAAACATGATATTGAATAGCCAGAGCCCGAACAAGTTTCCTTTTTAGCTCCAAAGTTCGGCATATGCCACAGGCACTTTCACTATAAGTTCATGCAGACCTATAGTATATAGACTGTCCATATGTTTGCCATATATGGACACTATTTATAATGCAGGAAGGTTTGTATTATGAATAAATGCTATGAATCTAAACTCCTTTGTTTGATGTTGTTTCATAAGATAAGATTTGTTTTGTTTAGATGATGGATGCCAATCAGAAGTGGGAGGTGGACGAGGCCATAGACTGGATGAAACAGCTGGCAGAGTACAAACCGCTGTGGATAGAGGAACCGACCAACCCAGACGACATCTTGGGACATGCTGCCATCGCCGAGGTAGGAGGAGTAGTATTCAGCAATACCTTATATGGGAAATAGGGTGGTTTAGTTTTCATATTCACGATGTTTAGCGATAACAGACAGATACTTGGTACTTCCAGTGATAATCATCTTGATTTTGGGTAGGGCTTTTCGTCTGGTATATGTTTCTAGACAATCTTCTTTTGAGACGGACGGCCTCATTCAGGGGTTATTATCTGTAGAAGTACAAATACAGTAGAGATACAAGTGTAACAGTATAAGACTCTTTCATGCCCAGGGTTGTAGGACCAAAGGTGTAGGACCAGGGGTGTAGGACCAGGGGTGTAGGACCAGGGGTGTAGGACCAGGGGTGTAGGACCAGGGGTGTAGGACCAGGGGTGTAGGACCAGGGGTGTAGGACCAGGGGTGTAGGACCAGGGGTGTAGGACCAGGGGTGTAGGACCAGGGGTGTAGGACCAGGGGTGTAGGACCAGGGGTGTAGGACCAGGGGTGTAGGACCAGGGGTGTAGGACCAGGGGTGTAGGACCAGGGGTGTAGGACCAGGGGTGTAGGACCAGGGGTGTAGGACCAGGGGTGTAGGACCAGGGGTGTAGGACCAGAGGTGTAGGACCAGGGGTGTAGGACCAGGGGTGTAGGACCAGGGGTGTAGGACCAGGGGTGTAGGACCAGGGGTGTAGGACCAGGGGTGTAGGACCAGGGGTGTAGGACCAGGGGTGTAGGACCAGGGGTGTAGGACCAGGGGTGTAGGACCAGGGGTGTAGGACCAGGGGTGTAGGACCAGGGGTGTAGGACCAGGGGTGTAGGACCAGGGGTGTAGGACCAGGGGTGTAGGACCAGGGGTGTAGGACCAGGGGTGTAGGACCAGGGGTGTAGGACCAGGGGTGTAGGACCAGGGGTGTAGGACCAGGGGTGTAGGACCAGGGGTGTAGGACCAGGGGTGTAGGACCAGGGGTGTAGGACCAGGGGTGTAGGACCAGGGGTGTAGGACCAGGGGTGTAGGACCAGGGGTGTAGGACCAGGGGTGTAGGACCAGGGGTGTAGGACCAGGGGTGTAGGACCAGGGGTGTAGGACCAGGGGTGTAGGACCAGGGGTGTAGGACCAGGGGTGTAGGACCAGGGGTGTAGGACCAGGGGTGTAGGACCAGGGGTGTAGGACCAGGGGTGTAGGACCAGGGGTGTAGGACCAGGGGTGTAGGACCAGGGGTGTAGGACCAGGGGTGTAGGACCAGGGGTGTAGGACCAGGGGTGTAGGACCAGGGGTGTAGGACCAGGGGTGTAGGACCAGGGGTGTAGGACCAGGGGTGTAGGACCAGGGGTGTAGGACCAGGGGTGTAGGACCAGGGGTGTAGGACCAGGGGTGTAGGACCAGGGGTGTAGGACCAGGGGTGTAGGACCAGGGGTGTAGGACCAGGGGTGTAGGACCAGGGGTGTAGGACCAGGGGTGTAGGACCAGGGGTGTAGGACCAGGGGTGTAGGACCAGAGGTGTAGGACCAGGGGTGTAGGACCAGGGGTGTAGGACCAGGGGTGTAGGACCAGGGGTGTAGGACCAGGGGTGTAGGACCAGGGGTGTAGGACCAGGGGTGTAGGACCAGGGGTGTAGGACCAGGGGTGTAGGACCAGGGGTGTAGGACCAGGGGTGTAGGACCAGGGGTGTAGGACCAGGGGTGTAGGACCAGGGGTGTAGGACCAGGGGTGTAGGACCAGGGGTGTAGGACCAGGGGTGTAGGACCAGGGGTGTAGGACCAGGGGTGTAGGACCAGGGGTGTAGGACCAGGGGTGTAGGACCAGGGGTGTAGGACCAGGGGTGTAGGACCAGGGGTGTAGGACCAGGGGTGTAGGACCAGGGGTGTAGGACCAGGGGTGTAGGACCAGGGGTGCAGGACCAGGGTTGTAGGACCAGGGGTGTAGGATAGGGAAATTCCACCTGAGGGGTTTACTAATTTGGTAGAACCCTAGGCTTTGCCGTGGGTTTTGCTAAATTTGAAAATCCTGTAAAAAACTAATTTCATCTTTCTAACTTGTACGGTCTATGAATTGTACAGTCTATTTCATCACGTCGCCTTTTCTGCACTAGGCATCAGGGTTTTCCAAATTCGTGATGTCATTGTTGAGCCACTGTGACGACACGTCACGTGAAGTGGGGTGCAAGATAGAAATTTCCTACACCCCTTTCTTACCCTGGACAGCTCTGTCTTACACACACAGGGAAATGAGAGAAATTGGTTTCTTCCTCTCCCTAACTTGTTCATTAGGGGAGTGGCTTGGGGTTCAAGTATGCATTTAAGAGAATGAAAAGTGCACTTTCATCTCTGGAACTCCATATTACATATTTATTGGGTTCCTTTAATTCTTAAACACAACAATTAATATTACTTCATGTTTTTTCTTGATTTTGGGAGTATCAGAGAGCACTGAAAACAATAGGATAGTATCTAATACTTTACACACTGTGTTGAAGGCATTGAACCCCTTGGGGATTGGTGTGGCTACCGGCGAACACTGTCAGAACAGGATCATGTTTAAGCAGTTCCTTAAGGCCAAGGCCATGCAGTACTGCCAGATTGATGCCACTAGGGTAGGCGGCGTTAACGAAAATCTCGCCATCATCTTATTGGCTGCTAAGTTTGGAGGTAAGTTCAAAGGCTAACATTGTCCATTTTTGACTTTTTTTTAGACATGTGTACCCCAATCAGACCTTGTGATCAGGATCACAATTAAATGCAACATGTTTCTGTAAGATCAAGATTAATGCATTATGTTTCATATACAGTTCTTCTGTAGCCAAATAAGATCCTTCTCAATTTGTAAAATTAATAATTATTTAAAACCTTATCCTTAATTCTGCATACATTGATGACCTAAACCAATATATTTCATAGTTTTTCTAACCTTGACCCGTATAGTGCAAACAGTTATTTCTGACCTTTACCCTTATAGTGCATACTCATTTCTGACCTTGACCCTTATAGTGCACACAGTTATTTCTGACCTTGACCCTTAGAGTGCATAGTCATTTCTGACCTTGACCCTTATAGTGCAGTCATTTCTGACCTTGACCCTTATAGTGCACACAGTCATTTCTGACCTTGACCCTAATAGTGCACAGTCATTTCTGATCTTGTCCTTATATTGCACAGTCTTTTCTGACCTTGAAGCTTATAGTGCAGTAATTTCTGACCTTGACCCTTATAGTGCAAACAGTTATTTCTGACCTTTACCCTTATAGTGCATACTCATTTCTGACCTTTACCCTTAAAGTGCCAAGTCGTTTCTGACCTTGAAGCCTATAGTGCAGTTATTTCTGACCTTGACCCTTATAGTGCACACAGTTATTTCTGACCTTGACCCTTATAGTGCACACAGTCATTTCTGAGCTTGACCCTAATAGTGCACAGTCATTTCTGACCTTGCAACCTTATAGTGCACAGTCCTTTCTGACCTTGACCCTTATAGTGTACACAGTCATTTCTGACCTTGAACCTTATAGTGCACAGTCATTTCTGACCTTGCAACCTTATAGTGCACAGTCCTTTCTGACCTTGAACCTTATAGTGCACAGTCATTTCTGACCTTGACCCTTATAGTGCACACAGTCATTTCTGACCTTGACCCTAATAGTGCACAGTCATTTCTGACCTTGACACTTATATAGTGCACACATTATTTCTGACCTTGACACTTATATAGTGCACAGTCATTTCTGACCTTGACTCTTATAGTGCACACTGTTATTTCTGACCTGACTCTTATAGTGCACAGTAATTTCTGACATTGACCCTAATAGTGCACAGTCATTTTCTGACTTTGACCCTTATAGTGCACACAGTCATTTCTGACCTTGACCCTTATAGAGCACACAGTTACTTCTGACCTTGACCCATTATTACAGTACCTGTGTGTCCCCATGCTGGAGGAGTCGCTCTCTGTGAACTTGTACAACATTACTCCATGTTCGACTTCATCTGTGTCTCAGGGACCATGGAAAATAGGTCTGTGCTTTTGTTGGGATCATATTAACAACAAGATAATGCTCAGTATTATCCAATTTGGAATGTCTGGTCCTAATACACTAACACAAAAGAAAATATTGCAGTTCTCTTATAATTATTATTTAAGAAAATGAAAATTTGATTTTGATCAAAAACAAGATAATTGAATTTGTTTTTTAAAAAGAAAATTGGATTTGTTTGCAATTATGAGGTTGAATTGTTTGTAAAAAGGATTTTTTATTTGAAAAAAATGTTGCTTTTAAACAGGATGTTTGTTTTTGTTTTTAACAGGATGATTGAATTTGCTGACCATCTTCATGAACATATGTCAGAACCAGTGGTCATCAGAAATGGTAGCTACCAGGTTCCTAAGGTATTATATATTTATATCTGCAGTATCTTGTACGGAAAACTCCATCTTAACTAACAGGCAGATTTTACTGAAACTTCACTTAAATGATTGGTATATGATGTGGTTGTGCACCGGCATTTCAATTTCAGATTTCAACACTTTTTTAAGGGAGTTACGGCCCTTTATGTGAAATAACTTGACAGTAAAACTTGCCCCAACGACTTTAATTTTATATATATATTGATAAAACTTCGGCTATATGTAACGAGCCAAAATATCTGGAATGAATTCCCATTTCAGTAAGTTGACCCAAAGGTCAAGGTTACTAAATGATGTATAAACTACCAGCATCTGTGGGGGATATTATTTATCCTCCGGATGACAGTTCTAGTTTTGGTCTTTTTTGCCTTCTGTAATGAGGTGGAATTTATCATTACAGCTTACATGAGTAAAGAAAATAATATACATCGTAATTAGATGATGTGAAGGGTGAAATTAAAGCTGGTTGAATATAGATTTTACCAGCGTAGGGCGAAAGTTTGATTGGGCGAAATATTTCCCGGTATACAGTATTGATTTACTATTCCGTCTTTTCGTATTGCAGAGTTATCTGCTCTTGTGAGCAGGTATTGATTGTTACCCCATTTGTTTGTGAGAGTAACGTCATAAATTTTTGAGAAAATGACGTAATTTTCTCACACAAACTAATGACGTAACAATCAATACCTGCTCACTAGAGCAGATAACTCTGCAATACAAAAAGACAAAATAAAGACCCTATACAACACTGCTGCATCTCCAGTGTGAATAATCCATCAGTACAGATATGTAAGTTTTACTAAACAACACACGTATAGAATCTCCCTACAACCTGTTAAACTATTACAGTAATCAGATTTGTATATGTTGATCATTACAGAGTCCAGGTTTTGTGGTGGGGATAACAGACAAAGCCCGGGAGGACTATATCTACCCAGAGGGGAAGGAGTGGCAGAGACTCTTCAGTGAAGGACTCTTTACCAAGCCGGAATAATAGCAGAGATTTCATAGATTTTCTAATCTGATCCAGTCTTGTTTGAATATTGTTATTCCATTTTGATTATTTGACATTGGAAATTTGTCTGTTGATTGCCTGATGGTAAGATGTTTCTCTGAAAATTGTTAAACAAATACAGTGCCTGTATGGTTTCTGTGGTAACAATCATTGTGTCATACTTTGTATGTGTAGTGCCTGTATGGTTTCTGTGGTAACAATCAATGTGTCATACTTTGTATGTGTAGTGCCTGTATTGTTTCTGTGATGACAAGCAATGTGTCATACTCTGTATGTGTAGTGCCTGTATGGTTTCTGTGGTGACAATCAGTAATTACATACTTTGTATGTGTAGTGCCTCTATTGTTTCTGTGGTGACAATCAATGTGTCATACTTTGTATGTGTAGTGCCTGTATTGTTTCTGTGGTGACAATTAATGTTTCATACTTTGTATGTGTAGTGCCTGTATGGTTTCTGTGGTAACAATCAATGTCATACTTTGTATGTGTAGTGCCCGTATGGCTTCTGTGGTAACAATCAATATGTCATACTTTGTATGGGTAGTGCCTGTATGGTTTCTGTGGTAACAATCAATATGTCATACTTTGTATGTGTAGTGCCTGTATGGTTTCTGTGGTGACAATCATTGTGTCATACTTTATATGTGTAGTGCCTGTATGGTTTCTGTGGTAACAATCAATGTGTCATACGTTGTATAAATGTATGTGAACAAATGCTATTTATGGAATGAAAGAAATGAATAATTTTAAATGATGCAACTTATGTAATACTATACAGTATAATATATTCATGTATATACAAGCTTTATTTTTTTCTTTGCATTTAATTAACATAGCGTAATACTCAGGGTGAGGGACAGCGATTACAGACATATTTTATTACCTTGTTTATCACCATCCAGTCCAGTAGACTGTAACTCGAGTGTATTTGAGCTTGAATATAGTTCAGCTTGCATGTCTCCGAGGTTGAATGCATTTGAGATAGGAAGTATTTTAGATTGGATGTATTAACTGGCCCCTAAATGGTTTGGCATGGAACCAAGATGTAAAAAATCTGTGTCTTTTTATATCAGCTTTGTTGACATTTTTGAATTGTTGTTTTGTTGTTTAAAGAGCGACACTAATTATTTTATGTAATTTTATAAATTGAGAAATAAATTATTAATAATTACTGAAATATGTTACGACTTTTAACTTTAGTCTCAAGTTTGTACAAGAGGCTCAGAGCCCCTCAGATGACCTGTTCTGCTCACTAGGGTTTGTAAGCAATCATGCAAAATATATTTATACACCTCCTTTTATACAAATTTGACCAGACGGAGACCAGACCAAATGGGGTCAAAATCAACTCAGCCGTGGCGTTCTGGACTAGAATAGACTAATGCTGCATCATGGAGTAAGCCCACATGGTCCTCCTTATTAAGTATAAGTCCAGAAAACAAGATTTCATTATTATATAAAATTTATTCTGTTCTTATACTCTTTAACAACACATGTAACAGTAAATTTGACCACTGATAACACACAAATCATTCTTCACTTCCTGTCAATATGGCAATATATTACAATTAAATTCAATTATACATTCATTCCCATTCTCATCTTGATGTATGTCTCCCAGAAATGTTAATTATACACAAGAACATTTCAGCAAACAAAAAATCTTGTTTAATTCACAAGTACAGTATGACAAAATACTGTATACTTTTCTTCTTGAGGATTGTAAATTTCAAGGTAACAATTTTTCAGCGAAAAATTACTAACATTTGGAAGTATTTTAGTGTATGGACTAAAGATGTACAAAAACTTATTCAGCTGTTGATTTATCTAAATCTGATAAAAATATTGGTAGCGAGTATCAATATATTGGATAGTAAATACAGTGTCTGAATGGTCAAAATGAAATTGCTATAAAAATAATTGGATTCATTTGGCATTCTTCACCGAGTGAAAAATAACACTTTTATCTAAGATTTAGTAGAATTCTGTATCTCCCTACCATAATGTAATATTCTCACTAACATGTCGGTGAAACCACAATATATTAATTGCGACGGATAACAAAAAAAGACAAGACGCCCATGGGCCTTAACGGTCACCTGAGTCTACAGTATTTATTTTTGTTGTTGAAATATGTACCAATTTGAGTAAAAAATAGTATAATGTTAACTTAACTTTGTCAGGACCATGAGCTGATCATTCCAACACCAATTTTAAGTGAGATCGGCCTATTAGACCTTAGTAGCAAAATAGCGGCCACGGAAGCCAAATTGTATTTCTGATTGACCCGAAAAATAACAACCCTTTGTCAGGACCATGATTCGATCATTCCTACAAAGTTTCAGTTCAATCGGCCAAGTAGAACTTGACTTTAAGTTTGAAATGTAAAATGTTAACGGACGACGGACGACGACGGACGAAAACGGATAGCAATAGGTCACTTGAGCTAAAGCTCAGGTGACCTAAAAATAGAAATAACATTTTAAAGTAGTCGTGTTTGCAAGGGCTAAAAAACAAGATGATCCTCCTGAAAACGTCCTTCACCTTTGTAATATTATCATTAATAAATTAATCTTATATTTTTATCAATAACTTAACGAAGCAAATTTAGTGCCTGTACGGTTTCTAGTTCTAGTTCCCCTGAGTAACTCCTTACTCGAGTGGCCTATTGTGATCGCCTTTTATGTGTAAGCATCCGTGAACAATCATATTTTCGACTTTTCTTAACTGTTAGATTTTGATGAAACTTTTAGAGTGTTCATCAGCCAGCAATGGGGACCAGGAAGTAGTTTACATCCCATAATGCCAATATTTAAGAAACATTAAAACTGACTTTGTTGAAACTACATAACTGAAATAGTTTGACCATTTAGATGATCATGTTGGGATTGGCCGTGCTACAGCGAGTGTACAAGGAAGGCAAGTCATATAAACTGTTAGTTGAGGACATATGGATTAGAAAATTTAACATCAAATTTCCATATGGTCGTAGCCATTAAGATTGATTTGTCTTGCCTGTGCCCCGCTTTGCCCATCAATGCACATATCGGAGAAACTAATTGTCTTGCCTGTGCCCAGCTTTGCCCATCAATACACATATCGGAGAAACTAACTTGAATACAAAAACTTCATGTTGATGGAGATGCTGACAAAGTCAATGGACCATGAAAGGTTGGCCGCATCCAGCATTTGATGCATGGGTTGAGATGTACTACCTAAGATGCATCTATGGTCCAGGTTTGGTTGGTCTAGCACTTATACTTTCAGTGAATCTAACTTGAACACAAAAACTTAATGTTGACACCTTAGTCTCGCTTCCGCTACTTCTTCACGGCGAGACAAAAACTGCTGATGGGAGAGGCTTAGCTCTCGACATTGTCTTGGCGTTTTGTGATTCTGATGGCGTGCTATTATGACGTCATAGTTTCAACAAGTCATTGTGACATCACAATTTCTATTTGGAGAGGGCATTTCTAAGTTGAGATAACTTGTACCTAATCCTTTTTGTTGAGTGACAAATAAAATATGTCTAAATCAAATCACAATTTCTGTATGTCATTTCCTCTACTTCCAAAGAAGGCCAGGAGGACAAAATATTGGGACTTACAGTGACATTTGTTTTAAGAAATAGTTTGGATGGTCATTCATTTATATTTCATTTGTGTGACAGCGCTTGATATTGGAACGTATCATTATAGTAAGCTCAAAACTGTTCTTATGACATATACTTAAACAATGTTCCAGGAGATTGGAAATCAATCACAAGTTTTCCAGAGTGATTTGTGTATTTCATGTACATGTACTTTATAGGCGTAACCTGATGCCTTTTGTTCTCTTTATATTGCACAGTAAAACCGGTAAATGTTCACAACTCATTATCATCACTGGGAGAACTGGCTCCTAAACTCATCAAATATGTAGATTGGCACATGGGCGTCAAGAGCCTGAAAATCAAAAGGAGAAACAAATGAATTAAGTTACCATTGTTATATTTGACCTGTGTATGTGAAACATGCTTGTAGATCTAATATTCTGTTCATATTCAAGGATAATTTCCATTCTAGACTTGTAAATCAGGAAATGTTTTCTAAGGAAGTGCTCAAATATACAGAGGGGATACTTACTTTTCTAGACAAAACTTGTAAATCAGGACATGTTTTATGAGGAGGTGGTCTTTATAGACAGGGGAAAGTTACCTTTCTAGACAGAACTTGTAAATCAGGAAATGTTTTCTAAGGAAGTGCTAAAATATACAGAGGGGATACTTACCTTTCTCGACAGAACTTGTAAATCAGGAAATGTTTTCTAAGGAAGTGCTCATATATACAGAGGGGATACTTACCTTTCTCGACAGAACTTGTAAATCAGGAAATGTTTTCTAAGGAAGTGCTCATATATACAGAGGGGATACTTACCTTTCTAGACAGACCTTGTAAATCAGGACATGTTTTATGAGGAGGGGGTCTTTATAGACAGGGGATACTTACCTTTCTAGACAGAACTTGTAAATCAGGAAATGTTTGATAGGGAGGTGGTCTTTATAGACTGAGGATACTTACCTTTCTAGACAGAACTTGTAAATCAGGATATGTTTGATAGGGAGGTGGTCTTTATAGACCGAGGATACTTACCTTTCTAGACAGAACTTGTAAATCAGGACATGTTTTATGAGGAGGTGGTCTTTATAGACAAGAGATACCTACCTTTCTAGACAGACCACTGTAAAACAGGAAATCCTCCAAGAAGACCAGAGTGTTCAAAACATCTTGTGGTGAATCCTGAGACTTCGAACTGTAAAATACAAATTTCGACTTTACTGAGAATTTACACGAGAAAGCAGACTTTATTATTATTTTATAAGCTGTATGTTACATAACAGATTTAAAAAAAAAATAAAAAAAATTGGCAAAATTAATTTCTAATAAATTAGAATTAACTGCTGTAAGTTCAGTGTTATACACACCATCAAGGCTAAGCTATAGATATGTAGGAATAAAGTCTCCAATCTCATTATATTTATGCTTTCAAATTTTGTAACTTGATAGCCTATTCATCACGTGTATAAATCAACAATACCATTAATATTAAATCATTCATTCAACGATACGTAATTCCTCGAACTGTAACCAGATTCCAACTTACCCCGGCAGAACCTCTACTATGGAACGAACATACTGTCCGAGGTAGGCTAGGAAGTGACTTGTACTCTCTGAATGGAACTGTTTTAGAAGAGTCACACATCCCGTCACGAAGGCTGGTCCGTCGAGTGGGTCCGTCAGCTTCTTACTGATCATACCACCTGTAAGGTAGTTAAACAAACGTCCATCACTCACGAACAAGGCAACTTTCTATTGGGGGTATTTTCTCCTAGAATAACTGAAATTTGTCTAACATAAACGGGTCAAGTAAGTAGACATTTCACATAAAAAAGTTTTCTTCCAGGACTTTACAACTTTTTCTTACCGAACAATCTTCTATAACAGGTTCATGAGGCTCGCCTGACTCTTCCTGAGTTACATGAGAAATGAAAATGTTTCAATCAATTTGAGACCATGTTCTCCATGTCAGATTTCTCATTATCCTTAACAAATGTCACAATTTTTTATTGGTCTGGCAAATAATAGGAACATTTTTCAACACATTGTTACAAAGAGGCTGATGGATGGACAAAAACAGAAGGTCATGACCTAAATTCACTGACACTTGGTTCCACATGACCTAAATTCACCGACACTTGGTTCCAGGTGAGCTATAAATTCAGACACTTGGTGCCACATGAGCTATTCACTGCAGTTTGTGTCAGGTACGAGTTCAAATACTTGGTGACAGGTGAGGCAGTACTTACTGAGTGACTTGCTGTAGGCCAGTTTGGGGAGGTGGGACACCACCAGCAGGAAGTTAAATATGGAGAAACACGGCAATCTCTCTGTAGTGATGTAAATCTAGAAAAACAAAGTTTTATTATCAGCTCAGTAAATAAAAACCTATTTCTCTCAATCAAATGTTGGTATTGTTCTCGTTATTTAATTCAGCATTTCAAAGACCAACTTTTCTGAAGGTCAAATTGATTTTTTGTTTTTCTTAACCCCACATAACTACATGCCTAGGCTCGATTAGAACTATTATCCTGAGGCTAACTTATACCCCTCACCGGATGCCAATATATAGATTGAGAGGGCGATATTGCATATTTTCACCCCAAGGTAGCATTGTTGACCGAGGCGAAGCCGAGGTCAACAATGCTTTCCGAGGGGTGAAAATATGCAATATCGCACTCTCATGAATGTGATTTTTATTTTATTATACCGAGTGTCAGGTTTAGGTGTTTTCACCACTTCACCATTTTTAAAGGTCGACAAACGTTTCAGAAAAGTTTTCACTGGGATGAACCAGGGGCGCATACATTTGGCGCATGTAACAATTTTTGGAATAACACCCTGGCACTGGGACGAACCGTGCACACATACGTTTGGCGCATGTGATATTTTTTGGAATAACACCCTGTCTTCTTTATCTTTGTAAAACGAGCAAGTAAAATTGAAAATGTTTACATCTTTCTCAACCAATCAGATTACGAGATTTTAACAGAAGGTATAATAAACTAAAATAACAGAGACATGAAACTGTTAATCATACCATAAGAGACGAGAACCAGAACTTTCATACAGAGGCTAACTTCTAACCCCACATACCATAACACTAGAGAGCTAGAACTGTCATAATAATAGACTCTATATAAATTCTATAACACATTGAGTCAAGGACTCATCTCAGATTGCTCGACATAAAACATATATGACATTTACAACACGAGTAAAAGTATGATACATATCACACATACACACATAAGTACATTAGGTAAGGGTAGTATCATGTCACAGGTAAGATTATAGTATCACAGGTTTGGAAAGTCAAGAATATGTCACATGTGTAATAATTTTAAATTAATGAGATGATTAAATGTCATGCAAAGCATTAATTATCATCCTGCATTTTTGAAATTAAATTTTAGAAATTAAGAAACACATCTTGTATCTAATATACATATATACCAATTTGGCAAATATATCCATAGCGTTAACATGTTTATACTTGTCAATCAAACAGATGACCAAGACAACGTCAAACTGGGTTACACAGCTTTAATCCAAAAGTTGACTAGTTTCGACACATTTGACAACTCCCCCCCCCCCCATGTTTATACTTGGTAACTCATTACTCTGATGGTATTACTGTATCTTACCTTCATGAGAGGGTTGTGAAGTCCCGCAGACTCTAGATAGGCTGCCAACTCAAACATGAGTGGGTTCTCCTCCTTGGGGTAGGGGAGAGTGGGGTCCTGGTAATGCCTCTCTATGTCTGCCAATAGGGCACTACAACACCAATATAAGGCTAATTATTGTAGTGTTTTATCACAACTTTAGTCATCTGGCATTTTAAAATATATGTAAAAGGTGCATAATTATTTCAGTATTTTTTTTGTGAAATCAGAAATTGAGAACATTGGCAACATTATGTTATATATGAAATACAGTAAGTCTTTCCTTCTCAAACTGCCAAATTTTTCAGTGTTTGTGATATACAATAATGAAAGTATTAAACAAAGGACATATTATCAGGGTTATACTGTATAATGATAAACAAAAGGCCTAATATTCAGATTTCATCATCAAATAAAACATGACGGGGACATACCAAGATCTCAACGTTTCCTACAGCAAGGCATTACTTGTATGGCACATGTCTTGTACATTATCTTGAAAATGACAATGACATAAGGCATAAGGTGACTCACGTGTTCATGGTCTGGAGACTGGTGGCCAGGAATTTCGAGTCAAACTTGCAAGATGTGCTTAGTTCATGTTGGATTTGCTTCCTCAGTAACTGCATTTGGCCCACCTACATATAAACATACATTTCTATGAGACACCTACATATAAACATACATTTCTATGAGACACCTACATGTAAACATACATTTCTATGAGACACCTACATGTAAACATATATTTCTATGAGACACCTTCATGTTAACATACATTTCTATGAGACAACTACATATAAACATACATTTCTATGAGACACCTACATGTAAACATGCATTTCTATAAAACACCTTCATACAACCATACATTTCTATGAGACACCTACATATAAACATCCATTTCTATGAGACACCTACATGTAATCATACATTTCTATGAGACACCTACATATAAACATACATTTCTATGAAACACATTCATGTTAACATACATTTCTATAAAACACTTTCATACAAATAAACAATTCTATGAAACACCTTCATGATAACATACATTTCTATAAAACACTTTCATACAAATAAACAATTCTATGAAACACCTTCATGATAACATACATTTCTATAAAACACCTTTATATAAACATACATTTCTATGAGACTCCTTCATATAAACATACATTTCTATGAGTCACCTTCATGTAAACATACATTTCTATAAAACCCCTTCATACAAACATACATTTCTATGAGTCACCTTCATGTAAACATACATTTCTATAAAACCCCTTAATGTAAACATACATTTCTATGAGACTCCTACATGTAAACATACATTTCTATGAAACACCTTCATGTTAACATACATTTCTATAAAACACCTTCATACAAATAAACAATTCTATGAAACACCTTCATGTTAACATACATTTCTATAAAACACCTTCATATAAACATACATTTCTATGAGTCACCTTCATGTAAACATACATTTCTATAAAACACCTTCATATAAACATACATTTCTATAAAACAAATTCATACAAACATACATTTCTATAAAACACCTTCATATAAAAATACATTTCTATAAAACACCTTCATACAAACATACATTTCTATGAGACACCTTCATACAAACATACATTTCTATAAAACACCTACATATAAACATAAATTTCTATAAAACACCTTCATGTTAACATACATTTCTATAAAACACCTTCATATAAACATACATTTCTATGAGACACCTTCATACAAACATACATTTCTATAAAACACCTTCATACAAACATACATTTCTATAAAACACCTTCATATAAACATACATTTCTCTTAAACACCTTCATGTTAACATACATTTCTATAAAACATACACTTCTGCAAATCCTGTTGCATGTGGTTCAAGATTGTAAATTTAACAGTTCCTTATAAGTATGTCTCACTTGAGTAACAGCAGGAAAATTGTTTGAGATATTTTCATACTTGACCTATATATGATTTTGATCAAAATTCTTGCACGAATCAATTTTCTATATTCATGATAAAGCTTTTCTATGAACAGAAATGTCAACCTTAAACTTTATCTGGCACACCCTGAAGCACAACCTTGTTCACGCTATTATTATGCATGACCAATGTATAAAGTTTGATCAAAATCTGTGCAGGAATGAAACCACTAGAGCAATGACTAAACGTTCTATTAATAGTAACGGTGACCTTGACATTGACACCCTGAAACACCAACTAGTTTAGATATACTCATACATCACCAAAAGTTTGATCAAACTTCATGCAGGATTTACGTTACTAGAGCCATGACAAAATGTGAACATACAAACAAATGGATGTACAAACGTACATAGGAGCAGAACACTATTTTCCCTCCACGACTTGCCCTGAGGGTGTAATATATACATCAAAATAAAAAGCAGGGGAAATCGTTTTACAAGGGATATAATTTTAAATGAAGTGCCATAGTAGTGGTAGGATAGTGGGATGACCAAATTCAATAGTGGTGGCTGGATTAATGACTTATTATATATAATTATATACCTTTAGCACTATATCTAAAAACGGCTGCCAAAGGCGTGACGTCTTGGACATCATCTGTGCATAGGTTTTTTGTGGCTGACCTGGAAACAAACGAAAGAATCACAAAATTTGCCCACTCCGTCTAATAAGATTGCTTTTTTAACATTACGTAGCCTCTTTCAAAATGAAGTAGCATCATATATGATTTAAGGCCTATATGAATGTTACTGTAATGAGTGTGATGATACAAATATGTTGATTATTATAAATATCACCTGTTACAATATATTGCCAATAAGATTAAGTCTACTTACATGTGGTTTGACAAAGAGTTTGTATTTGTTTAAAGTGTTTACTAGATAGCCGTTAACATGACTCACTGATAACATTGACTGGGTAGCCGTTAACATGACTCACTGATAACTTTGACTGGGTAGCCGTTAACATGACTCACTGATAACATTGACTGGGAAGCCGTTAACATGACTCACTGATAACATTGACTGGGTAGCCGTTAAAATGACTCACTGATAACATTGACTGGGTAGCCGTTAAAATGACTCACTGATAACATTGACTGGGTAGCCGTTAAAATGACTCACTGATAACATTGACTGGGTAGCCGTTAACATGACTCACTGGTAACATTGACTGGGTAGCCGTTAACATGACTCACTGATAACATTCGAGACTGGGTTCAGTCCCTTGGAATACGCTGCAAATGTCTCGTATAAGGAACGGTCCTTAGGATTCATCAGGTTACGCTTAAACATCTGCTGGTAAATCTGTAATTCCTTCACAATCATGAAGCAGAGTAGACGATCCAGACCAGCCAGTCCAAAGCTTCCCACAGCCCTCTGTTAAACAATAAAACTCAGGCTAAAATATCATCAATAGAAATTGTGATGTTTTACCAAGGACAATACTTATTTAAATGCATGTAGCTACACAATACCTGTCTTCAGTACAGTGGAATGATAAATCAGTGCTGGTGAAGCACCAAAAACAAAGCTAGCCTCCCACTGCCCACCAAACCACCTGCAACACTCACCAACCAATCAACCTCCCCACAACACCCAACGACCACTGCACACCCAATCACTGACCTTCGTCACTAACCAACAACTCTGTAACGCCCACCACCTAGCCACCCGTAACATCCTGCACCCATTGCCCACCTAACCTCCACACCGCACCAACCAACAAACAAACCACCCCACAACACCAACAACCAATCAACCAACCCAAATACACCCACCCAACCATAAACCATCACCACCAACCAACCATCCCACAACACCCACCCAACAACCAACCAACCATCCCACAACACCCACCCACCAACCAACCACCCAACAACACCAACCACCAACCAACCACAACACCAACAACCAACCAACCAACCAACCCAAAACACCCACAACCCACCCAACCATAAACCAACCCCACCAACCAACCAACCACAACACCAACCAACCAACCAACCCAAAACACCCACAACCCACCCAACCATAAACCATCCCCACCAACCAACCAACCACAACACCAACAACCAACCAACCACAACACCAACAACCAACCAACCCAAAACACCCACAACCCACCCAACCACAAACCATCACCAGCAACCAACCATCCAACAACACCCACCCACCAACCAACCAACTAACCCAAAACACCCACAACCCACCCAACCATAAACCATCACCACCAACCAACCATCCCACAACACCCACCCAACAACCAACCACCCAACAACACCAACCACCAAACCAACCGCAACACACCCCACCCACTTCCTATTAACAACCATGGAAGTTTGAGAACATGCCAGTAGACATACCTGTAGCTGCTGAAACAAGTTTCTGTTGACAAGCTCTTGCTTTGTCTTCAGATCATACCAGGACTTCATCTGGTCAATGTAGCAAGTCACCCTGTGTAGGAGGAGGATAAAGACATTTTACCCTAGTGTCAAGTTCATTCTTTGTAAGAAAATGGCAAATGCTATATAATACTTGGTCATATACAATTGAATTTATATCTACATTGACAGTTAAACCTGAGCTTACCAACAACAAGGGGGGGGGGGGGGGGGGGGGGGGGGTATTGAGTATAATAGAACATAGATAATTATTTTTCAAACTTTTCAAACGAGTACCAGAACAATTTAAGAAACCTCAACTGAAAAATATAGGTAAAAGATATAATAATCATTTCAGTAATGCACAACTGGGAACACTTTTCTTTATTTCTACATCACTGAATAGATAGTGTGTTTTGCATCCTGATTGATTGAATTGCTGTGTTTTGTATCCTCTGTGACAAAATTACTCTGCTAAGACAGAAGTTGTGTTTACCTGGGATCTGTGATTCTAATTATCTCCCGTGCCAGTCTGCCTATAAAGTTAACGCTCTCGTCGACGGGCTGGAAGCGTGGGATGGGAATAGCAGTGGACTGGTACACACTCTGCCAGTCTAAAACCTGTGTGATCAATGAACATTGTTATCACATTATGGTTCAACTATTAAAAAAAGAAGAATCCTGGAAAATGTTAAGCATGAAAGATTAGGTATTGTCATATATCCCAGCCTAAACACTTACGTAGTACCACAAAAATTATTGGTTATTTTTTACTCAATACAACAGTAATTTCAGTTTGAATTGAGTTTTTTTGCAGCTAATGTTATTTACTGTAACTGCAGTTCCTCGCTCAAGTGGCTTGTGAAACAGCAAGAGCACTGGGATACAAACAGCAAGAAACAGCAAGAGGTCCAATTGGCCTGAATTGCTCACTTTGTATTAATCTCACACCAGTAACCTTCAAAATGGGCCAAGAGCGAATATAATATAAGCAACAGTCAAAATATCACCATTCTGTACCTTTTTGTTATTAAGAAGAAATTGTATGATGTTTTTTTAAACAATTGATTCCTGTGACCTTGAAAGCTAGTTAAGGTAATTCATCCCAGCATGCTAATGGCCAGATATCATCCCCTGGGGTATTTCTGGTTAGTTTTTAAGTCGAACTTTTACCCCTAACCTCCCTGACCTTGACTGACCTTTGTCCGCAGGAAGCTGTTACACTCTTGTTCTACGTTGTAGTAGATAATACGCGAGACTTCCTCTTGCCAGATTTTCAGGCCGTAGATGTTGACGTAATCCTGTATGTACTCAAATGACCGTCTGAAGCCATCCATCCTCTCCCCTAAGTCCAGCAAGCGTGGCAGTAACTCACTGGACTGGAAAACAAGCCGACGGAGCGTGAACAGTAGTGGTTATAGAAACAAGTTGCGTATCAATAAACATTCCAAATATCTCATTTTAACCATCATAATTACCCTTCATGTTCATAATTCATGACATTATTTACAAACAATTTCATGAATTACAGAAATGTGTCAACTTTGGGATAGAGGAAAATGATACCTTTTGGCTTAAAAGGACTAGTCTTAGGACTAAAGACAGTTATTTATCGTTGTCTTAAGACTGAAAACAGTTATTTACCTTTGTCTTAGGGCTTAAGACAGTTATTTACCTTTGTCTTAGGGCTTAAGACAGTTATTTACCTTTGTCTTAGGGCTTAAGACAGTTATTTTTCGATGTCTTAAGACTGAAGACAGTTATTTACCTTTGTCTTAGGGCTTAAGACAGTTATTTACCTTTGTCTTAGGGCTTAAGACAGTTATTTACCTTTGTCTCACGACTTTATTATCATAGGACTAAAGAGTTATTTACCTTTGCATTAGGTCTAAATACAGTTACTTACCTTTGCCCTAGGATTGAACATGAGTCCCTTATGGAGAGCTAAAGCCACTTGTTGGACAAGTTCTTTCCTGATTCCATCCTCCAACAGCTGTTTAGGGTCAATCTACATAATAAATCAACACTTATCAACCAGACTGAAAAATAGTCCGTTCTGTCTATCTGCGTCAATCTCCATAATAAATCAACACGTATCAACCAGACTGAAAAATAGTCTGGTCTGTCTATCTGCGTCAATCTACATAATAACTCAACACGTATCAACCAGACTGAAAAATAGTCCGTTCTGTCTATCTGCATCAATCTACATAATAAATCAACACTTATCAACCAGACTGAAAAATAGTCCGTTCTGTCTATCTGCGTCAATCTCCATAATAAATCAACACGTATCAACCAGACTGAAAAATAGTCTGGTCTGTCTATCTGCGTCAATCTACATAATAACTCAACACGTATCAACCAGACTGAAAAATAGTCCGTTATGTCTATCTGCGACAATCTACATAATAAATCAACACGTATCAACCAGACTGAAAAATAGGCCTATCTGTCTATCTGCATCAATCTACATAATAAATCAACACGTATCAACCAGACTGAAAAATAGTCTGTTCTGTCTATCTGCGTCAATCTACATAATAAATCAACACGTATCAACCAGACTGAAAAATAGTCCGTTATATCTATCTGCGTCAATCTACATAATAAATCAACACGTATCAACCAGGCTGAAAAATAGTCCGTTCTGTCTATCTGCATCAATCTACATAATAAATCAACACGCATCAACCAGACTGAAAAATAGTCCGTTCTGTCTATCTGCGTCAATCTACATAATAAATCAACAAGTATCAACCAGACTGAAAAATAGGCCTTTCTGTCTATCTGCGTCGATCTACATAATAAATCAACACGTATCAACCAGACTGAAAAATAGTCCGTTCTGTCTATCTGCTCTCAATATCAACATATGTCCTATAGAATTTCACATGCCACATAAAATATACCTAGTTTTAATCATCTTGATTTATCATTACAGGATCAAGAATATGATTAAACCTCGATATGAAAACATTATATTCTTTTATCTTGATGGTTATTGATTTTCAGAAACATTAACACAGTGGGTGTAATAGGCTGTCGGGTATAAAAATGTACTACATACCTTAATAATACCAACTAGGGTTGTTTTCATCATCAGTATTCCCTCCGTAAACACGGAAATCGAATGAGTCAGTTTCGCTACCTACGGACAGAAATTTCAAAGTTTGAACAATTGGTTATAATATCTTTTCTTTTGCAATCAATGAGTTTTATGAAGAGAGTAAAGAAAATTACAAGAGACAGAAATATAAAATCTAAGTTATTTCAACTTCAGTTAATCACTTTCGTTGACCCAGATATTAGTGCAATGTTGTGGGAGGAAACCGGAGTACCCGGAGAAAACCCCACATGATGGGTCAGGTGACCCAATACCTTTTGACGTCCGATTAGGGAATTGAACCCCATTCGCCTTGGTGAAAAATTAGTGTGTTATCCACTACCCGACCACCCAAAGAGAGAAAGACTCACAATCTATGGTGTAATAGTTTGATTGAATAAGACAAACTTTTCATTATCCATGAATACAACACCATTAGTTCCCAACTGTATCTTATATTTATCCTTTAACAGTACTTATTGAAGGGCTGCAATGATAAACTAACATGAAGATACAATACACGATATTGTGGTCACGATATGATACGTATCACGATATTGTGGTCACGATACGATACGTATCACGATAATATAGTAACAGTAGAAGCATAGTGTAAAGATAATATGTTGCAAATATTTAATGGCAATTGTACAACTGGAAAAAAACTTGGTCTAAAGTGGGCATGACTTAAAAACATTCATACAATTCACATCTTTTGATGTACATACCGAGCTGGAACTGTCACTCGCCATGTTGGAACAAATATGAGCTGACTAAATTCAGAAACGACAAAATCTGTAAAATATCATGACCTCCCCAAAAATCTCGAAATTTCGTGCGATGCAGCCCAAACTTATTGTGTACCTCATATCTTTCGTCAAGTTGGGCGAACTCCTTCATCTTGTCTTTCTCCAGGCGAGTTGGTACCTCTTTTATCTGATTGGTCTGCATACTGATGATTTTGAACAACAGCCCAAACATTGTCTGAGGAATGATCTAACAAAACAAAGTACAGATACTATGTTATTTCTTTATAATCAAGGTCATATTAAAAGTAATCAAAAAGAATGATCAACAGTTCTTCATCAGTCCTCCCCATTCAAATCTTTTAATCAAAACAAAACAGATTTAACTATTTATAATAGAGATACAGGTGGCGTCTTTACCAGCCAAGTGTAGAGATGTATTATTAATTATACTGGACTAATTTGAAGTTCTTGATAAAAAAGATTTTGAATCATTTCCTCACCTGTCCAATCTTCCATTTTTATGCATATTTTAATTTGTCTTTAAACCACAGATCGCCAGCACATCAAGTATGTGGTACAGAGATATGTACACTAGGTACTTATAACATCTGAGAGTAACTCAGTTCATTATTAAATAAAGAAAATTCAGCTATAACAGTTTGTATACCACATATATACTTGCTATCTTTTTAAAATTTCTATGGGGGAGATTCTACATGCTCAAAATTAAACATAAATAAAATGTGTGTATATACACCCCCTAGAGACAAAATAACCCTTTAAAATTACATATTTTGAGTTTCTTCTTTCAGATGAAATCCTTAGATCTTAGAATATAGGAATAGTTTAGAAAACTCTCTGGCTGAAACAACCAAATTTAAGTGTCCAAAATCGGGAGTCTCCCTCCTAATTAATAGGGAGAGTTGGCAAGTATGATACCACCCTATATTGCCCAGTACCGTTAATACATATCTTAACATTCACCTACCTTTCGGTAAAGTTTGAGTGAAATTTAAATTTCACCCTTCCTGTAAAACTTTTGATGATACCATAACCTTCCTGTAAAACTTTTGATGATACCATAACCTGCCTGTAAAATTTTACACTGAACTTTGAATGAAACCTATCTGTTAGAATCGATAACAACTGTCTGATTTCAAGCTACCTGTGACTTTTAGAACTGTGATATTGACTTCCTATAATTTCCGAATTGATGTAAACTTTTGAGGTTGACCCACCTGAAGGACTTTCCTGACGTAGGCCACCAGTTCTCCTGAGTAGTACTGTGATACACTGACCAAGTCCTTGCTCATTGCCTGGTTTATCCTCATAAGTGGTAAGTCTAGTGCTGAGGCCATCTGAAAAATCAAGTTTATGCTGCTAGATTTAATATATGCATGTTATTTTTTGCAGTATTTTTTTTTTAAATAATAAGGAAGATTGTTCCCTAGACAAATAGTAAGAAAATGTTTAAATATTCCATATGTTACAGTAGGAGGCACGGTAGTATAGTGGTAGCATGACGGGCTCGTGACCCAAGGGTTGCGGGTTCGAGTTATCTCACGGCACTGTGTTGTATCTTTGAACAAGATACTTTACTCCGCTTGTCACAGTCTACTCAGCTGTAAATGAGTACGTGGTTGGGCACTGCTAGAATTGCTGTGAGTGCCTGAATGGCAGCACCGGCTCTATGCTCCCCAGGGAATTGAGAAAGATATTGGCTGGTTGCAAAGGCCCTTGATAGCCACAGATATTAATTTGTGAACCGCTGTGAGAAAATCTACGAACTAGGTTGTGATAAAGAGGTATATAAGAACCTCGAATTAATATTATTATTATTATTATTAAGTAAGAAAACAACAAGAATTACTTGTATAATTTTGATGAACAAAACTTTTATATTATATTTGATGAAGTTTGATGAACTTACCTTGAGAAAGGTAGCCCTGAGTTTGATGACAAGAGACGGATCCCTCTTGATGCCCTGCTGCATGTACTCGGTGTACCTGTATAAATGGGAAAGCTTTGTGACATAAACATGTCAGACAGTGACGGAGACAATTTACTAAGTACACATAAATATCCAAAAAAGCTTTGCAACATACATGGTGTCAGGCATCAGAAGATAAAATTTACTCAGTGTTGTAACATACTGTATACCGGGGAACTTTTGCCTTGTCAAATAATCGCCCTTTGCCGATAGAATCCATGTTCGCCCAGTGTTAATTTTGCCTTTAACATGAAATTACAATAAGGTGTATGTTTCGTACTAATATTCGCTGTCAGGATAAATTTGCCTTCATTAGGAAGGGTGAAACAGACGAAATTTAAACTGCTGCCAAAATTTCTCGGTATACAGTAAATATTTCAGTCACTGACAAAGAAAACTTACAATTCACAGACTTATAATTGATTGATTGAATTATGTTTAGGTGGCGATTATGATTTTACACATTTAGACTAATTCCTACCCATCAATGATTTCCCAGGCATAGGAGAGGTCAGCCACTATCTCCATGGTGATGAGCACCTCCTCTTTGATGTTGATGGTTCGTATCATTTGATGTAGGTAGTTTCTGGTATCTGCCAGAAACTGACGCACCTGTAGGTTACTTTCGAGCTGATGGAACTCTTGCACCTAAAAATGGGCAGGTTTACAGATTGTATTAAGTTGTACCGGTAGATTTATCTTGTTCTGTATTAGGCAGATTTCTGACCATTTTCATTATTTTTCCACAGAATTGAGAAAAATTCAGGCCCGCTCCATATCGTAATTCATGTTGGGGAACACAGGTGTTCACACCTGTCATCTATCATATATACAATAATTCATGCAACAACATTTGTGTTCTCGAACACACACAACTTCTATATGTTTACATAAGTCCAATGCTCTCTGTCTTTCATCTCTTCAGTTTGTAAGAGATCACCACTATTATGGCAGGGTGCAGATGCTCTGTCCACACGAAGACCTCTTTACAATGTGTGACAGAACCAAGAACTGCATTCTTGCTGGTTATGCCAAATGGATGTAGAATGCAGCCTTTTTTCAGGCTGGGGTAGGGTCAGGTTATGACCCCGTAAATATCGCACAACTCCCAGACACAGCGATAAGCTCCTCACAACAGGTATAAGCTTTCTACAGCCTGTAAATGGACGGATTGGCCTAGTGGTTAACACTCCAGCCTTCTAGCTGGATAGGGTGCTATATCAAATGTTGTATATTTATTTATGTATATTTATGTGTTGTATTATCTTATAATGGTTTGTCTTATGACTGCAAGACAACTTAACTCCTTCAGGGCAAGAGCAAGCTCTCCAAGGCCTGTATAAGCTTTCCAGGGCCTGTATAAGCTTTCCAGTGCCTGTATAAGCTTTCCAGGGCCTGTATAAGCTTTCAAGGCCTGTATAAGCTTTCCAGGGCCTGTATGAGCTTTCCAGGGCCTGTATAAGCTCTCCAAGGCCTGTATAAGCTTTCCAGGGCACGCATTAGCTTCATACAGCCTGTATAAGTTGTACTATCTTATAATGTTTTTTCCCTTAAGTATAAGACACCTTACCTCCTCTAGGGCCTGTATTAACTGAACTATCTTCCTCCCAGCTGATGTGGAATCGTCAAAGCTGAGAGATGTGATCTGCTTGGCCATTTCACCAAACCAGTTCTGTAAGTTATCTGTCCAATAAAAATATGCAATGCCTTATACTGTATACCGGGAAACTTCTGTCTAGTCAAATATACACCCTTCACTTGTAAAATCCATGTTCGCCCAGTGTTTATTTTGCCCTTAAAATGTACTTAATATAAAGGACATGTTGTTTTTCTAATATTTCGTGTTATGATAAAATTGCCCTTAATGCGAAATGGCAAAAATGGCGAAAATTAAACCGCGGTGAAAATTCCCCAGTACACGGTACCCCGATACAGCAGATCAACCAATTTGTCTGTTTTTTAATATAATTTTTTCAAGGTTTTGTCAAGGCTCGTCTGAAAGCAGCATCAGATTACTAGGTCTGAACTTATTTCATAAACAAACAACCCGTTCAACCGATTTGTCTGTTTTTTAATATAATATTTCGTGTATAAATCCTGGAAGATCTGCAAATGTTTCTGCAGGCCTTGCAAGGTTTTGTCGAGGCTCGTCTGAAAGCAGCATCAGATTACTAGGTCCGAACTTATTTCATAAACAAACAACTCGTTCAACCTTTTGGATCGCGAGAAATGAATGCGGCCATAGTTGATACCTGACCCTGTCAGGAAAATTCGGCACGTGTAGATTGAGGGGTCCAGGCCTACCTTACCGAAACTAAAATGCTGACTATTGCTGGTTTGCGTTATTTCTTTCTGAAATAATGTCAAATCACATGTAGTTTTTAAGATAAGTCAATATTATTCAGTGAACGCCTGAAAGAAGGGCACACTATTCTTGATACATTTTTTTTTTATTCTCCGAAACTGCATTTTCAGCTCTGCTTATAGAATGGTCCAAGTGCGTTCGTTCTAGAAGTTTCTCAGATGCCAAATTTGGCAATTGTACATCACAGGACATATGGAAAATGCTCGGGACAACGTGATTCATGGTGAAAGAAGGGCCATAGCTCTTACATTTTGGGACACAAGACCCCATTTACTACATGGCACTCCACCATCACTAGAAATACCCTCATTGTATCGCCCCTGACAATGTGACACACCGACTGAGTAAAGGAGATAAAGTATGGCTGCCCACCAGTAAACGAGAACATTCAGTTTGGACATTTATGGTAGAATTCTGACATTGCTTACCATTTTTCTCCACTCTGGTAAGAGGTTTGCTTCCGGAGAAAACCTCGCTCAGTTCCTGGATTCTCTCACTACCCTCCTTCTTGTGTTCCTCCCACTTTTTCTCCTTGTCTACTAACATCTGCTTAAACATCTACAAACACAAACAAATCTGTGGAATTCCTTTCCCTTGCATGCAGGTCATATTTCAGATTTAGAGTGTTGTTTAAAAATCAACCAATTAGTAGGGCAGTTATTGCGCGCAAACTAATTAGCCAATCACAAGTTAGTAACCTCATATATGCGAAAATACGCACAGATCACATTCCCAACCGAAGTCATTTCAACATGTATTTGCAAAACAAATTTCATTAAAACCAACTCATTATTAGGGCGATTATTGCACTGAAACCAATTAGCCAATCACAAGTTTGTTACCTCATTAAGTATGCGAAAATATGCAAAAATGACATTCACGATCAGATCCAGTCTGTGACATATCAATATGTATGTGCCTACAATTTTATTTTTAAATCAAACCATCTCTAGGGTTACTGCACAGAACTAAAATGTGACAGACAGACCGTCCCCAATAAAAATCCCATTTTCTTCGAAAAATAGTGGACAATAATTTATTATAATATGTTACAGTTAGTATAACTGATCTCGTAGAACAACTTATAAACCACCAATCAGTTATCAGCTACACTTACATCATATTCAATATCTATCATCTAAACAAAAATGAACACCCGTGCGTTCTATTTAGTGGATTTTACCTCTTTTAGTTTGAACTCAAACTGCCCGATGTTGAGGAGAAGCTGGAATGTTTGGAGCGGGTTGTATTTTGCATCAGTAACAACCTGCTCTCGTAACAAACGGCACCGTTTATTCGCATCTGCACCTAATTGTAACACAAAGCAAGATTATAGTAATTTAGAAAAAAAAATCATTGAATGGATGTTAAAAGTCATCTGATGGATACTTTTGAACAACAAATATGGTTGATATCCATCACACTGTTTCTACTATTTCGAATCCCCATCACCTAAAGATATTTTTGGACAAATCTGATGAAATTTGAATGAGTAGTTCAGGAGAAGATGTTTGCAGAAATTGTTGAGGGATGGACAGACACCCGATGAACAGATGGATGCCACCTATAGTCGTTGGGAACAGATGATCTAATATAATAAATACAATGGCCATATGCATTACTTTTCTTAACATTTATTAAGTATTTAACATCAACGTTTATACTATAAAACAAAAACATAAAATAATTGCTCCATTACTGCCTGAAAGTATATTACAGCAAATTTAACATAGGGTAAACCAATTAATATATGCATAATTCAATGATATTTGTTTTAGGGGAAAATAAAGCTGAAACTTACTAAGGGAGAGAGGTGCGGTATGTAACATGAGCCAACGAACGGTGACGTTTGCCTCTCGCATCACGTTCATCATCTTCGGGATGCTATCCAGCACAAACTCCTCCGTGAGCACCCCCTCCTTTAGGTATTTGTCTAGTGGCTGCTTCAACTTCACCTGTTTTGTAGCATACTTTGTTGCCTAGAAACATAAAGAAAATACATAAAATTAGGTGTTTTTACTTTAGCTAACTAGTATGAGTTTAATTAATGTGTACTGGGCTTAATGATGCCTAGAACGTAGGAAACCAATGGAAGGAAGCAAGTGAAAGGAATGAAAGTTAAAATTAAAACTACTCACTTGTTCGCGGACATTTGCTGGCTCTAGCGTGTTGTTAAGGGCCGTGACTGCCGCCCGGTAGGGTGACCAAGCATCCAGAAGGTTGACCGTCATACCCATGTATACCCCCAATACCTGGAGACAGAGAGGTGGAACAGTGATAGTTATGCCTGTCTATATAGCCCAGTATACCCCCAATACCTGGACACAGAGAGGTGGAAGAGTGATAGTTTTACCTGTCTATAAAGACCAGTATACCCCCAATACCTGGAGACATAGAGGTGGAACAGTGATAGTTATCCCTGTCTACACAGACCAGTATACCCCCAATACCTTGAGCCAGAGAGGTGGAACAGTGATAGTTATGCCTGTCTATATAGCCCAGTATACCCCCAATACCTGGGGACAGAGAGGTGGAACAGTGATAGTTATACCTGTCTACACAGACCAGTATACCCCCAATACCTGGAGACAGAGAGGTGGAACAGTGATAGCTATACCTGTCTATATAGACCAGTATACCCCTAATACCTGGAGACAGAGAGGTGGAACAGTGAGTTATACCTGTCTATAAAGACCAGTATACTCACAATACCTGGACACAGAGAGGTGGAACAGTGATAGTCATACCTGTCTATAAAGACCAGTATACCCCCAATACCTAGAGACAGAGAGGTGGAACAGTGATACTTATACCTGTCTATATAGACCAGTATACCCCCAATACCTGGAGACAGGGAGGTGGAACAGTGATAGTTATACCTGTCTACACAGACCAGTATACCCCCAATACCTGGAGACAGGGAGGTGGAACAGTGATAGTTATACCTGTCTATATAGCCCAGTATACCCCCAATACCTGGAGACAGAGAGGAGGAACAGTGATAGTCATACCTGTCTATATAGACCAGTTTACCCCCAATCCCTGGAGACAGAGAGGTGGAACAGTGATAGTTATCCCTGTCTATATAGACCAGTATACCCCCAATAGCTGGAGACAGAGAGGTGGAACAGTGATAGTTATCCCTGTCTATATAGACCAGTATACCCCCAATACCTATAGACAGAGAGGTGGAACAGTGATACTTATACCTGTCTATAAAGACCAGTATACCCCTAATACCTGGAGACAGAGAGGTGAAACAGTGAGTCATACCTGTCTATATAGACCAGTATACCCACAATACCTGAAGACAGAGAGGTGGAACAGTGATAGTCATACCTGTCTATATAGACCAGTTTACCCCCAATCCCTGGAGACAGAGAGGTGGAACAGTGATAGTTATCCCTGTCTATATAGACCAGTATACCCCCAATAGCTGGAGACAGAGAGGTGGAACAGTGATAGTTTTACCTGTCTATAAAGACCAGTATACCCCCAATACCTAGAGACAGAGCGGTGCAACAGTGATACTTATACCTGTCTATAAAGACCAGTATACCCCTAATACCTGGAGACAGAGAGGTGGAACAGTGAGTTATACCTGTCTATAAAGACCAGTATACTCACAATACCTGGACACAGAGAGGTGGAACAGTGAGAGTCATACCTGTCTATATAGACCAGTATACCCCCATTACCTGGAGACAGAGAGGTGAAACAGTGATAGTTATACCTGTCTATATAGACCAGTATCCCCCCAATACCTGGAGACAGAGAGGTGGAACATTGATAGTTATACCTGTCTATATAGACCAGTATACCCACAATCCCTGAAGACAGAGAGGTGGAACAGTGATAGTTATACCAGTCTATATAGACCAGTATACCCACAATACCTGGAGACAGAGAGGTGGAACAGTGATAGTTATCCCTGTCTATATAGACCAGTATACCCCCAATACCTGAAGACAGAGAGGTGGAACAGTGATAGTCATATCTGTCTATATAGACCAGTATTTACCCCCATTACTTCGAAACAGGTGGAAAACTGTGATAATCTCTTTGAATTGGAAACAAACGTGGCTGGATTATCTACAGAAAGCAGTACATACCCAGTTGTCAGGGAAGTGCTTGTCTACAATCTCCCGCATCTTAGCTTGTTGGTTTTGTAGAATCTCCGGCTCAAAGTACAAAATGACATACAGCATGCTGGCCTGGGTGGCTAGGGCAGTCGACCGATGCTCAGGAAGGGGATATGCCGAAATCTGGTTATATACATCGTCTGATCGTAGACGACCAATCACCATGTTGATGAACTCGTCAGGAAAAGGAACACGACTAAATGTTTGGTAAGATAAAATATATTTCAGACTTCCCTGATACTACCCTACGGTTTACTACAAAAGTATGATGAGTGTTTGGTGAGAATGGAGGTTCACTTGCCTATAAACTCGTATTGAAAAAAGTGATTTTTATTTTTACAATTGCCACTACAATTTAACACATTTTAAGAATATCAAAGTAATACCTGAATGTTAAACATGTAATTGTATTAATGAATATTCATGAGTAATAAGAACCTGATAAAACATTTCAGACACTAAATGATAATTTTCATCTATATACCAAATCAAACTACTACACAGAGTATAGTCAATATAACAAGGTTAAAATTCTTTAATATCATCAATCAACGAGAAAAGTACTGTAAGTGTAATTAATTACATACTGAAAACATGAAGTATATTACAAATAGCATACATGTATCATCATATTACTGAATAAAGGCTAAAATTACTTACAAAAACAAATACTTACACTAGAAAATCTTGGCCAGGCTAATTATATTTACATCACACCCGGTAATGGTATTCACTGCTACTTACCTAAAGTAGGATTCTGGGTAGTTTTGTGGCCGTTTGGCACCGGCAGAGTTACTATACCCTGTACTTCTGAGGAGTTTACAGACATCATCTATACTGGAATCTGCTGCTGCAGCCTTCTGGGCGCTGTAATACAGGTTATACAGTAAGTATACTGAAAACATACTGTACTGTAAACATCTATAATGTAGTTTATTTGTTTACTGTTATGTTGCACTGTATGCACGACTGATGAGCTATAAATAGCTTAATCTAATAAATGACCTTGAACTTGCCTGTATCTGTAGTACGACACCAATATGCGCTCCCTGATGACTCCTTCTATCTTCATGTCTATAGTTAGTAACATCACGCCGTACAGGAACAGACTTTCACACTAAAACATCAAAATTGCTATATCACAACATTGCTTATCACACAAAGTATAAAGTCTTCCACACTACAATGTCAAAATCACAGTAAAAGCTTTTAAAATTATTGGATCCAATTATTCATACCATAAGCTGTTTTCCATCATCGTTTAAAAGAACACTTTCCAAAGTCTGTTGGATATATGCGCCTTCTTCTAAATCTTCAAGAAATCTGAAATGTATTTGTTTAAAAAGCTTGAAAAAGAAACACATTTCAATTGTTTCATAAATACATAAATCATAGCTTGTATCGCAGCATCCTATCTACCACATAAGCTCTGTTCTGAAAATGACAGGATGTGGGTATGTCCTTGAGTAAAACAAAATGTCACCCTATATATAGTTACTCAACTCTGCATACCTGTCTCGAGTGGAATACACTGGTAATATGGGTGGGTATTATTATTTCTGTGTTGTACCTATCAAATGGTCTAAAATATACAATAAATACAGACCCATATCAAGCCAAACGTTATATTTACACAACACAAACACACACGCATGCACTATCACATCTATGGAGGAAAAAAACTTGATCATGCTCTCACACCCTCTTGATCATGCTCTCACACCCTCTTGATCATGCTCTCACACCCTCTTGATCATGCTCTCACACCCTCTTGATCATGCTCTCACACCCTCTTGATCATGTTGTCTGGCCCCTATATTTGAAAGTTTATTACATAGGGCCCTAAGAGTAATTTGTTTTGCAAATCAGATAGGCCACCACACTAATGTTGTATAACAAATATTTGCAGGGTATGTCATCTGTATGACCCACTTCTGACCTGAACAGGAGAGGGGACTAGATCTACACCCTACCAGTAATCTATTTGATACAGTGTGTATACGTATACTCTCGCTATCGATAGGCGAAACGTTCCATGTCGAGTATGAAATTTACAATTTTGTCACATTGTTGTACAGGTAAACAATACAAATCACTCACTCAGTCATAGCTTGACAAAGGGACCAGTCCAATTTGAAATGTTGCGGAACGTTTGATATGTACATTGCTTAAATATATGTATAAAATAAATACTTTGACATTAATGATTGCAGATGTTACAACACAAGTTGTAATCAAGTTCTCTCTATCCTACATATGTAGATAGATACAGGATTACAAATGTAAATATATTATATATATATATACAAACCTGTTCAAATCTGTAACATATTTGTGAACACTTGCGAACGCCTGATAGAACCTTGTCAATATCTCAATGTTGTTGTCATTAAACTCCTGATCCAAGTCTTGCAGTTCCTACAAAAACATGTTTAGGTAATTAGGTTTATAAAAGTGTCAATTATATTTATTTACCATAGAAATAAAATTGTTATTTTGAACAAATTTATTATATCATTTTCTTAAAGAATAATAGCATACATGTGTAATATCCTACTTTCATCCAAACATAAAATCAATTTTAAACAGATCAACAGGTCCAGTACACTCGGCTGATTGAGCTATAAGCTACAAAGACCTTAGTCGGAATTATTCTGACGTTTTATCGACTTTTTTCATATCGGTCTGTCGTCGATTAACGTCAGATAACTCCAGCCCTCTATAATATGCAGGAAATATGCGACCCGCGCCCGGAGCGCACTTTAAACTGATATTTTAGAAACATATCGTCACTTTCACACACATGTCGCACATGGATCTCGCCGGCCTACGTCATAACGTTGGGAAATACCTTTGGTAACGCGAGTTCCCGTCAAGTCATGTGACATTGCTCATGGCCTAATTTCCATTAAAAACATGGGTTGGTATAGAAACCGTTGAAAAATACTTTTCGTAATGATCTTTGAAACATGTTATTGATACCACCTAGTGCATACAGAAAAGATCTTTCAATCCATGTGCGACATGTGTGCGAAAGTGACGATTTGTTTCTAAAATATCAGTTTGAAGTGCGCTCCAGGCGCGGGTCGCATATTTCCCGCATATTTCAGAGGGCCGGAGTTATCTGACGTTAATCGACGACAGACCGATATGAAAAAAGTTGATAAAACATCAGAAAAATTCGGACTACAAAGACCTATAATAGAAGTATCAACAAATCCGAAAAAGATCTTTCGAGCAGTTTCACCTAATTTTACTTCTTAAAGAAAACAATACAAATTTACTAGCATTTAGAAGAAGATTTTTTATCAGACAGTTAAGGTGATTACAACAGACTTCAAATACTACAATGTGTCGACATCTCTTGGTTTATTTGCAATAAATAAGAAATCTCTTGGTTTATTTGCAATAAATAAGAAACTGATCAACAGCTTTCTATGAATATTTCTCATTTATTCACTATGATGTTATTTTCTGTGAAATACACATGAATTCAAAACAAACTCATACTCACAACTTTTGATTCGATTTTGTTTTCAAAATATTCCAGATTTCGGAAATAGCTAAAGTCACTGATGAGTTCTCCATATCTAAGCTTGTCTGACTGGTTGTCAAGGCGAAACACAGGAGGTATGAACTCTGAAAGTCTCAACAGTTCCGCTATGATAGAATTCCCTCGAGCCACAAGCTTCAAAATGTTCTGTCCACACGGGTTGTTTTCAGCCAAGAAATCAGCCATTTTCCTTGACGCTCCCAATGAGTAAAGTGTATTTCAATCAAAAGCGTCGTGCAGATTATATTTCAAGTTAAAAATATCATTTGTAACAATTCAATACTAATCATACCTAATTTTCTACGAACAACAATATAACGTTTTTATTTCTGTAACAGTGGTGACCCACCCCCTTGGCCTTACCGGTGTTGACGCTGAGTAAGAGTACTAAGACAATGATTTTCTTTTAAATTCTGTAACATTCGGAGTTCTCGATACACATATTAAACCCGTATTCTTATTTCGAACTCTTGTTACTACATTATGTATTAAAAACTTTCTAATACTAGTAAAACAACCGTTCGTACGTATATATAATGTAGCAGAGGAAGTCACAAGTTTATCTGTAACAGGAAACGGTATGTGCGCGCCATCTAGCGATATAAATAAGTAAAATTCTACTTTCTGTTTGTCAAAAGAAAGGGGTTCGATGCATAGCAGGGACGGATTCTTTTCTCTTTCTATGGCCGCTTTCGTTTATGTAGTGGGAACGGTTCGTATGTGGTGCGGTTTCGTTCCGTATAAAGAAACAACCCGTGCCATAGATCTCATTCCAAGATGGCCACCAGTGACAGACAAATCGACACTTTACCTGGACTTTTTGTGTTTTTGGATGAATCCTTATTTTCAGACACATTTTTTGGACAGTGACGACGATGACGACATTTCGACAGTTATACTTTACCCGAAACAGCAAAACGCCACGAAAATCGTAGACTANTTATTTTTCGGGTCGATCAGAAATCCAATATGGCCGCCACGGCCGCGATTTTGAAAAACTATTTCAAACTTAAAGTCAAGTTCTGCTAGGTTGATTGAACTGAAAGTTGGTAGGATTGATCAGCTCATGGTCCTGACAAAGTGTTGTTATTTTTCAGGTCAATAAGAAATCCAATATGGCCGCCACAGTCGCCATTTTGAAAAACTATTTCAAACTTAAAGTCAAGTTCTGCTGGGCTGATTGAACTGAAAGTTTGTAGGAATGATCGACTCATGATCCTGACAAAGTGCTGTTATTTTTCAGGTCAGTCAGAAATCCAATATGGCCGCCACGGTCGCCATTTTGAAAAACTATTTCAAACTTAAAAGTCAAGTTCTGCTGGGCTGATTGAACTGAAAGTTTGTAGGAATGATCGACTCATTGTCCTGACAAAGTTTTGTTATTTTTTCGGGTTGATCAGAAATCCAATATGGCCACCACGGCCGCCATTTTGAAAATACCTGCCAAAAATCATGACTCCATGGATCTCGACTATTCAAAATGAGTGTCAGGAAAGTCTTTACAAATCTGACCCTTGCGAACTTGAAAGTGGATCAAGGTCATTTATTTGAACAAACTCAATAGACCTTCATCCAAGCATGTTACTGGCTAATTATCATGTGGTTATTCAACAGATGTCACTGAAAGGAAACTTAACACAACAGACCAGTGATGCCCCTCTATCATAGCACACTTGGTCCTTCAAGCAAATAATTGGAGGCACAGTAGTCTAGTGGTAGGACGCCAGGCTTGTGACCGAAGGGTTGCAGGTTCGAGTCATGGCACGGCACTGTGTTGTTTCTTTGAGCAAGATACTTTACTCTGCTTTTTCCGGTCTACTCAGCTGTAAATGAATATGTGGTTGGGCAGCGCTAGAATTGTTGAATGCTAGCTGTGAGCGCCGAAATGGCAGTACCGGCTGTATGCTCCCCGGGGAATTGAGAAAGATATTGGCTGGTTGCAAAGGCCCTATAACCACGGATAATAATTTGTGAACATCATTGAGACGACCTAGGATCTAGGTTGTGATAAAGCGGTATATAAGAACCTCAAATTATTATTATTAATTGATTTCTGGTGGAACAATTGTTTTTTGCCATATTCACAAGCATCTGTGACCAATGAACAGAAACACTTCAAACATCCAACATTATAACAAAACAAAGTACAACAGTATTTAGTAAATTTATTTTATGTAGATGAGCAGATCACAAAACAGAAGGAATCACTTTAAATGAATAAAAAATAATATATGAATATAAAAGACTTTACCAGAAAATATAGATATATGTAGATATGAGATACATGTGAAGTAAGTTCAAGTAGATAACACAAGACCACACCAATTTTTTAATTAATTTCCCTTTTGATCAAGATCTCACTGCATATGTTTAACCTGTTCGACAAATTCATGAGAAAAAAAAGAAAATCACATTAACAAAATTTGTTGTTGATACACAAATGGCTTTCAGAGAAAGTATCTTTACTTGTGAAATATTTGCTATTACATTTATAGTTGGAAGTTGTTAGGTTCCAAACCTTTCTATTTTTAGTCTGGGTTCCTATTTTCAAATATTTGCACATCACAGTTGAACCATATAGGAAAAATGTTTGTTTTAAAGCTGAAGTCAAGAAAATTAATTCATAAATGAGACAGTGTTGGGTGAAAAGTAGAAAATGTAAAATGTTTTGGCTGTATCCAGCTTCAGTCCGATTATACAAAATCCCAAATAACAAAAATACTATTTGGTGTGGCCTGAATGATTTACAACCAATGAATGCTCAGGGCCCACTTGTATAAAAAATCTCAAAGTTAAGGAAGATCTCAAGCAATGTATTGTCTATGGGAAATCTTAGACTTGAGGAAATCTCAAGAGTTGAGATGTTTTATACAAGTGGGCCCTGAACATTAATCCGTGAGGTAAGATTTATAACTCTCCGAGACGAAAACCTACAAAATTCGGCATTCTACGAACAAAATATCCCAAACAACATTGAAATCAGTTTGAAACTTGTTTACGAATGAATACGTTACTCTTCATATATTGATAGGACTATTTTCTACCACATTTCAAACACAATTTTTTTATTTTTTATTTCTTTCAATCATGACAGATAAGGCAATAGCTCAAGTTCACACAACAAAATCTAGCACATATTATTTATGTAATTAAATTGTTCATTCCAGTAATCCATTATTCAGTTGCTTTATTAAATTGTGTACTACAGATTATCTGCTATTTCAGCAACCTTTCCTATTTTTTCTATCAGAGCTGAAGACATCACCATTTGCTTTTATTACCAAATCAAAATCAAAATCAATGCAGACAATAATTCATTCTTGAACAATTAATACATGTACATACTTAATTATGACTTTCAGAATACCACAAACAATACCCTCATCCATCTGTTTATTTCTAAAGCAAGGGACCCTGAACAACACTAACCAAATCACAACACCTATTGTGGACAAATATTGTATGTATGAATTTTCATTAATATTTCTCGCAACTTACAGTAAAGGAAATAAACCCACGAGAAGTTGAAAGTGATTTGAACTTTGACCTCATTTGATGACCTTGAACAGGTGTTTATATGTACTATGGGTATTTAAAGACATACTGAATAAGTTTCATTATTAAATTAACATTAGGCAAAGAAATGCTGCTTTTGACAAACAAATTATAATTTAAACTTTTATGACTAAACCACGTCTGGCAATGAAATATTATGCTGCGGACTTTTAAGATACCTTTGATTTGACATTTGACCCTAATTTGTGACCTTGACCTTGACGTGAGGGAAAAACAAAACCCCAATCACACATCACATTATAATTGTTCATGGGTGTATGAATTTTTCGTCAAAAGAACTTATGCTCATGACAAGAAAATGTCAACAGATGGACTTTGGCATAATTGCCTAATTTCCTTATTTTGGAAAGTAATTCTGAATTGTTCATCATTTTTTTCAGATATTAGAAATCAGAAGAGTTGCCTACATGTTGATCTTGGGTAAAATTTCATTAATGCAAAGTACATAACAACTTAAATAAGGACATGATTTACTATAATTCGCCCTAAAGGAGTCTTTGTAAGTTCTTTTTTGACAGCTTTTGCTACACATTTTTTTCCTTCATCAAAAAAACTGAAGGGCTAATGATGGAACGATCAATTACATACAATAAATGTCCTGTGAAACTGGTGTAAAAAACACCACCTTAAGCATTTCAATTATTAATTCAAATGTATAAGATATTTTAACGATGGCACAAATACATCAAACATGGTAAGCATTTATTTAAGTTATTCAAAATGTACATATACACAAAAATAGCAAGAAATGTATAATCTTCTTTTACATGTACATGTATTCAAAATCATATATTTCCTGACAACAGTGAAATCATTGAGCAGAATTACTATACTCAGTAATAACTAACAGGGGTGATAAGCTGAATCATCATTCAGGGACGATCGCTGAATCATCAATCAGGGATCATCGCTGAATCATCAATCAATCAACGGCAGAGTCGGCCATGTTGGAAGCATTTGATAAAAAAAATGTCATTTACAATTGGTACGAAACATCCAAATTACATGGCAGGAAAAAGATAATGAAACAAAGCAAATTACCTCCCTTCCTTACATGTAAATACCCGGGTACATGTATGAACTTCCCAAGAAATGATATTTTTTAAATATTCCCAAATAGTATTGGTATACATAAATATTCCGTGTATACAGTGTATATCTTTATAAATACAGTAGTATGTAATGCATATCAAATACACCTTGAAATCTGTTGACACCATTTTATAGTAAACATCTAACAAGAAAACCGTATACCAAAGGTTTATGTCTTTTGCTAAACAGTCCAGTCATTGTAAATCCTAATTTAACCCACCCCGTAAAAACTCTCTCTGGAGGGGCAGGGATTCCCTGCTCCCTGTCTCGTAAATGATAGTTTTCATCACACTACCTGTATACACTGCTACCTTGTAAAAATAATTTAATATTAATGAAATAGTCATTGCACATTGCATATACAGTGTATAAGAAAACTGGTTATTGGAAAAGATAGCATATAACAAAAAAACTAAAATATGGTAGACCTTCAAATTTGAACCTACACCTTATCAAATCATGTATCCATTCTATCAATATTTTGTGTAAAAACTTTGTGTTCTTAATCATCCAGAACAAAAATAAAATGTATACATCGCTTTTGCCAAATTTTAAAATAACATCATGCATAAAATCAAGTTTATGTTAAAGGCCATTTCATTTCATCACATTTGCACATGAAAGACAGATATACACTAGAGTAAAAAGAGCTCTTCATGTTCAGTCTGTACAGAAATAAACTCCTGAACAACACCACAACAAGCAAGCTCATTAGCCGTAGAAAGAAATCCCGCCATTGTAGGCTCCGTAAATAATGTACAGTGACATGCTGTTCCGTCTTTTATGATATGTCATGTTCCCATTGGATTCTATGTTAACTTACTCTCTTTTTTTCCAAAATATTTTCATGACATCTTTTGACATGCAGTTTTGATAAAACTCCAGAACCTGCTAGAGAATTATCCAGCGTTTCCTTTGCTTATCTTTATATTACTATCTGTGGTACAGTTGATGAGATATCACTTTTCATATCCAAGCTTAAACGTTTTACTTTGATGTCATTCCCAAAGACAATTCAAATTTTGTCTTACAAAAACGATTTTGCCAAGCATCCCATCCAGGTTAGAATTCAATGAAACAAATAACCAAAGGAAGCACTAGATTATTCTCTAGCTTCGAGATGAATTTCATCAGGTTTTTACTAAAAACGAAGCAAGGAAATGAAAATGACGCAACATGGCATGTCACTGTAAATGTTTTAAACAACAAAGACCATAAAGAGTCCTAATGACACGTCACTGCTGGGAAAGACGAAAACAATTTGTTTAACATGTATGTGGCACTGTATGTCCTACAAAACAACACTGAACTTTTTAAGCCCAACAGAAAATCCTAAATACATCTACAAACACTGAAATCATCAGATAAATTCTGTAATCTACAAACACTGAAGCTTTTAAGCCGAACAGAAAATCCTAAATACATCTACAACCACTGAAATCATCAGAAAAATTCTGTAATCTACACACACTGAAGCGTTTAGGCCTGACAGAAAATCCTAAATACATCTACAAACACTGAAATCATCAGATAAATTCTGTAATCTACAAATACAGACGCTTTTAGGCCCCAACAGAAAATCCTAAATACACTTACAAACACTGAAATCATCAGATAAATTCTGTAATCTACAAATACTGAAGCTTTTAAGCCCTGACAGAAAATCCTAAATACATCTACAACCACTGAAATCATCAGATGAATTCTGTAATCTACAAACACTGAAGCTTTTAGGCCTGACAGAAAATCCTTACTACATCTACAACCACTGAAGCTCTTAAGCTCAACAGAAGAAAGAAAAAACAATAAATACATTAGATCAATTCTGTAATCATTAAACACTGAAATCCTTAGGCATAACAGAAACATCTGACATATATCTGAACATGTTAATATACAAACATTCAAAACTGTCACTACCTGGTACATGTACCTTGGTATGTTTTTAATGAATCAGCTGTATTGATTTCATAAAATTGAAAAGAAATGACTAACTATTCAATGATATATAAATTTTGTTTTGGCATGTAAAATCATGCACATGGCACTATCATAAAGTAAAGCTTCTTATACATGTATCAAAGTGGAAGGCCCTTCTAGGACATTTCCAATACACATTTATTTGCAATAGTTTCACACTTTTGGGACCAAATATTCACTTTGAGATAATTAATTTTTCTGAATTATCTTTACCAACAAGAACAACTCTGACAAAAGGGTAAAACAAAACTATCTCTGGTACAGTATTTCACTTTTCAGATAATGAAGTTTGACTGTAGTGTATACTAGTCTTTATAACAGTATTTCATGACATAAATATAAAACAAACACATCAATGAAAGGGCCTCCATAGACACACACATCACAGATTACTCTCACTGAAGCACGGCTTTAGTGGCTCTTAAATTGTCCTTGATGCTATAAATAGTAACTGTTAGTAAGGTTAGAGAATCAAAGGATGGTTAGTTAGCTCATTCACCCCTGAATACACATTTGAACTCTTCCAATTCAAACGTTGGAATAGTCCATTATGAAATTTCAGGGGTGAATAAGTTAAGTAATGTTCCCCTAACTATTTCTTGTCTAATGTAAATTTTTTACAAACTACATGTAAAGTTATCGGTATATAGTCTGGTATAATTGTTAGACTACGTCAAGAAATGTTATTTTATTCATAACTAAAATTGTATCGTCTTTATCAGTGTTATTACCAAACACAGATAAGTCAAATTTCAGGCATGGCAATCATAAAACAAATCAATTTTTGGAAGAACTACCGTCTATCCTATACCAGATTTTTTTTGCCACAGTTTAATTTTCGCCTTTTTCACCCTCAGTAATGCAAGTGAATTTACCAAAACAGCAATCATTCGTACACAGCGTACCAAACAATGGGCGTCTATGCGGTTACCAGTGAAGGGCAAATGTTTGAATCCAAAAACTTTTTCCATCTGGCCACCACTAATCCAGTTGTCTCACTGTGCAGTCACCCTAAACCTGGTCCTAACAATCAGCCAGTATTTAAAGGGGACAGACTGTCCCACTGTTTTCAGCCAGCGTCACTTTTGTTTATCGCGATCCAAATGGTTGCACCAGAGTTGTTTGTTTATAAAATAAAGTCACACCTAGTAATTTGATGCTTCTTTCAGGAAAGCCTTGCAAGGCCTGCATAAACATTCGAGGGTCTGCAAGGATTCAAACCCGAAAATGTTACATTTAAAAGCAGACAAACTTGTTGCTCTGCATAGTGAACAAGCCCCAGTGTTTTAGGGGACAGACTGTTCCGCTGTTTTCAGACAATGTTTTAGGGGACAGACTGTTCCACTGTTTTCAGACAGTACTTTCGGGGACAGATTGAATGAATATCCTGGCAGTGTTTGCAGGAACAAATGAAATGTTCTCGAGGCCAAATTTTCTCAGAAATCCATCAACTCTTGCTGGAAACAAAGATGCCTAGAGAGTTACCAAAGAGGATCGGATTAACAATGAAGATTGAGCAGACGATCAACAAAGACGGATGGATTATAACTGACAGTGACTGGATTATCAGTGAAGATGACTAAAGGATCGACCAAATTGAATGGATTATCAACGAAGGTGGCTCAATTATCGAGGAGGGTGGACCTATTACAAGATTGTTCAGTAATTAATGAAGGTGAATCTATCGTAGCTTCACCAAACACTGTTGTTTACTTATGTCATGATGCGAGTAATACAACATTTTATGTATGATCTATTTAATCTCTTCTGGTATCTATTTTAGACTGAAACCTAATCTAACCGTCAGTATTCAAAACCATGCACCACAAGCCAACATGCATATAAACAGTAAATTACATTAATATAATATCATGCATACAAAATGAGCAATTTTACGATGAGCTGCACATAAGAATAAAAACAATCCCCCTACAACATTACTTATAATTAAGACACTTTTTCATGAGGAGATTAATTTTGGTTGATTTGATTTAAACATATTTTATTGTCGAAACAGACAAATGGATGAGAGACAAGTTCTAACAACTAACAAGCTCTTCTCCACAATTTGGTTCAATTAATATACCGTTCTTTGGGATATTTTGAATGTGGTTATCTTTTGGTTAATTTAGCACTTGGAGTGTATGAGCGAAATTAACCACACCAAAATTTCACCATGCCAAAATATTGTCGCAACATCCGGATATTGGCAGACTGTCTTCCAACCCATCTAGTAAGCATCATTTACTTACTTCCGAGGACTGTGCTTTTTTCAAAACTTGGCATTGCTTATTTAATTTAAACATCAATAAAGGGATGTTTTCACCTGTGTCGTAAATTCCAAATCTTTTCATATCCGTTGCTGTATTAGTTGTGTTTAACCCTTTCACCCCTATGTAACTTAAGTAGACTCTACCATGCATTGATATGAATGAGTCCATTATGGTCTACAGTGGTGAAAGGGTTAAGTGTATACAAGTAAGTCGCATCACTGTAAGTGATCTTAAACGTGTGCTCTCCTGTCCAGCGAGGTCAAGCGTATATAAAAGGATGTAAATTTATGGAATCTGAAAACAATTTGTAACATACCGACATGTTTTCTGTGAATACCTGTAGCACAACTACCTTAACACAATAGACTGATAGAGCCACTACTTAACTAAAGGCATTGGAAAGCACCAAAATGCAGCACACAGGATCGTAAAACACCAAAAATTTGATGCATCAAAATGTATCCACCCCATTTTGAGCAAAAACAAGCCAAATTTAGGTGACACAAAAATGTCCCAAAGCAAGCTGTAAAGTGAAGCTTCACAAATACAAACTTTGTCGCCTCTGTTCAGAGTCCAAAGTGACCAGATGGATTTGCTTCAAGCCATACTGCAATGCCTTGACAATATCATTGAAGCAACTTAACATACCAGAATGACTTGAGCACCATAGTTTTTTTCCCCTTTTCTTTAACGATGTTTCTTTCCAACATTCATCTCACTTTTTATTTCCTTTTTTGGATGGATATAATATTATGATTCAGTGATAAAAAAAACCAACACATGTTAATACTTATACAGAAGACATATAACAATCCATTTGTTCACAATATATGAGGTTGTCTTATTACACATTATGCTATAAAATCAGCTGAAAAAAGTTCTATTGAACAGTGTCTACCATTATATTAATTATTTGCATGACATATAAAAACCTGTCCCGTTTCACTTTACGCTAATATAATTAAAAGGAGATTAAAATGAAGCACTATAATTAGTCAACTGAACCCATTCTAGAGTACAGGCCCCTTACAGCAGGGCAGTATAGGTGGAGCCTCGGTTGATACTGACGTCCATGTTTTTACAAAACGTTTTCGTGATCGGGATACAGTTAAAGTACGAGATGATCTCTCCCTCGGTAATAGGCACCACATAGAATATGATAACGAGCATCGCTATCATTAGTAGGGCGAGAATAGACGAAACCAAGACTACCACCCAACGTTTCATGAAATTGACCTGGACACCGAAGTCCTCCACAAGTATCGTGGACATCAAAAGACCAAAGAAAAATCCGAACATGTGAGCCCAGTTATCCAGCCAGGGAAACAGTCCAAAGAAAAACAGAAGGATCATGATGACAACGAAAATGGCAAGCCATGTGCATAGACGTCTTTTCTGATCACGACTGCCGGATTCCTGTCTGTGCTGTAAGTAATGACCGATCAAATCCACGAAAAACACGGACAGGACCCCAAACTGAGCTCCAGCAGGTCCAACCTATAAAACAGACAAAATAAATAATTATTTTACAAGAACTCAAAAGAATCTCCAGCCGGTCCCAGCTATAACACAGTCAAATGGAAACAATTGCTACAGGTCATGGACAGGTCATGGACAGGCAATGGGCTATTGAGGAGTATTTCATCAGTTTCAATAATGGCACGTGTTTGATGTTGAAAATGCATCCATTTGAACATTTTACAAACTGAAATATTATTGATACCAGTATTGAGAAGAATATATCTTGAAAACCATTGTTATCCAAAAAATATGCTTGTTTTTGGATTTGTCCTGTGCACTTGTTTAATACCAGAGGTTGATTAATTTTGAATATGTTTGCATTATTTAACTGTTTTCTGTTGCACCTACAGTTTTTAGAATTGCCATACATATGTTATGCTATACAATGTTCACACTGATAATATATATATGTCAATCTGTGACAGTTTTACAAAGATAAATTTGGCCAAACCTAAAGCAGACTTAACGCTGTATATGTCCTCACTATATTGACAGACACCAGCTGGGGCCTGTTTGTTTATGCGGAACGACCGGTACACCAGTTTTTAAATGTAACATTTTTGGGTATAAATCCTGGCAGACCTGCAAATGTTGATGCAGGCCTTGCAAGGCTTTGTCAAGGCTCGTCTGAAGGCAGCATCCGATTAAAAGGTCCGACCCTATTTCATAAACGAACAACTCTGGTCCAGCCGATTCAACCATTTGGATTGCGATAAATGAAAAACAGCCCAAGCAAAACATCTTTGTTAAACCCTACCATGCGAGGTTAAGCTGGCTCTAATGTACACCATTTTGTTTTTGTCACATACTTTTAAGATTTAAATTTGGGGCTGGTGTGAGTGATGCTGTAGCGTGACTCACCTCGACCTGGTAGGGGAGCAGTACAGCACTAGCCAGGCTTCCCACTGCACCACTGCCACAATAAATAATAGCCATGAACTTCCAGCCCACCAAGTTCTCAGCATGCCGCATCACAAACATCTGGAACAGGATGCTGATCAGTAGATGGAACAACCTGGAGAGAAAAAATCAAAATAACTTGTGATTAAATAAAATCAAATTTTTGCTGAAAAAAAGACCAATGGGTTTTAAATGTCACTTGAGTAAAATAATAAAAGATACACATAGTGTTTAGTAGATCTAATTTGAAAGAATATATTCCGAGTGGGGCAACAAAGTGTTCCCATTTGTAAGGCATACTGTGAAATCACCAATTCCTGTGGTTTTTTTATTTTCATTAATTTTGTGGGTTTTCTTATTCCACGAATTGTGGTCCAGGAGGTAATTACAAGTTTGACATAAAGCATTTCTTCGTTTGGGCACATTATCATAATCTACGAATACCAGTGGTCGAAACAGAATGACTAATAGAGGTAGTTCTTAATGGATAATGATGGACTCAAAAGAAAATGTACGCGGTGTGGGGGTTGAAGGACCTGTAAGAAATATCACCTGAGTGAGGTGGAGAGAGCATTAGCATGGAAGACTTCCCTCGTGTAAAGGAGCAAGAGGCCCAGAGGCCCTGTATCTCTCACCTGGATATTAAAAGTAATCATGGCAAAATATTCCCCAAATAAGATCCAAGGGAATGGGCCAGACCCCAAGGCCAATCCTTGTATCATATCTGTATTAGATTTTTCAAGCCCAGCAATTTTATGTATGGTTACGGGGTGGGGATCTCAACTGTTTCCAAGATGTGATTCAGAAACTAGGTCCCTAGAGTTGTGACCAGGATCAATTATAATATCATGACTGCATTCGTCTCTTTAAGCCCAACAATTGTATATAGTTTTAGGGTGGGGATCTTAACTGTTTCAAAGGTATGACCCAGGTGTTAAGTCTCCAAGGGTGGGGCAGACCCTGGGGTCAATTCTTATATCATGACTGCATTCGTCTCTTTATGCCAAGCATTTGTATATACAGTTTTGGGGTGGGGATCTCAACCGTTTCAAAGTTATGACCCAGGCACTATGTCTCCAAGGGTGGGGCCAGACCTCTGGGCAATCCTGGAAGCATATGTGCATTCTTCTCTTCATACTCAGCAATTGTATATAAGGTAATATGATGGGGATCTCAACCATTTCCAAGCAATAAACTATTTTTTGCCCCACCCTTTAGCCAAGGGGGTCAGCCCCACTACTTGTACAATTTAAATCCCTACCTCCCATGAATGCTTCCAACCAAATGTGATTCATATCCAGTGCATAGTTCTACAGAAAAAGTCATTCCACACTTCCATATATGGTCACTGAGTGACCACGTGAGATGACACAGTCGTGCGAGTGGTCAGTACATAGTCAATTTTCGAAGCGAGTGGACGTCCGTGCAAATTATATGAGGAAAACCACAGTTAACATTTATATATCGTTTGTGGAACTTTTATATGAACACCTACAGGAAACGTAGTGAGTAAATACTGACGTATTTTGGGAAAAAACTATTTTCATTCCATGAACTTGTGAACTCTTTGAGTTTTTTACACACATGATCGGGCCTTAGTGCCAATAATAGATACGATCAGGCCTGAGTGCTAATAACTTAGGCCTGAGTGCCACAAAGTGTAGGCCGGAGAGCCACTGTGTCTGTGATAACACGTTTTTATGGGAAACATGTGTGGAGGACCGAAGAACTATATCGTAATTTTACGGCATCTGATATTTATACCGTCGATCACCATCATGGCTACTGAGGCTGAACCTTCAGTCAATGCTCAAAGTTCTTCAGAGAACGTAAGCAGTGATGCGACAAGCATTGGACTATTGTTACAATCACAAGTCCAAACGCTTGAGAGCATCAACAAATTGCACTATTCAGTGCAGGATATGCAAAATTTAATGTATTCTGGACCGTCACACACCGTGACTCGATCGATGGAACGGCAAAACAGACAGGTTGTTGGCTGTTCTGGTATTGGGGACGCCCCCATATGTGATCGGGAGTCGCACTACAGTGGGCGGAGCTATGAGCATCCGGGTGTTTTTCAAGATGGCGGCGCCCATGACATGTCTGAAGAAGGGGAATCAGAGACCCCAGACGACGGGTTTAACGCTGTTTTGGATGATATCGAAGATTCAAATGACTCATCATGTGAGGTTGATGATCTCCTCAAAGATATGGAGGAGATCTATAGCAACGAAGAGGTATGTGGACCTCCAATCAATGACAAACTGGCCAGTTCATGCAACGGTGCTTTTCGTACTATGATCGGTGCACACCGCCTTAGTGATACCAAGGCGAAGTACAATCGGCCGATTAATTGTCCTAATTTGACAACACCCAAAGTCAACATTGAGGTTTGGACAGAGGCAAAACCGTTTGCTAGAACCAAAGACAAATCGGTACAGAAAATCCAATCCATGATGGTGAAAGCTACAAT